AGTTCTCAGCAATCAGAATCATTGTCGTGTCTGCTTCAATTTCTCTTGTTTTCGCGCCTTTATCTCAATTTCTTCTTCCTCTTTCCACTCCGTTTTTCAGTCGCATCTTCTTTCCTTTTACAGCTATATTTAGTCGTTCTTCTCTTGTGTGGTCCCGTACATCTTGTATTTCTTCCGCGTCCCTCCACTTTGGGCACAAATGCCTGCTATCAATTATCATTATCCTGTTCTGCCTCCGTATCAAGTACCTCACTTCAGATGATTATCTCGCTTCCTAAATTTTCAAGTCTCGAATAGCCTACACCCTACAAATCTGCATCTGCCAGAAAAGGCAAAGCCTATACATCAGAATAACACAAAGCTATCTTTCTCGGTTTTACAACACACTGTAATTATCAATAATTAAAACCACATTCCACTACAAACAAGCTATTCAACAGACCTTACGAAGTGGGTAGCCCGCCTTACGCTTCCCCGGTGGGTGGGCGGGGAGTTCAGGGTTGGGCGAGTGGGAAAAACAGAAATATGGAAGAACTGCTGAATTCTAGCAGTTGAGAAAGAGAATGAAAGGAAAAGGGGAAAAGGGGAAAAGAGAGGTAGGATGAATATTTTTTCAGGCTAGGTCATTCCATTCGATTACACGTTGAAAAAGGAGATGAAAGGAAAGGCAGGAGATGACGACTATTTCCATTTGCATGATAGTTCTAGCCAGGTACAGCGATTCACTGTATTCTTAAACTGAATACCTGTGGGAGATAAACAGGCTTCATTTCATTTTCTTTTCTAGACGTATCATAACTAACAAAGAAGAAAAGTTTCTTTCTACTCCACCTCCAAAGTGAGGCGGTGCGGGCACGGGTGGGCAGGACACGAAAGACAGAGAAATACGAGAGCGTGAAGCTGTTTGAAAGCGAAAAACAAAAAGAAGAAAATAGAAAGAAACTGACAACCGGTTAGACCCACTCATCTCAGCCATTTCACCATCCAGTCATTCCACGCTCAGGAAAACAAAGCTGTGAGGGAATTAAAATTCAAAATCTCCCGAGCATTACATTAACGAGGCCGGAGGCAAAGGCCATTGAATAGCACACACACTCCCCCTCCGCTCTGCCGGGGGCTATGGACGACTATCGACGAAGTAGCGAAGCTTGGGAGTGCTGAAATTCTGTCAAGAGATTTTCAGATACCTCCACAAGCACCACACCCTCCTCCGCACACACATACCCACACACTCTTCACACGGTGGTTCACTATCCACACAATGGTGACCATTTCCACAATTGTCTAAAGGGAACATTGTATCCTTGGACATCTGATGTTAAAAGACCGGAAATGGTCGATTAGCTCAGGGTTCTACCTAGGTGTTGATTAGTTTACTACAAGCCTTAGTTTCTCTTTTCTCGGCAATCAGCACTTTGTTGTGCTTAAGGACCGCGTCCCGTTGCCTCTTTCTTCTTTTTTCGGCAGAGGAGTGCAGTAAGGCGCTCACGAAATGTGCAGATATTCGACTGCCACGCTCACTGTAGCAACAGACGGGCAGTATGGCGCGCAGATGTGCTTGTGAGTATCATGTAGAAGTTTCGACTGCCACGTTATTTCCTAATCTCTTCCTTTATTTTTCTTCATTAATTTAATTTGGCAAAAAGAGAATGCGAATGGGCAATGCGAGATGTGTATAATGTCACTCGCAGCATTCCGTGTTACGTTGCAAACAGGATGCGGAGATGTGCGGATGAATTATGTGCAGTTTCGGTTGCTGCGTTCATTCTACTTATTTTCGGCAAATGACCAACTGCGGTTGATCAGGAAACTCTATGTTTCAATTTGCCATGGGTTCTTTGGTTTCTTGGCAATAGGAGCACGTTGATGTGCTGGTAAATTGGTACTCTCTCACGCTACAGGTGACACTTCAGATACAATACGAGGAAGTGCTCACGAGACGGGTATGCTTTTCAGTTGCTTAATAGTTTCTTTCTTTCGGCAGATGGACAGCTGTGGTTGCTCCAGAAGTTTTACACTTCAATCTGCTACTTAATTTCTCTCTTTTCGGCAATAGAGCACATGCGTGTGCTGATGAATTGGTACCCTCTCACGTTACAGGTGAAACTTCAGTTACGAACACTAGGAAGTGATCACGAGACGAGTACGCTTTCCAGTTGCCTACTTTGGTTCATCCTTTCACAAAATGCGCTTTTCCGAATGGTTGAAAGCGTTTGATCCGGTTGACCGAAAAGAAAGTGCGAGTGGCCGCCAAGTTTGACACGACGCTGCTTGCGCGGTCAGGTGCTGGGGGCGAGATTGTGATTGATCCGCACAGCGGTACGGTGGAGAACGCGAATAGAATGGCGATCTTGCTGGCTCATCGGTTCGTGCGCTGGAGAGTCCTTCCGTTTATTGTCTCCGAGCACGGCACCCTAAATGTTTCCTCCGCCTGTCTGAGTGCTTGAAGGGAAGTACTTTTCCTTTGCACGTTGACTAACCCTCCAAGGAGGTGCGTTCAGGGGAGACTGTTAGCCGGCACAGCAGATCAACACGCTTCACACGTGCAATGTGGACAACGACGCAAAGCAGCTTCAAGAACAGCTTGATTTCCAGAAGTCCAACCTGGAAGACCGTGAGCGATACGTCTCCACTCGTGAAAGAGAGCTAAAACAAAAGAAACGCGTGTACGCAAGGGGTCGCGAAGCCTTGGACACCAGATGGGACCGTCTCCAGAAGGAGGCGCAGGAATGGATCGCAAAACTGCAGCGACGGGGGAATACCCTCGAGGCAGGAAAGGCTCAGTTGGAAGTTGAGAAAAAACTGGCCGTTGATCAAAAAGCTCCAACGAAAACAAGGCGGCCCTGCTCAAAAAAGAGCGCAACGAGCTTGATGAGGCAAAGATCGCTTTGGAAGTAGAAAAGACGGCGATTGCCGCGGAACGCAAGTAATCGGACGAAACCCGCCAAGCTGCGGCGGGAAAAGCGCACGTTACCGCAATACGGAAAATCGGCGAAGCCGAACGAGTCTGGCCAGCCCTCTGACGAAACATATGACGAGTACTCGGGGCTGGTGCCGACTGATGTGAAGTATCACTCAGTCGAATCTTGGCTGCCGTATCTCACCACCAGAAACGTACAGATCTTCCTGCTGGAAATCCGGGGGTGAGTTCCCCGTGGGTGATGCGACCCGCGACAGTTTGACGCTGCGTTTGTGGGAGCAATTCTCCCTCTGGGCGATCGCAGTTGCTAAGCAGAAGTGTTCCTGCGAGGCGATGTTGTCGCTCGGCAAGGACCTGCTTACCCAGGCGCGGCGACGGATCGCAAAGGTAAAAGACCCCAAAAACGCCCATGAAGACAGTCCAGCAGTTGGTGGCTGTCAAAATGGATCCTGACGACCATATTTTGGTGGCCCTCCAGAAGTCACGGCCTACGACGTCAAACACCCACAGGTCTGCGCGTTCATCTCGCCGCTCCCGTTCCACCTCCCCAGCCTACAGCGACAGACGCCCCGTTTTGTAGTGCACATACGGCAAGAGGCCTGGGCACGCAACGAACAAATGCTACAAGAAAAAAAAAGTCGTGAAAAGAGGCGCGTCAAATTGAAACGGCGCGCCGCCCCCGCTAACGAGCCCCCTTCCGAGCGAGGACGCGGCTTTGGTACTGGGTCTGCGCAACCGCACCTCAGAGATCCTTCAGCAAGGCGACCGCCGCCTGTTCTTCATCACCGACGAAGCCGTGGCACCCGAGGTGGCCGTCATGCTCAGCGCTGCAAACGAGGCCGCAGGCAAAATGAGGGCCGAACGCACGTGGAGCTCGCGCCTGAGTTTCGGCGGACGGTTCGCCCAGTTTTGCGAGGCCTTTCACCTGCCACACGGTCGGACAGCAATTGCTGCTTTTCTGTTAGCAAGGGGCCTGAAGTCATCCACGCGCCTTCAGTATGCCAAGTGGCTCCGGGACACGGTCCTGCGACCAAAGGACCCCCTCGACGCGCTCATCTTTGGCCTGCGACGGATGTCAGCAAAGGAAGTTTTCGAGACGAGCGCGGCACGCTTCTCGAACTCACGCGACTGCCTATGGGTTACGTGGCAAGTCTGGAGGTGATGCAGCTCCTCATAATCATCGTATCATTCTTACTTTTTATCACTCCATTCTTTTCGTAAACTATCAGAAGAGAAGAGTCGACAAATTCGAGTGGAGTTGAATATGCGACGCCTGAGGCACTGCAGAGTTTCGCGCTTACGTGGTGCAAGATGTCGTGCGGCTCTGTCTTGGAAAAAAAAAGGGAACGCTTCGTACTGGTGGTGGCATTCCGAAATCATCGCAAGAAGGGAGAAGAACAGTCAGCAAAAGTAAGCCAAAGATTCATGGTGTGTTTTGGAGTTGAAAGAGGGAAAAAACTTGCACTCTGACTCCCTAACACTCCAGATAAGCAGCCACAAAGAAGCTTGCCACAAGTGTCTTTCACTTTAACAAATTCTATGCTGCATCAAAGCCTGTTGAAGTGGGTTTCTTTCAGTTTAATTTGCACAGCCCACGCCGTGACAGCGAGCAACAGAAGTCACAGAGAATTGATCCTGTTTTACAAGCAGAAATAAGGAGACTTACGAACAAATAACAATAGGGAAAGAAGAGAAAGGTGAAACCGTCTCGAGCCCGTGCAGCGTGTGAAGGTCAATAGGAGCTTTTACTATTCATGAATCCACCCATTCCTCATCGGAGCTCCAGCACATCTCCTTCACGTCTGTCTCCCACGACTCCTTCAACTCCTTGACGCCACACACCTCCTCAATATCCATAGGTGTATTCACGCAACGAAGCAGAAATGCGGCACCGCCAGCCCTGTACGCGTCGAGCAGCTTGTCCGAGCAGGCGGTGCAGAAAGGGTTGCGCTCCCCACACAGGTGGTGCATGCTATGCGAGAAGACGCTGCCGCGAATTTGCTGTGGAATCACACCGAGACGGCACTTTCCGGTGTCCGTGTCACCGCTGGCAGACTCGCGGTAGGCGGGACAGCAAAACCCATCGGGGTGCTGGTACACCTCGGCGACCAGCTCGACCGCAATGGCAGAAGCGATGGACGACACGGCAGGTCGAGTGACAGTGCACTGCTCATCTAGCGCGCGGAAGCTCAGACTGTCGGTCGGCGCGACAACGTCGCTGCAGAAGTAGCAGCCGAGCGCCGCAGGTGCGGTCGCAGCTGCGCCCCCGTTTCTCACTGCGTTGGAGCGCGAGTTTGCGGCAGAAGGGACGCCGTGCCGCATCACCACGTACGTGTCGAAACCTAAGGCGACATTCACGACGGGGGTGCCACAAGCCGCGGAAATGAGCGTTGGCATCCAGCGAGCTTCGCGCGAGTCGGTGAGGAGAAAGACTACATCACTGTTGCCGATGAGCTCCTCTAACAGGTGCACTTCCCCCAGCACCTCGTCTAGTTTGCCTTCGTCCACGCGGTGTCCGGGCATGTGAATTGTCAAGGGAACGGGCCGCACCACCACAGACGGAATGATGGACCGCAGTGCCTCCGCCGCGGCGTCCACCTTCGACTTGTTTTGCTTCGCATCTTCAAACGTAAAAAGAGACTGGCGCGCCAAGTTGGAAAACGACACGTTGCCGCGGTCGACAAGCGTAAAGTGGCGCACGCCCCACATGAGAAGGTTTCGCGCAACGTTGCAGCCGAGTGTCCCAGTGCCGAGGAGAAGCACCTTGCAGTCTGCGAGACGACTCAACTCCAAAGAAGGCAGTACCCGCCACTTCATCAGTTCCAGGTTAAACCGCGAGTCGCTGTCAGCACGTCGGACGGGGTCAATGAAAGCACCAAGATCGAGACCTTCGACTTTCTTTTTGCGCCACCCTGACACCTTCAAACTCGGAAACTCCTCTTTCCAGTTAACGCCTTGTACCTTATCGAAGGCCGCGCCGGTGAGGCGCAGCTTCAAGGCCGTGACCGTCGCTTGGTCGACAGCGTCAAACGCCAGCTGAAGAAAAAGACTCTTCGCAGGGCCGCCAGATCGCAGCGCATACACACTCAACGAGGTCAACGATGGTACCGCAAGCCGAACGCATGTGATGAGGTTTCGAGCTGACAGGCACAGTGTTTCTGCAGCATCTGAGAAGTCGAAGAAACACAGTATCACGTGCGCAGCATCGTCCTCCGCGACACTGAGAGCGCGAGGCGACAGTGCTTTGAATACAGGGAGAGCTGGGGGAGAGCACATGGAGAGGAACGGATTACACCCTCGCTCTGGGTAGCTTCGCAGCCGCGCGACACCATGGTCATAGATGGCCTGAGCTGCGGAGAGCGAGAACGGAAGCGAATCGGCCGATTCGCGTGCTGCAGCCTTGATAAGAATCGATCCGTCCAACGCGATCGACGGGAATGCTTCCTTGTGGAAGAAGCGGTACGATTTTGCGTCTATGTAGGTGTACATGGACACCATGCAAAATGGTATCTGAGACCATGACTCCTCCTCCTCTTCTGCTGTAAGGTTGTCGGCGAGAGCAGGCTTCAGCATGTATTCCGCAACAAGGGAGAGGAGAGCATTTCGCGAATCTAGCGATTTGAGTCCCTCGGGAAAGTTGTAGTTTTTCACTTTTCCCCGCATTTGCACGTCCACAACTTCTGTGAAAGTGTTCACTGCGCCATGTTCGGAAGGCGCCACCTCAAAGGCAGCAGAGCTCAGGTGCACCACATTTGCTGGAGTAAGAAGAGCGCGGTTTGAAACATTTGTGCGGATGCTGCCGTGTAAAGATGCGAACGGCTCTTCGAGTTTCCACATCATCAGCTTAAGGCGCCGCAGTTCCTCCCAGAAGCCAACATCAACGGAAAGCTGATAGTCGGAAAAGGTCAGACGCGGCAACTCTGCAGTAGTTGTCATCTCTCTTCGATTTTTCAAGCAGGGCGTTCTCAAGAAAATCAGCAGCGATTCTGAAAGTCAGCAACGTTAGTGGGAACGCATCGAACCAGGAGAAAGGAAAGAAAGAGTGTCAAGTACAAACGGGGTAAAGTGGGGTACATGTTCTCGGGAAAAGAAAAGCACCGAGAGTGCAACGCAGTTTTGTATTCTCCAGCTCCACGTAACAGAGTAGATGTTCAAGAAACAGCTACTTTTGCTTCCACATTTTCCAGCAAAAGTTGAATGAAGAGCCAGACTCAGTCAAATCGGTTCGTTGACCGTCTTGTAGTATTCCTTTTTGCAATATTCACAGCTATTAGACAGGCTTACATATCAAAGATACATTGTCCCTGTTTTGTCGATATTGCGATGAGGTACGCCAATGAGAAAAAAAAACGAGAGAAAAATAAGTGCTACAACATAAGAGATGTTGCCGGAAGCATGTTGGATTGCTGACGACGCCAAATATGATGAAAAAGAAACGTTACAGAGGGGTAAGAAAAAAAAAAGCATATTCGCTCTTTTGCTGCTCAAAACAACGAAACGCACTTGGAGTTACTTCCCTGGTGATGAGAGCCAGTGAAGGGATGATTATACAACAGCAACTCACTAGCCCCACGATGACCGTGAGGCAGGAAAACTAAAAGAAAAAAAGTGGGCAGTTAACAACGGTGACAATTTAGTGCAAAAAAGAAATACACGCGCTAAGAGTTGGGCCACAAAGTGTCACAAATCTCTCGAAAAAAGGCTGAGATTCTCGTTGCGACAACCTAGAAACGAGTTGCAGAAAAAGGACGCGCATCAATAAAAGGTGTTTCGCCGGCAATCAGCTCCGCAAGCAAGCGTCCAGAAACAGGACCAAGTGTCAAACCGTTCGAGCCGTGCCCAAAGCACATCCATAGACCTGGGTGGTGAGGTGACTCACCTATAATAGGTTTCATGTCTGACGTGCACGGGCGGTAGCCTGCCCACGTCTTGGAAATAGGGCCCTCCAACGGGATAAGTTGGCGTGCTGCTGACTCAGCTGCTTTGAGCTGAATCTCATTCTGCGGGGACGTTATAGAAGCCATCTCGCCACCGGTGTTTATGCGAATGCCCTGGTGCATTGGGCCGAGAGTGTAGCCATAATCCACATCCACGATTGTGTGATGCAGCTGCGCGTCACCAGCGAGTCTGAAATGTGTGTTGTATCCGCGGAGAGCGTAGAGCGGGAACTGGTAGCCAAGCGGCCTCAACACCTCGTTCGACCACGGCCCTGCGGCAACAACGACGAGGGGCGCCTCAAAACTCCCGTTGTTCGTCGTGACAATGTACCCACTCCCACTCCCATCAGACCGTGGAGTTATGCTTTTGACTGTTGCCCTGATAATTGTGCCACCTACGGAAACAAAGTGATTGGCGTACGCCTTGACCAGCTCGCCAGGGTCCGTTGCAAGCCACGCATCGGTGAAGAAGTAGCCACCCGTAAACAGCGACGCATTAGCGCTGGGCTCTCTTCGAGTTAACTCCTCTGGGGTAACGAGCTCGACAGCCTGGCCTTCGTTTTGTTGACCCATGACAGATTCCCTAATCAGCTGCATTGGCTTCGATCGAAACATTTCGAAAAAGCCGGTACGCTGGAGGAGATGCTCACACTTCGCTGCTTTGGCCATAATATTGTGTTCCTGCGTGCAGTGTTCCGCCAACGTTGCGTACTCTTTGACAATGCGGGAAAAAATAGACGGCCGCGAGTACCACCAGTACAAGAAAAGAGGGTAGTAGTACTCCATCATGCCCGAGACAGTGTACCGAGTGTCATTACGCGAATTTGCCACGATGCTTGCCCGTTTCGCAAGCCTGCGTGGAAATGGAGACGGAGGAAGGCGCTTAATGAGCCCGGCATTGCCCCACGATGTGGCGTTACCGGGGAGCTCGCGATCGATGACCACAACCGAGTATCCCCGTCGTTGGAGGTGCCACGCGGAGCACACGCCAACAATTCCGGCGCCAATGACAATGGCGGAGTTGACGCTCTCTTTCGTTTTCGTCTGCTGAGAAGCGACCATTGCGAAGGCGGCACTTGAAAAGCCTGATGAACAACAAAAAAGAAGCTATACGCGTGCAATGAGCACAGATTTGTTTCGCCGTTGCCGGAAAAATAGAAGAGATGTTTCAAAAATCACAAAAGACGCGTTGAAGGTGAGTTGAGTGGCAAGGACTGTGAGACAGAGAATAGAAAACGACTCTTGCAGTCGTCCCGTCATGGAAAGACGTCAAAGAAGAGGGTAGGAGTTTTCGTCAGATTCCTCTTCAGCTCAAAAGCAGCATTTCTTTCTGGTTGCCGAAAACTACTGTTAAGGTATGACAGAGAAAGTGGAACTCGTCAGCATAAGCACACTTTCCTACTGTAAAAAAAAAAAGAGATTGTTTCCGTTACTCGTACTGCTATTCGGTGATCTCATTCGTGTAGTTCCGCACACTAAACAGTATCTTACTTTTCGGTGGAGGGACAATTGAAATGCTAAAAGCCTACATAAAGAGGAGAAGAATATATTAGAATGAAAACGAACGAACATTAAGACTCCTTGTCGTATAAAAAGATATGATTCCTGGCAAAAGAAAGGATGTCTCTACAACAACGTTTGGATGGCTCACAACTTCAGCATCGAGAACCGCTGAAAACTTGTTAGAAAAAAAAATAAGTAAGGAAACAGTCGATAATGCTAAAAAAAAAAAGAAAGAAGGTAATAAGAGAGGAAGTCTTTCTGGAATACTTAACTTAAAGAAAACGATCGACGGAGAAAGGAGTAGGATCGACAATAGCTTTTTCTTTTGCCATCATTTCTGCCAAAACTCTTCCGGAGATCGGACCAAGAGTAAAGCCTTGATAACCGTGACCAAAGCACATCCACAAACCTGCGTGAATGGGAGATTCACCAATGATTGGCTTCATATCTGCAATGAGTGGTCGGTGGCCATGCCAAACACCTCCAATCTGGTTTTCCAGTGGCAGCAGCTTGCGCGCCAAAGCCTCTGCTTTCCGTAGTTGAATTTCGTTTGGAGGAGTTGCCATTGTGGTGACTTCGCCGCCCGTGGTAAGGCGGACGCCTGCGTTCATCGGCCCCAAAACATACCCGTTTGTGATGTCCACAATGGAATGGTTCAACTGAGCACCGTCAGCAAGCTTAAAATGGGTGTTGTAGCCACGCAGCGGAATGAGAGGGAACTTGTATCCCAATGAGCGCAGCACTTCGTTTGACCATGGGCCCGTCGCCACAACAACGCGAGGAGCAGCGAAGTCGCCGGTTTCAGTTGAAACCAGCCAGCCACCACCTTCAGCTTCGGGGCGCGGCGCAATTTCCTTTACCGCAGCTTGTACAACAGTTCCGCCGAGAGACACAAAGCTGTTGGCGTACGCTTTGACAAGGGCGCCAGGATCAGCGACTTGCCATGCGTCTTTAAAGTGTAAACCGCACGTGAACTCTTCCACATTGAGACTCGGCTCTTTTTCCTTTATGTCGTCTGTGGTGAGAAGATCAACAGTAACTCCCTTGGATCGCTGCTCCTCCACGATGTCTTGTACTGCAGGAATCGATTTCATCCGAAAAAGCTCAAGGAATCCCAGCTTGCGAACAAGCTTCTCTGAGTGCGACGCCTTAATCATCGCTTCGTGCTCGTCAGTGCAGTGGACAATAAGGCTTGCAAATTCCTTACAGTTCTTTCCGTAGAGAGATGGGCTGGAGTTTCTCCAGTACAGGTAAATAGCGTACAGGTTTTGAGGGAGTGCGAAAATGTTGTAGCGCACGTCCACCTTGGTGTTGAGGACAATTCTCACCCGATTGAGAAACCCGGAGGGAATAGAATAGGGCATCACGCACTCTCGTTGAATGAGACCTGCGCAGCCCGACGACGTCTCCTCACCCGGGCCTTTTCGGTCAATCATAGTAACTTGGAAGCCGCGCCGTTGCAAGTGCCACGCAGCGGACACCCCAACCATCCCGGCTCCCACCACCAACACCTTCTTTTCATCGCTCGAAAGCCGCTGTTCCAGCGTCATTGGATCTCTCTGTTAAAACCCTGTAACGTGATGTTCTGAAAACAGTGATTTGATTGCTGGAAAAGAACACAGCTGTTGAAATGTTGTAATCGAAAGAAAAAAAAGACAGCAGAGTTGAGGAGAAAAAAGACAGAAGGTGGATAGAGAAGGAACTTGGAAGCTCAGCAGAAAATATGGTATATGTGAACACTTTAAAGGAAGCGAACGGTGAGACGAACAAAGGACGTTTCGCGCATTTAGGGGAGGCACTTCCTTACTTTGATGCTGCGAAGCAGAGGTTGTACTGATCCTTTTATTTTCAGTGCTCTGTAAAGCGAGTGTGGAAAAGATGCAGATGATGTTACAACAGGAAACGCTGACGTGCTCCAAAAAGAAAAATTTCTACGCTTACCCTGCTAGGACACCGCTGCTGACTGTCAACAGAAACGCAAATTATGAACCGTTCTTTTTGCGTGTGTGCATAGCGCGCACATATCGTCACCCGTTGCTTCCGGCTTTACTGCTCTTGCGAACAACGTTCCAGTTTTGTTGGCCCCGTCCTTCCCTTGCCTTGCGTGTGTTCTCCCCCTCCCCCCGCCTCTCCTCTTACCGCGTCTTTGCCCCTCGCCGCCGCACTCCTCACGCACAGGCAGCCACCGCTTTAACGATGCTACTGTTTTAGTGAAGCGTCACGTTAAAGAAGTCGCTGATTACACAAAGCTGTTTCATGATCAGATTTGCCTACAGTCATCTTGGGGCGCCTTCAAATGGTGCACTTCATTGGTGATCAGCGTGTTGCTCCCTTTTGCACAAAAAAGGAAGTAACGTCAGGGCTGCTCATAGATGAAGCTGTGCAACTGAGAATTGTATGTAGCGACGTGAATGAACTGTTTCTGTGCTCTTTTCGTTGAGCATTGCTTACAAAAATATGAAAACAACTGAACACGTTTGAAACGTTAGTCCCTCTACATCAAAAAGAAGCGAGGCTGCTTTCTGTTTTCGTTGCTTTGAGATCTGCTCTTTTTGTACGTTCGAGTCGTCTGTTTTTCACTCTCCTTGCAGTAACAATGCTAGCTACTTGACACTACTTTTCTTTTCGCACTTTCTCCTCGTCGTCAAAGCTCTCTTCCTTAGTTCCTATCCTTTCGTAACTGTGTCTTCCCTTAATATTCCCGCGTACGCACTCGAACTCCGTTTACAATTTTTCTTCAGTTGTGGTTCTTCACACTGAAGCGTCAGATCAATTCGATTCGATTGAATCCTATGCAGGATAGACTTCGGGAAATTGAGGGCACTCTCGCCCGCACAAAGGAGAGGAAAAACACAATTCTATACAAGCTATCCAAGCGAAAACAGGAGGAGGAACGACTGGCTCTTCTGGGTGTTCAGAAACTTCCCACAAATCCCCACGAAGTGGACGATGTAAAAGTTGTCAAGTACGTTCTCTTTCGGCTAAAGCAAGAAATTGGAGACAAAACTGCTCAATTGCGAGATCCTAAACTTCACAGTATTGATAAGGACGGAGAAGCTGTGATTCGTGCTAAAAACGACGAAGTCAACAAATTGGTTTCGCGCCGAAACCAATGGGAGGCACGTCTGGCAACTCTCACCGGAGTCCCGGTTCCGCCGTTTGCAAGGCGTAAAAATTTTTTTGGCTGCGCAAAAGAATTACCGGAAGCAGAGGCGTCACGTAAGCGTTCGCGAGATGCACAAGAATCCGCTGCGAAAGACAGTTCAATGTTGTCCAGCTCAAGTGAAGATGAGGATGAGGACGTGCTCCAAGCGCAACACCAAGAGGAAGACGTTGCAACCCAGGATGCAAACTATTTAGACCGAGCAAATTGGCTCGGGTCTACTCTCGCAGACAACGAGCTTGTCCGTGAAGAGAAAGAAGCAGAAGCGAGGATGCGCGAAAGGCTTGACTTAAGTTGCGGCCCAACGGGGTCTTCGGCATTTGTGAGATCATATCTCAAAGCCGGCAAAGTCGTCCTGCCCAGCGAAGAGCATTTCAAAGGTCTGTTAATCAACAAACGAAAAGAAATGCTTCAGGCTCGTTTAACAGCTCTGAGAAAAAGCTAGGTGATTTTTTGTTTCCAAACCAGTTGTAGTCGACGATTTTTACGTGCGTTGTCTGCTTTCCATTTGGTGTTATTGTACGGCTACACCTTGAGTATTGCTACCACGTTGGGACATGTGAAGCAGTGAAATGATGCTAAATGGTCCTTTTCTCTTCAGCGTTCACATTATTTTTTTGACGCTACAGCACAGTAAGTACCGTTAACACAGAAGCGACTCTTGTCATTGATAATTAACAACGGCGTGCGCCCCAGTTCTTCTCTTGAACTATCACTGGCACCTGCAGGACGGTAATGAAACTGATGGGGTTAACACTTCATGCTTTTTGAATGTCAGTGGTCATCCTCAGTGGTTTATCTAACTTCCTTTTTCATGTACACTTCTCTCTTGTGTTGAAATCTTTTGCTTCACTTGTTTGTACCTTCTATATTTCGAATGTGTCGCGTTTTATTTTATTTTTGAAATACAGGCCGTGAGTAAATCGGCTACTATCACGCTGCTTCACAGGCTTTTCAGCCTCTTTTCCTCGTTTATTTTTCTTTACAGCTTTCCATTTTCTGTTTTATAGACACGAATCGCAAAGTTACCACTACGCTTACGATTTGACGCCCGTTTTTCGTCCTACAACGTAGTTACGTCTACACAATTGTACCCTAAGGTTACACTTGTTCTGTTTTTCTGGTTGGTCTGTTTTTCTCTTCAGCAATGCCAACCATTAGAGCGAAAAGAGTGCGACTGCACACGAAGGCCAGCAGGCCGATCAGCCGATTTCTTGTTTCTGATGCGGCCCTGGGAAAGCTGACGAAAGACACGTCTAGCACCGATGCCGCACTTGCAGTGTCGCCGCGGGAAGTTGGAAACGGCACTCCTCATGATCCGATTCATCTGCCTCTACGGACGGTGCCAAATTCCAGCGGCTGCTACCACTGTCCAACGGAACAGTGTCATTGTATTTTGTTCGAAAAACTGCTGGCAAGCACGTACGAAAAGGTATCGAAGAAACGTGTTGTTGAAGTTTGCGGTGTGCGTCAATTGTGCGCCAAGTCCCTCCTGACGCCGTTCGTCACACGGCTCATCCGTCTTATGAACATCACGGAGAATGACACCTTTTACGACATTGGTTGCGGAAACGGCTCAGTTTTATTTCAAGTGGCGTGTTTAACGGGCGCAAAATGCGTTGGGATTGAGATTAGCGATCACAACGCCGAGGTTGCACGCGAGGCATGGGATCTTCTGCAGGAGGACTTGGAACGAAGATTTCATCGCACTATGCCAGCTGTCGAGATCATTACGGCTGATGCAGCGCAACTGTTGTCAAATCCTGCATTCTTTGATGAAGAGGCCGGACAAACTGCAATTTTGATGTCGAACCTTTTGTTTCCCAAGCCACTCACCCATTTTCTGTCGGAGCGACTGAGAACGACACCTGCGGGAACGCGCATTATGTGTTTTGATGACCTGTACCCTCACTCCCGCTCCATAGCACCTATCCGCGATCCAGAAGCTTTTCAGCTGTTTGAGATGAAGGACTTTTTGTGGCAGGAAATGAGCGTGGAATGGTGTTCTATGGAAGGCACCTTTTATATCCATACAAGGATCTAGATTTCATAATTCACTTTGAAGGCGGTAACGCTCTATCCGCTTGTGCAAAACATCCTTTTCTTGTTTATCTTCTACCTTCACTTTTTTCTCCGAAGTTCGGTATTCTGCCGAAGTTGCAATGCTCGTTTGGCATTCCCCTTTGGCATTACCGCGTTCACCCTTTTGTACTCTCTTTCAATTCTTAGAAGCAAAATTAACCATTACAAGAACAACGTATCTCTCATCAGGATTTCTCTCTTCTTTTACGTAAGTCTACTCTATTACGTGAGGATTAGCAACGCGATTTAGCGCACGTGGGGCAAGCGTTGGAACCTTGCAAATTGGAACCGCAGTGTTGTTTTTGTGGATCAGTTTAACAGTAATCTCCTGCAACGCCTCTGCGTCACTGTTTCAATCGAATGTTGCTTCTTGTGGCCGGTTTTTGCCCCCTACTCTGAATTTGCGTTAATGAAAGATTCGCCTTTAAAAAAAAAAAACTACGGTGTTTGATGACCGTCCTCTCTTCTACTCTTCATCAATTCCCTTCACTATTTCTCTTTTTTTTTGCACTCTATATTGCTCTTATGCCGATTGCCGATATGAGCTGAAGCTATTTCTCTCGGTCGCTTTCAGTTTACCGAAAACACGTTTATTTCCAAACTACACAAAGTACTTTTTTATCCGCCTAACGCTCGCGGTGAGAATTCGCAATGTTGTACCCGTCGGACCACGTTGAATGGCTTGAGAAGCTCATTTCCTTCGACTCGACGAGTCGGAACTCGAACCTTGACATTGTGACGTTCCTCAAGGAGTACCTGGAGAGCGTCGGTGTGAAGTCCGAGGTTCTCTTCAACGAGACGAAACAGAAGGCGAACCTGTTCGCCGTCCTCCCCTCACAGAGTGGTGCGACGACTGGTGGCATCGTTCTGAGCGGGCACCTAGATACTGTTCCCGTGGATGGGCAAAAGTGGAACTCCAATCCCTTCAAGGTAGAGGCGAAAGGGGACAAATTTTTCGGTCGCGGCACGTGCGATATGAAGGGGTTCGTCGCGGTGTGCATGTCGCTTGTGCCGCAGATGCTCAAGATGCCGCGTGATCGACCGGTGTACCTCGCGTGGACGTACGACGAAGAGGTGGGCTGTCTGGGTGGTCGCGCTCTCACGCAGTACCTGAAGTCGAAGCAGATCAAGCCCGACGGCTGCTTGGTGGGTGAGCCGACGTCAAACAAGGTGATCGTGGCGCACAAGGGCATCTGCGTATGGAGGGTGTACGTGAAAGGAAGAGCGGCGCACTCCTCCTACGCCCTTACGCCGGCAAGCTGCAACGCTATCGACTATGCCGCGAAGCTTATTGTCAAAATTCGTGAGATCGCGGAGGACATTGTTGAGAACGGTGCGAACGACCGTTTCTTCGACGTGCCGTACACGACCATGTCGACGAATGTGATCAACGGAGGTATCGCCATCAACACCGTCCCGGAGGAGTGCACCTTCAACTACGAGTTCCGCAACCTCCCGCAGATGGCGCAGGAAGCCATCCAGAAGCGGGTCTCGGACTACGTGGCGGCCGAGCTGCTGCCGAAGATGAAGAAGGAGTACAGCGACGCTGAGATCAGCATCGACAACCTGGCTCAGGTTCCGTCGTTTCCGGACGTGGAGGAAAAAGACCCCTTTGTGGCGCTGGTGCGTGCACTTACGGGTGACAAAGAAACCCGCAAGCTTGGCGGTGCCACAGAGGCAGGTCAGTATGCTCTCATTGGTGTCCCAGTACTGGTGTGCGGCCCTGGAAGCATCACTGTGGCGCACCAGGCAAACGAGTTTGTGCCGAAGAAGGATCTGGAAGACAGCTGCCGCCTTGTGCTCAACCTTGTGAAAAAGAACCAGGGTATGAAGGCCCACATGTAACGGTGTTGAGTAATCAATGCACACGATAAAGTCTTTTCTGTAAAGTACTTGGATGTGATTGTAATTAAAGCAGGTGTTGTAGACATTATTTTTTTTTTTTACCACAATCCTTTCAAAACGTACCACGTTTGATTTCTAAATGTTTTGCTATCGCGTCCTCGGGGTATTACTTATGTCTTGCAATCGATTTGGAGCATCGGTAATCGAAGCTCTCCAACAGCACGTGTGAGAAAAAGACAAAAAATGAAATATCAACATTTTTTCGAAGGCCACAATAGCTAGGGTGTTTATAATGAGACGCTGTTCTGCTCACAACGCCAAAGCGAGGAACAAGGAGGAAGTGAACATCTCGGCAACGTCTTACGCTGAGGTTTCAGTCGCTTTTCCATGTGCGTTGTGCATTCCAGTTGCCGCGTCACATTTGCGCTACGGAGAGCATGAGGCCAGCAACAACAAACAAACACGACTGTTATCCATAATAGTGAATACTCCGCTTTCGGCGGTGCGAGTATGTACTTTATCGCCTTGTTGCACCTCTCACGCTTTTTGTTTTTGCTGTAACTAAAAATGAGTTTTCTAGTTTTGAACGCCGTGCATTGGTACACGTAGAATCGATGAGCACCAACGATGACATGCCGCTTTTATCAAGTGCTACCCTCGCGACGCAGCGAACAGCAGATGTTGCCGCGATCAAGAATGCGCTGAACGAGCTGCACAACGGCATTTTCGGTTCTGTGCCACCAGCAGATGCAACTCATGAAACTCTATTGCGTCAGATCAGCGGCGCACGCTCCGTACTCAACAAGGTGGCAGTGACTTCGAGAACCGGCCTCGACACTGAGCGTTTGTTGCTTGACGCTGTCTTGACTCTGGGCGAGATGCTTGCAAGTGCCGCTGCGGGACAGAGGATACGCAGCAAGGTTGTCAAGAGACTGGAGGACGTTGTGCTCCCGGTCTTGTTCATACGCAGTAACGTTACACCTCAGCTGCTCAAGACGCACGCACTAAAGACCCCATGGGCGGTATTTGAGACGGCGCGTCAACGGCCAAATGACGAAGTGGAGAAAATGGAACTTACATTTGCGTCGTGGAAGGCGAACCACGGGTGGGGCTTCCCTACGCGCAAAGAGCGCTGTCACGTGGCTAGCGAAGCCATCGCCCCTGCGTCCGTAACCACGAAGGTAATCGTAGAAATGAAGCAGGCTAGCCGAGTTGGAGGCACCCCAGATCAGCAGCGACCAGTACTGCGAGATATTGCATGGAACGCAGCATTACGGAGAACCGCTGGCGCTGGCATTCCGTCGTATCTGTTGACGAAGCGTCGCCGTGTGGATGGCCATCCTTCTAGCACCTGCAACGCTTCGCTTCCTCCCGACGTGTCTCGCGTTGTCACAGCTCCTTCTCACATCCCGCACGCAACCATAGATCCTATTGACGATTCAACCGGCTCGATTGTTCTTGCTTTGAAGTCCCCGGTCAGGCGTCGAAGATTAGATATAAACTTGGGCATTCCCCCTTCCCCGGATCGACCGAGGAGATGTCTTTGAGTAAATGAAACGAGAGAAAACATTTCGCACTTGTGTAATATAATGGGACTCGTAAAAAAACTCCTCTTTTTTGACAGTCTTCTGGCACATCCAAAGAGAAAAGCATGATGCATCCAAGCGAGTCCTTCGTCTCCGGCTTTGCAAGTAGGGCGGGTCTCAGCACTTTTCGAAAGACGGGGCTTTCACAGCATCTGCAATGATTGAATACGGAAGTCTTTGACTGGCCTTGGTGGTCCCACCCACTCTACCTTCTCTCCCCTTTTCTCTCTCTCTCATCATCTTTGTAACTTGTTTTGTATGTGTGAAGCTGCTCTCGCGGTACTTTCCTCTTTCTCCAGCGTGGCTGCAGATCGACTGACTCTCTTGCGCTTGGAGCACTCTCTGCCTTTTCGCTGTTGCTGCTGCTTGTGTCTTTGGTTTCTCTTTGTCCCCCCCCCCACAACTTTCCTTCTATCGAAAATGGACATGCGAGGTTTGGCTCACTTCATCCGGGATATCCGCCGGGCTACTGGAAATAAAAAGGATGAAGAAAGCCGTGTTGATGAGGAGCTCGCCAAAATCCGTGCGAAGTTCATCCATACCAGCACGATGACGACGTATGACCGAAAGAAATACGTGTGCAAGCTGATGTTCATCTCCATGCTTGGCTACCGCATTACGTTTGGCCACATGGAGGGCCTGAAGCTGATGTCTGAGGAAACTCCTTCGGCGAAGCTGATCGGCTACCTCTCCACATCTGTCCTCCTCAACGAGAACAGCGATCTTTTAACCCTCACCACCCACACTGTGTATCGAGACCTGCTGTCGACTTCTGATCTCAGCCGAAGTCTGGCGCTCACCGCGGTGGCAAACACCGGCAGCCGCGACTTTGTGGAGGTGATGCACGAGGGCGTGTACTCCATTGTCATGGACGACTCCGTCAATGAGCACATCCGCAAGAAAGGGCTGCTGACGCTGCTCCACATTTACCGCAAGTACCCTGAGATTGTCGACCTGCAATCGGCGGTGCCGAAGGCGGCGGAGCTTCTGCTGTCGGCGCAGGACGGTGTGAGCATGTGTGCTGTGACGTTTCTCAACGGATGCATCAGCAAGGAGACGGAGTCGATGTACATCGGCATTCTCTCCAAACTCATCCAAGTCCTTGCGCGCATCATCTTGGAGAAGCAGACGGAGCCCGGCTACGTCTACTACGGTGTGCCGGCGCCGTGGCTTCAGGCTAAGCTTCTGCGTCTGCTGCAGTACTTCCCCCTCCCCACCGAGGTTGACCAGCGCGACCGCATCATTTTGGTTTTGCGCAAGATCGTGAAAGCCACTGACAAGGTACTAAAGGACGCGCAGACGCAGCAGAAGCAGCGCGGCACGCAAAACCGCGTGAGCGCCATGAACGCCGTGCTGTTCGAGGTGGTGTCACTCTGCATCCAGTGGGATGTTGGGCTGAAGCTCATTCTCGAGTGTGTGGCCGTGATCAGCTCCTTCTTGTCCGACAAGCGCGAGGCCAACCTCCGCTACATCGGACTAAGTCTGCTTGCCCGGCTCAGCTTCGTCGATGTGCCCGGCTTTGACTTCCAGACGCACTGCCGACAGTATCAACAGCAGATCATCGTCGGGCTGCACGACACCGACGTATCGATTCGCAAGAAGGCCCTCGATGTTCTGGTGGCCATGTGTAACCCCAGCACGGCGGACAACATCATCAAGGAGCTGCTCTCTTATCTGCCCATCGCCACAGATCCCAACTTCAAGTCGAGCCTCGTGCTTTCCATCGCTCTCTTGTCGGAGAAATACTGCCAGGATTACAACACCTACGTGGACATCATGCTGACCATCGTGTCTGAAGCGGGGGACCTGTGTCCGCCCGACATATCTTACCGTGTGGTGCAGGTCGTCGTGAACGACTCCTCGGTGCAGAAGCGGGCGGCGAATATGGTCTTCCAAGAGCTGCGGACAAAGTCACGGCTTTCCGAAATGATGACGCGCGTGGCGGCGTTCATTCTGGCCGAGTTCGGCTACCAAATCGCGCTCAACGCGGAAAGCACGCCAACGATGCAGTTCAACCTCCTCACCCAGCAGCTGAGTTACACCTCCGTGGTGACACAGAGCACCATTCTGGCCACCTTCCTCAAATTCTACACGCTGTACGACGATGTAGCAGTGCGGGAGAAGATCGTCAAGACCCTGCAGTCGTTCACCAACAGCCCTTACCCGGAGCTGCAGCAGCGTGCGACTGAATACATCGCACTCATCGAGAACGCCAGGTCGGAGGTGCTGGAGAAGATCTGCGAGCCCATGCCGCCGTTTCGCGATGACGTAAACACCGTCATGAACCAAGTGAAGCGCATGCAGAGCAGCGTGCAGGACATCTGGGCGCTGAAGATTTTGGAGCGCGGGGTATCTCACCCGACGCAGTCCTCCAAGCACAAGTCCAGGTCCCAGGACGGGGCGAGCCGGAAGGAAAGCGCGAAGCAGTCTGTCAAACTGAACGATCTGTCGTCGCTGTCGTCGCAGGCGCCTACACAAGGCGACGGCACCGATCAAGTCAGCGTAGAGCTCGACGCTTTGCTAGACGTGGAGCTGCCGTATCAGAACATCGAGAACATACGAACTGCTTATCAAGAGCACCGCCGCGGACTGTTTCAGCTGTCCAGGGCGGACAAGGGTATTCTCTTCGCCAACGACGTCGTCGAGCTGCAGTGCACCAAGTCGACGTACGGGGCAGACGCTCACATCGGCGTCACAGTGCGTGACAGGACCGGCAAAGGGCTGCAGCAGGTCGCCCTCGAGGTGATCCGTGCGGACGCAGGTCTCATTTTGCAATCGCGCACAAAAGATGGCAGCACGGTGGCACCGGGCGGCTCCATCAAGGTCGACCTCGCCGCGCGCTCGTGCTTCGCCTTCGGCACCTCCCCGAGCGTGCGGCTGCAGTACGCTTCGGCCGCCGTGGACAACGCACGTGTCTGCACGGAGGTGCTCTCGCTGCCCATCCTCGCCACCACGTTTTTCACGCCGTACCACGTAGACTCGGAAGCCAGCTTCACGCAGCTGTACAAGACGACGAAGCAGCATTCCTCCTTTGCTAGCTGGCGAAGAACCTCGGCGACGTCACCGATTCCGGACAGGAACACGCTTATCCGCCTACTTGAAGCGCAGGGGTACCAAGCAAAAGCCACGAACTCCGATACAACTGTTGGGATTGCCGCCTTTGCCGTCCAGCCAAAGGACCGCGTCGATTACGTCCCCGTCGTGTGCGAAATTCAGACCTCTACGCGCGAGATACAGGTCTCTGTGTACGCGGAAGATGCTGTACTGCAACACGGGACCTTAGACACCGTGGAATTTATCTTTCAGTAGTTGTGTATCTGTCGTTGATGCAGCCGTGGAAAACATATATAGCTCGTCAACTGCCACCTCGATCGCTTTTCTTTCTTTCTTTCTTCTTTGGTTGTTTGATTTGTATCAACATTCTCTCCCCATTCTGCGATGCCTGTCGCGTAGCGTTCTCTTTGTCGTAAGTCGCTGAGGTTGTCTGTGCGGACCTGTCCGCTCTCCAGCCATTTTATCTTCGCCGGCCGCAAATATTGGCGTTCAGGCGTTCTATGAAGAGTACAAGCACTTCCTAGCGTGGCGCCTTTCCTCTCTTTTTGTCTTCGTTGCGATTCACCGCACTAGCCTTTTCTTTGCTTTGCTCCTTCTACGCACATATTCGTTGACGCCTGTTTTCCTTGTGCGGAGATTCTGTTTGAGCCTACACGAGTTTTGTGTTGCCGCTGCCTCAGATGCTTCCTCACTGCAACGTGGAAAGCCCTCCCTCGCCTTCCGGAAACGACATCGTAGATGTACGGCAACTTCCCTAGTAAAGAGCACTGTTTCTTTTTTCTATACCGTTTATGTGGTGCTACACGAAGTGAAGTAGATAAAAGAAAACATAACTGACGCAAGTGGTTTGCGCATGTGGGCATCTTTGTGTTTTTCTTCTTTTCGCGAAACGAGCTGGCGAAGGAAAGCAGAGAGAGATCCGTCGCGTCTCTTTCTTGCCCTGCCTGACAGCTCGTTGTCTTCCGAAGGAAGGTCTTCCGCTTTTCGTTTGTCTAAGAAGCCGCAACGATTTTCTTCGTATCCCCTGTCTTCCATCGAGTCTCTTCTCTTCGCCTTTCTCTTGTTTGTACTATTATCATTATTATTGGTGGAAAATATCCTCTCTTCGACGTGTTGACCTCTGAATGAAAGTAAATCTTAGTCAGCGGTGACCACACCTGTCTAAATAAAAGAAGGAATAGTAGGTACGTAAGCATTACACTTCGAAGCACCGTACACTTGTACGTAGCGTAATCATGGCTGGAAAGAAGGCGCATCCCATCAAGCGGGACTGGTACTGGAACCACAACGACCGCTTCGAGATCTGGCACAGCCTCGACTGGCCTTCGGTGCGACGCGGCCGTCAGATCTACACGGAGGTCTTTGCACCTTGCCACTCCCTCGGTCGCATGACCTTTACCCACTTCCAAGGCTTCATGACCCGTGAGGAGATCAAGAAGCTCGCCGCCCAGTACGAGGTGATCGACAGCGAGCCGGATTCGCAGGGCAACCTTAACCGCCGCCCTGGCAAGCCGACGGACACGCTGCCCACGCCCTACCCCAACCAGCGTGCGGCTCAGTTCGCCAACAACGGCGCGGAGCCGCCGGATTTGCAGCACGCTGTCTTCGGCAAGGAGGGCGGCCCGGACTACATCTTCTCCCTCGTGACAGGCTACGGCTGGGGAAACGGGGAGCTGATGGAGATCCCTCCGTTTGCGCCGGAGGTGAAGCCGGGTCAGTTCTGGAACCCGTACTTTAAGGGCTGCGTGCTCTCCATGCCGCCCCCGCTCTCGGATGGCCTGGTGGACTACGAGGATGGCACCCCCGCCACCATCAGTCAGATGGCAAAGGACGTGGTGAACTTCCTGCGCTGGTCCGCCGAGTCAGAGTACGACGATCGCCGCGTAGCATTCTGGAAGGTGGCCACCACCGTCGGCCTGGTTAACTGCATTCTGTTCCATTACGGCCAGAAGAACACGAACTGGCGCATCTACGGCCGCACGACCTTCCGCTACTGGAAGAAGGCATGGTAAATCACTGAGTCATTGTCATCTTCGCCTAGTCAAGTGGCGGATGCAGCAACTGCAGCCGTTCTTCCTTCTCGAGAAGCTGCGTATGTGTGTGTGTGTGTATGTCGGGTAGAGGAGTCGTTTGCCATTAGTATGTTATGGCTCTTATCACTTATCTTTAAGATGGCGCCGTTTGTCTTTGCGCATAAGGTGTTCGCCCTCCCTTTACAATCCGATTTTTTTTATTAGAACGGGGACACCGCGGGTTCATTACTGGCTCGTCGGTTGCTCACCGCGCACTCTCCTTCCGTTTGCTTTTGTGGCTCTCCGTCTCATGCGGGCTGTGGAGACATCGATCGCAGCAGCTGGCGTTGTCGTGCCAGCTCTTGCGAAAGCGGGAAGGGTAGTGTGAGGGTGGCACACAAGAACGAGGCATCTCAGCCCTCTATATGTTTTACCTATGTAATGCGCTGGGGAAAACGCGTTCACTGTGGCGCGAAAGGTTTTCCATTTATATCTTTTTTTTTACAGTATACCTTTCTTACCTTTCATATCTTCTTCGTTCGTGGAAGTGTGTAGGAATTGAACCTAGTAGTAGTCAACGCAAATGTCTTAAACCCGAAGAAAAGAGTTCGCGAATGCAGGAAAGAGCGATGATGAGAGTAGGCCGGACAACGCACTGGCTGGTTGCCTTTCTTCCTCTTCCAACGTGGAGAAGCGCAACGCTGCTGCAAGTTCTGCGTGCCAGCAGAGACTCGGGCAAGTGAGAATGCAAACGTATACCAACGTCTTACAGAGTTGCAATGCTGCCTTTCTTTTTTTTTCGTCTCGCACGCCTCGGCACCGCTGATGCGCCGTGTCGGCAGCAAGAAAGTAAATCGAGTAGACATTCCGCAAACGGTGCTTTGCGCAGTCTTCCCCATAAAAAGAATCTCAGTTCTTTTTAGTTCTGCGAAATGAAGACAAAAAATCTCTCCTTTTCTCTTCCGTTTCAATACTTACGTATCTCATTTGCGTGCCGCAAGAAAGCGGCCTTTTTCTTCTCTTGAATCTGGAAGGCTCTCCGCTGAGCGTTCCTTTTCTGTTGCCGCTGTCTTGTGAACAACGCAGCGGTGAAGACGACGGCCAACGTTGGGATCGCACGACCGCGGACGTGCCGCAGTCAACAGGAAAGAAATATCCGACACTAGCGATGCTGAAAAACACGTGTACGCGGCGAGCCCTGGCCGCCACCTCTCTATTGTTGAAGCGCAGCGGCAAGCCAGGTGACCTCCCCGCCTACAAACAGGTGTACCTGCCCTACGACACCGCCCCCACCAAGATGGAGCTGGACAGGGAGCGGCGCCGCTTTATGCACGCCTACACCGGCCGCATGGAGCACCGCAAGATGGTGGAGGTAAAGGATGTTCCACAGAACATGTACACGTACGGGAAGGAGGGCATGTCGGTGCCCATCTCCATCTTTAAGGAACAGGCGGACCCTGTCATCGGACCCGAGTGGACGTACCCCGGCATTTACGAAAACAAAATAGTCGCTCAGCACTGGTACATGGAGGAGCTCTTTGATCGCGAGAAAACCTCCTCGTTTGAGTCGCCGTGGCAACGACAGGTGCTGGACAACCAGGTAAAGCGCCGTCTGAGCAAGGTGGCGTGGCGCATGTCCATGCTGAACATCAAGACGATCGACATCTTCCACAAGGAGCGTGGTGCGTCGAAGCGACCTGGCGCGCCTGGCGCTGCTGATCCCAAGACTGCGGGGGCAGCGGCAGCACCAGCAGGGAAGAAGTAATCTTGATTTCGCTGGGCGTCAGTCGTATTTCATGCAGGCGATGGTCGACGGTTTCACTTTCCATTAACCTTCCAGGTCGACGGCAAGCCTGTCAAGGTGGATGACCATTTAGCTTGTTGTTGATGTTTAGGTGGTCGCGCATGCCTGCACCTGCTGCACGCCGCGTCCAAGACTTGTCTGCGGATAATTTGTTTTTCATGAGTCTGTGCCCATGGTTGGGACTCACCTTTCTTGTTCCCTCACATGCTGTTTGTGGTGTTGCAATGCACCAAAAGAAGGATGAGCGGAGAAGCGGAGACGGCTTGTATCGCGTGTGAAAGTCCCGCCGGAGAGGGTGCCCTGTGTGGCTTTTTCCTCAAAAAAAGGAGATGGAGAAACAGGGAGAGAAGTTGTAAATACGCACAACGTACTCCGCGGCTTCACTTTGCTCTCGTGGGTGCCATCGTTGTGCCCACTCCATTGGTCCTGTTCTTGTCTGCTGCATGTCCACCGAACACCTTCTTCTTTCTTGTTGTCACTATCCGTGTCGTTTTCTGATCGTTTGCGTTGCCTTTCTGCTCTACTTGCATCTTTAACACAGTGAGGTTGGCCGCACCCAACACTACCGCATACGTGTGTATTCTTGAACTCCTCTTTCTTACTTTGCTATTGATTTGACTTTTTGTTTTACCTATCTTCTTTCTTGCTACTTCACAGTGTTGTTTACCGTGCTCTTTGTGTGTGTGTCTTTTACTCCCTCTTTCCCGTTCGACTATGACACAGGTGCCACGTGTTGTGGTCGTCGTGGCAGCGGTGCTGGCGGCTGTCCTCCTCTGCTTGCAGGGTGAGGTGGCGGCTGCGGGTGAAAACAAGAAACTCTACCCGGCCTGCGGTGGCATCGAGCACACGGCGACCGCCAATTCGCAGGAGGAGGTGACACTCTACAGCCACCCCTACTCCTACAACGGCATCGCACTGGACTGCCTTGCCTACGAGGTGACCTCCCTCAAAGGAGGGCAGAAGAACCAGAAAAAGGACTATTGTGTCATCAAGCACCAAACCGAGTACGCTTACTCCATCGTACTGCGCGCCACCTACGTCGACGACAGCGGCGATCGCGTCACGCGCGACTTCAGCATCCGCGACATGACGGGCGGGTCCTTGACGTCGGTGACAACGCGCATGCCGCAATCCAGCAAGTACTCTCTTGTGTTCAAGAACCTCGCCACCAACAAGCGATGCAACTTACAGGTCCGCGCCTTGGTGTCTCTCTCCACCGTCCCTGACGCGGACGCATCTGCGGTGGGGCCAACCGTCGTCGCTATTGAGCCGCGCACCGTGTACACGAAGGACTCGCCTCGCACCTACCTGGTGCTGGATCACGGCCACGGCGTCATGCCAAGTCGCTCCGATGTCGTGACGCTGGTGGACTACACGCTGGGCACGTGCGCCCAACCCGTCGGGGACGTGGTCACGATGGACTACTCCTCCTCCATCCCGCCTTCGGTGCACATAACAGGAGACGAGAGTGACTACAGTGCACGCGTGGCAACGCTGTACAACCCCAACACGTATCGCGTGTGCTACCGCGGCGCGGACTCGTCCAGCGCGCTCGAGATCGCCGTCATCACCGCCTTCTCTGGCAACCCCGCTTACTATGAGGTGATCAGCGGAGAGGACTCGGAGGGGCGGGTGCTGGTCGGTGAGAAGGCCACCATCAAGTTTTATGGCTACGACCTTGACTCTCGCCAGCACGGCGACGAGGCAAAGTTTGTGTGGTTCACGGACGAGTGCGACTGGGGTGCGCCAGCTGCAGGCGTCCCGTTGACGGACGACTTGGGGCCGGACGACAACTACGGACCGAACACGACGTACACGCTGTGGACGTGGACCATGAAGGAGGAGGGCGCCTTCAAAGTGTGCTACAAGCGCAAGGCCACCGGGAAATGGACAGAGGTGCCCTCGATCGACGACATTGGCCCAGGTGCGGCCGCAGACACCTCCACGCCCAGCCCGGTGCCGGACCCCACCGACCCGTCGACGAAGGAGAAGTGCCCGAAGCTGACGTACAACTCACAGGACCCGTGGAAGAAGTACAAGAGCGTCCAAGTGACCCTCGCGACCAAGGACATCCCAGACACATTCTTTCACACGCTGTCGCAGGTGCTGTGCCTGCCCGTCAACATGTTCATCGTCATGCACAGCCGAAAGACGGACGATGGCTACAAGAACGTCTTCCTCACCTTGAACTGCGACGCCGCTGGCAACGAAGGCCAGTGCGACATGACAGAGCGGCTGAACTACTTCGCGCAGCTGTCCACCACGGTATTGAATGATCACGGCATTACCGCGGTGGTGGGCAGCACCTCCGTTTTTGCCTTTGACGATGACAAGGTCGTTACTATTATTAAACGCTCCTCAAATGCGCTCATCTTCTGCGGGCTTTGTGTTCTGGCAGGCGGTGGCATGGCCGTCTTCGCCGTGAACCGCTACCAGGAGCGGCGGCACCACTTCACCCAGTTTGGTCTGGACGAAGACGACATCGATGATATGTACGACTTTGGTACCGCGCCGGGACCTGGTGCGCCTGGTACTACCGCGCAAGATCACTATAGTGTACCAGGGGCGCCACAGCAGCCGCCCGCGCGCATTCGAAACGCCGTCATCGAGATCGAAGACTAAGGAGCATCTCTTCTCTTTCTCTGATTGGGGCTTTGTGGGCCCAGCATGCTAACTTTATTCTGAAAACAACAAGTGAGTAACATTCAACGTATTATCCTCATATATATTGCCTTTTGAAAGAGGAGAGCGCTTCGATGAAAGTGGAACGAATGCCCGCTGAATGCGGAGAGACGAGCTGCCTTCATTTATTTTGTGTCCGTGTTTTGCTTGACAAAGACGATTGCGTTCACGATTTTCAGTTGCGGTGGAAGGCGTAGAATTTTTTCTATTTCTCTTCTTCACCCTTTACTTTGCCCTGTTTATTTCTGGCCTGTAACAACAGCGGACTTCAAAGAGGAAATGTGCCGCAAGTAACGTTGCGGACGCGAAGGTGAGCAGGTTGCTAGGTAAATATATGCTTCTCAAAGAGTGAAGATCTGCAACGCCCTGTCGTCTTTTAAGGCCTTCTTTCGGTTCACGTGGTGGTTGGCGCTGCACTAAGTTAAATAATATGTCATCGTGTTTTCCATCTACCTCGCAAATAATGGGAGGAGGCGTGAAAGCTCCTGATTGAAGCACGCGCTGCTTCCTGACCTCGGTGCTTGCGTGTCTGCTCACGAAACACGCACTCTTCTCATTGCGGTGCCCCTAAAGGGGTTTTTTCCAGTCCCATCTGCAGTGCGCTTACGTAGACATTATTCGCTTCGTATTCTCCCTTCAGCTCTGAAGCGTCGAGCATGTGCGTCGCAGCTACTCCTCTCCACTGCTCGATACTCCCCTTCACATCTTTTTATGTATGTGTGTGTGTGTGTGTGGACCTCCTCTCCGCTCTCTTTGCGTCGCTGTTGCGAGGATCAACGTAGAAGCGACGATCAGCTCAATCATTCATACCTACGTCTTTACCACCTGCCAGATAGGCAGCAGTCCGAGTTCAGCTGCCCTCATCAGCACTGCCGTTTGTCACCCCTCTCGGGGTTTTTCTCGTAAGAGGGATACACCCAGCCTCAGTGACGTGGCATCCGTCGCCGACACTCGTGGCCATTTTCTATTTATATACCCTTTTTTTCTAGTAAGTCTCGTCGTTGGCAGAGAGCGGCTGGATCACGCAGAAGTACATTTTTTTCTTTTCCTTAGTAGTATAATTCTATTTGCAAACTCCGTCTCAAATAATGCCAGGAGAGCGCTCCCCTGTCTTCGAGGAGCTCGAGGAGCTCTTCCAGACGCGCATCCTCGTGCTCGATGGTGGCATGGGTACGATGCTGCAGCGGTACAAGCTGACTGAGGAGGACTTCCGCGGAGAGGAGTTTAAGAACGCCACAAAGGACCTGAAAGGCAACAACGACCTCCTTTGCCTCACGCAGCCAGATAAGGTACGCGACGTTCACTACCAATACGCCATTGCAGGTGCCGACGTGATCGAGACGAACACCTTCAACGCACAGGCCGTCAGCCAGGCGGATTACGAGGTGCAGCACCTCGTCCGTCGCATCAACCTGGCGGCTGCGAAAATCTGCAGAGATGCTGCGGACCAAGCAACGCGAGAGACCGGCCGGCGCATCTTTGTGGCCGGCGGACTCGGGCCGCTGAACCGCACCGCGTCCATCTCGCCCTCCGTCGAGCGACCCGACTACCGCAACATCACCTACGACGAAATCGTTTCCGCGTACACGGAGCAGGCCTCCGCCCTGCTGGACGGTGGTGTCGATGTGCTGTTGATTGAGACCATTTTCGACTGCCTCAACGCCAAGGCAGCCCTTTTCGCACTCAACACGCTCTTCGACGACAAGGGCTACACCCGCGTGCCCATTATGGTCAGTGGCACCATCACCGACCTCTCCGGCCGCACGCTCAGCGGGCAGACGGTGGATGCCTTTTACTCGTCCATGCGGCACGGCAATATCATCTCCATCGGCCTCAACTGCGCTCTGGGCTGCCGCGAGATGCGGCCGTACATTGAGCGGATGTCTGAGATCAGCGAAGGCTACGTCACGTGTTACCCCAACGCCGGTCTGCCGAACGCGATGGGGGGCTACGACGAGACGCCAGAGGACATGGCACGCGACATCCGCGAGTTCGCCGTCAGCGGGTGGGTGAACCTCGTCGGTGGGTGCTGCGGCACCAACCCTGACCACATCCGCGCCATCGCCAAGGCCGTCGCGGGGCTGCCGCCGCGGCCGAAAGGCACGCCGAACCACACGATGGTCATTAGCGGTCTCGAGCCGCTCTACTTCACGCCGCACATCGGCTTCTGCAACATCGGGGAGCGCTGCAACATCAGCGGCTCTCTGCGCTTTAAGCGTTTGGTGAAGGAGGGCAAGTGGGAGGAGTGCCTGGCCGTTGCCCGCAAGCAGGTGGAGGAGGGCGCCATGGTACTCGACGTGAACATGGACGACGGCCTCATCGATGGCGTATCTGCGATGACGCGCTTCCTCAACATGCTCGCCTCCGACCCGGAAGTGGCGCGTGTGCCCCTCATGATTGACTCGTCGAAGTTCCACGTGATCGAGGCGGGTTTGAAGTGCACGCAGGGTACGCCCATCGTCAACTCCATCTCTCTTAAGGTGGGCGAGAAGGAGTTCCTGCGCCAGGCCCGGCTGATTCGCCGCTACGGCGCGGCGGTGGTCGTCATGGCCTTCGACGAGAACGGCCAGGCCGCGGACTGCGAGAACAAAATCCGCATCTGCAAGCGGGCCTATGACATGCTGGTAGCTGACGGCTTCCCCTGCGAGAACATCATCTTTGACCCGAACGTGCTCACCATCTGCACCGGCATGGAGGAGCACAACAACTACGCCATCGACTTTATGAACGCGGCGGAGTGGATCAAGAAGAACCTGCCAGGGGCGAAGGTGAGCGGCGGGCTGTCGAACCTCAGTTTCTCCTTTCGGGGCTTCGAGAAGATCCGCATGGCGATGCACTCTGCGTTTCTCAAGAAGACGATCTCCGATGGCACGATGGACATGGCCATTGTGAACGCCGGCGCATTGCCCGTCTACACCGACATCGAGCCGGATCTGCTGAAGCTGGTCGAGGACGCCATCTACAACCGCACCCCTGACTCCTCGGAGCGCATTTTGGAGTACGCCGAGAAGCTGAAGGCGGAGGGCGCCGCCGGGGGGACGGAGGCGAAGGCGGTGGCGAAGGTGGATGAGTGGCGCAACGCCCCAGTGGAGGAGCGGCTGTCGTACGCCCTCATCAAAGGCATCGTCGAGTTCATTGAAAGCGACGTGGAGGAGGCGCGCACCTGTGGCAAGTACGCCCGTCCGCTGTACATCATTGAAGGCCCCTTGATGGATGGCATGAGCAAAGTCGGCGAGCTTTTCGGCAGCGGCAAAATGTTTCTGCCGCAGGTGATTAAGTCAGCGCGTGTGATGAAGAAGGCGGTTGCTGTGCTGATACCCTTCATGGAGGCGGAGAAGGCGGCGCTCAGCAAGAGCAACGGCACCGAGGCAGAAGCGACGAAGCCGAAGCGGGTGCTCATGGCGACGGTGAAGGGCGATGTGCACGACATCGGCAAGAACATCGTCGGTGTGGTGCTGGGCTGCAACAGCTACGAGGTGATCGACCTCGGTGTGATGGTGCCGTGTGAGAAGATCCTGGCCGCCGCTAAGGAGCACGACGTCGACGTGATTGGCCTCTCCGGCCTCATCACGCCCTCCCTGGACGAGATGGTGCACGTGGCTAAGGAGATGAAGAAGAATGGGTTTAGCATCCCTTTAATGGTGGGTGGCGCCACGACATCGAAGCAGCACACCGCAGTAAAGATCCAGCCGCACTACGCCAAGACCGTGCACGTGCTGGACGCGAGCAAGTCTGTGGTGACGGTGTCAAACATGCTGGGCGACAACAGCGAGGACTTCTGGGATGAGGTGCACGAGACGTACAAGGAGATCGCCGAGGACTACTTGGCCAACCTCAAGGACCGCGTGTACAAGCCCCTCGCCTTTTGCCGAGACAACCCATTCAAGATCGACTTCGTCGCGAACCCCCCGGCGCCGCGCCCGAACAAGCTGGGCACCATCACGATCAACGACTACTCACTGGAGGCGATCGCCAGCCGCATCGATTGGAATCCGTTCTTCTCGGTGTGGCAGGTGCGCGGCACCTACCCGAACCGCGGCTACCCGAAGCTGTTCAACTGCCCTACAGTCGGGGCGGAGGCGAAGCGGCTCTTCGATGACGCGCAGGAGATGATGAAGGACATCATCGCCACCCGCAGCTTCCATGCCAAGGCCGTCGTGACGCTGATGCCCGTCAACAGCGTTGGCGACGACATCGAAGTGTACAAGGACGACACGCGTAGTGAGAAGATCGGCACCTTCTTTGGGCTGCGGCAGCAGGCAGAGAAGGAGCGCGGGGAGCCGTACCTGTGTCTTTCGGATTTTATCGCTCCTAAGGGCGTCGCTCCCGATTACCTCGGCAGCCTCATCGTCGGCATCTTCGGCGCTGATGAGATGAGCGACCGCTATGATAGTGACAACGACGGCTACAGATCCATCATGGTCAAGGCCCTCGCCGATCGCTTTGCCGAAGCCTTTACAGAGGAGGTGCACCGCATCATTCGCACAGACTTGTGGGGCTACGTGGAGAAGGAGACGGCGGAGACGGCGGACTTGATTCAGATGCAGTACCAAGGTATCCGCCCCGCACCGGGCTACCCGTCGCAGCCAGATCACACGGAGATGGTGACGATGTGGCGCGTCGGCGAGGTGGAGGAGCGCATCGGCGTCAAGCTGTCCGAGTCGTACGCGATGATACCCGCGGCGTCTGTCAGCGCGTTAGTCTTCGCCCACCCTCTGTCGAAGTACTTCGCGGTGGGCAAGATTCAAAAGGATCAGGTGGAGGACTATGCTGCTCGCAAAGGCTGGAACCTCGAGCGCGCAGAGCGCACGCTGAGCTCATCACTGGCCTACGATTAGGCAGCTCTTTGTGTTGTTCATGGTCTCCCGTGTTCCTCGTCAAATTTGCCGCATTTTCTGCCATTCCCCCCCCCCCCTCCCTCCCAAACGAGAGGAGTAGGGAGGGCAGCTTTTCGCGTTGTTTTCTTCTATTTGATTACTCGTAATTATCTTTACTGACGCCGGTCGTGCATGGCGGAATAAGAGAAGACCCGTGACATTGATGTTTACGACCGGCGCTGCTTTGCGCGTGAATGTTCTTCTTGTTCTTGTGGTTTCGCGTGGAGTATCACGCCCACGCTTCTTCTGCTTTCCTGGTTATTACCTCTGCGCTTTCGCACGTCGTCAGCATCGTCACGTGTGAAATGCCTCATGCGGTATGTCTCCTTCTCCGTTTTTGTTGGGTGGGTAAGCCCCACCGTGCTATTTCTTTTCTCCTTCCTCTCGTGCATCCGTGAAAGGCTTTGCTTGTGTGTGTCTGTGTGCTGTGCTGTGCTGTGCTGTGTGTGTGGGCATGCGAGGGAGGTGCGTACGTGCTTTATTATCACTCTCTTCCGTTTCTCTTTCCCAGCGTCTACACATGCGCAGCGCGTGGTTGGGGTCGGGGGTAACGCCGTCTAAAACCCAAGGCTGAGCTGCAGTGACGCTGAGCTTCTTGTAAAACATAAAGCTTTCTCTTTCTTTAAACTGATAAAAGTGGTCTTTAATTGCGGCTCTGGAAACGCCAAAGATGAATTTCCCTTCAAGACCCATAACACCCGCTCTCGCTCGCAAGAGAGGATCGGCAGGAAGACGCTTCGATCCCCCATCCTCCATCACTTTTTTCGTCTTCCCGGGTACGTGGTAGCGATCAAGCGCCTCGCCAGGTAACCCTCATGCACGCTGCTTGCAGCCGCGGAAGTGAAAACAATGCCCTCCTCCCATATAACCCCTGCAACGTCGTCTTCGCCCCTCTCCCTCCTCCTTCATTCCTTTGCCTTCTCCGATCCGAATCATACGCACACGGGAACCCACATGCGTGCCTCGCGGGGACAACAAAGCAAACAACCTGGCACTGCCCTCTTCCTTTGTGTTATTTTTCCTCTTCACTCAAGGAAGCGGACGGTGTTTTGAATTTACTTTCTCCGTTTGGCAAAGTTCTGTTGAGGTCAAAATTGATTGCCTGTTGCAACTTAACGGCTTCTCGTTTGTTTGTCTGTGTTCGGGCCGCCCTTTGCGCCATCTCCGACACCGCCGCGCCCGCCAACGAGCGCTCGTTTGCCGAAAACTAAAATAAATTGTAAAAAGCCCGAAGGGAAAACGAACAAGTGCCTTCGTACGCTGCAGCCTCTCCTTATATATCTTCTCCGTTGCTTTGTATCTCCTGTGTCAAACTGCTCCGCTGCCACACGTGTTGGCGCGGGATTCGAGGCTGACCGTTAGTGATACTCGCGCTAGCGGGAAAAGGGAAGATCACGCTGCATTCATTTCTTTTCTAATTCAATACGACAGCGGCCTCAGCGACTCGTTGGGCACACCGAACTTCAAAGCACGACTTTTATTACCCATTTGTTTTCTGAGCTCTTTCCGTGTGCTTCTGTCTTCGCTTCGCAGTCAAAAAATCTGCAAGCAACGCCGCCTGGTTTTCTTTCTGCGTAATTTGATTGAAAGTATATTCATAAATATATATACTTGTGTTGTCCTCCTCCTGTAAAGTGAAAGGCGAGAAGAATCGATGCTGCGCTCTGCGATTCGGTTGTTGGCGCCGCGTAGCTGCAGGCGCGAGGATTTAATCTTCACGGACATGTGCGGCTTCACCCCGCTGAAGAAGCGCCGCATCGATGACCTGCACCTCGTGGCCTACGAGTTCGAGCATGTGGCCACCGGCGCACTGTACTACCACATTGATGTTGATGACAGTAACAACACCTTTTGCATTGGCTTCCGCACGCCGGCGCTGAACAACAAGGGCACCTCGCACGTCTTGGAACACACAACACTGTGCGGCAGCCACAAGTACCCCGTGCGCGACCCCTTCTTCATGATGATGAAGCGGTCGCTGAGCTCCTTTATGAATGCGATGACCGGCTCCGACTACACCCTCTACCCCTTCTCGACGACAAACGAGAAGGACTTCGAAAACCTGCTCGACGTCTACCTCGACGCCGTCTTCCACCCGCTGCTGCGTGAGGAAGACTTCAAACAAGAGGGGCATCGAGTAGAGCTGGAGGACAAATCGGAAGACCAGGCGGGGAAGGAGGGCGAGAAGGACAAGCGCACGCGCCGCCTCGTGCACAACGGTGTGGTGTTCAACGAAATGCGCGGTGTCGTGTCGGACCCGAACCACTGCTTTGTGCGGTCGCTGATGAGCACCATGCTGCCCCACACCCACTACACCTACATCTCCGGCGGCTACCCGCCATGCATCCTGAGACTCAGCTACGTGGAGCTGCTCTTCTACCAGAAGCGTCACTACCACCCGACCAACAGCATTACCTTCACCTATGGCAACCAGCACCCACAGCGGCACATGGAAGCGCTCAGCTCCTACTTTAAGAGTTTTACCCGAGCGGAGCGGGTAGCGGTGCCGACGTTGACGCGGGAGAACCGTTTCACGGAACCGCAGCTGGTGCAGCTGGAGGGACCGCTGGACGCCATGGGCAACCCGCAGCACCAGAAGCGCGTCGCCGTCTCCTACGGCGTCCCGGAGGAGAACAACAAGCTGGAGGACATCGTCGCCCTCAGCGTGCTGGACAGCCTCCTCTCGAGCGGCCCGAGCTCCCCCATGTTCAAGAACCTCATCGAGTCGCAGATCGGCAGCAAGTACGCGCCAATGAAGGGCTACGCCTTCTACCTCTCCTCACCGGTCATCACGTACGGCGTGGCGGGCGTGGATGAAGAGCGGGCCGACGCGGAAGGCGAGGTGCTGCGCGCGGTGGAGTCGGCGCTGCGCACCGTGCAGACGGACGGCTTCGATGCGCGTCGGGTGCGGTCGGTCATCTTCCAGGAGGAGCTGCAGCACCGCCACCGCTCCGCGGACTACGGCCTCAACACCTGCACCGGTCTCTGTGCGATGGGGCTGTGCCGCGCGCAGAACAACCCCCTCGACTTCATCAACTGGCTGCCCCACCTGCAGCAGCTGGCGAAGGACAACGCGGCCTCGCTGCTGCCTCGCATCGAGTCGCACATGCTGGGCAACCCGCACCGTGCCGTGGTGTCCGTGTCGGCCAAGAAGGATTACCTGAACAACCTGCAGGAGCAACTGAAGGAGATGGATGAGGAGGTGAACGCCGCCGCCACGGAGGATGACAAGGACCGCATTGAGGAGGAAACGAAGGGGTGGCTGAGTCGCCTGCGTGCGCCACAGCCGCAGGACGTGCTGCCGACGCTGCGCATCTGCGACATTCCCACGGAGTCGTTTGCGGAGCCGGTGCCGCGGCGCACCCACCTCTCCACGAACAACAACGGCGAGGTTTACACCATCGCCTACCCAACCAACGGCCTCGTGTACGTGCACGGTCTCATCCCTTTCCATGCCTCCCTGACGGACGCGGTGGCGCACAGCGACCTGTCGAAGGGGCCACAGAGCTTGATGTTTGTGCAGTCGCTGCTTGGACAAACCGGCGCAGGGGCGCTGTCTTACAAGGACCACTCCATCGCGGCGGAGCTCGCCTGCAGCGGCTTCGGCTTCATACCGCTGCTGAACGAGTCCTACCTGCACCGCGGCACCACCATCACCGGCACCGCTTACGGCTTCTACACAACCAAGGAGAAGCTGAGGGAGGCATTGGAGCTGTTCAGCACCACGCTGCTCGAGCCGCGCGTCAGCGCAGACGACGCCGACGTCTACACCCGGGCCCTCTCGAGCATGAAGATGGCGTGCTCGTCGGCCATTCAGTCGCTGCAGAGCGAAGGCAACCGCTACGCCGTGACGCGTGCCGTCGCGGAGCTGACGCGGCGGGGCCAACTGCGTGAGCACTGGTACGGCCTCTCGCAGTCCACGCACGCCTCGGATGTGCTGGAGAAGCTGCAAGGCAGCACCGAGGAGTGCCAGACGGTCGTTCGCGCTCTCCTGCAGGACTACGCGGTGTTCACGCGGGAGATGGCAGCGGACATGTCGCGCAGCGTGATGTGGGCCACGTGTGAGGAGGGCCACCAAGCGGAGGTGCAGCTGCTGCTGAAGGACTTCTTGAGCATGTTCCCGAGCCGCGCTTCCAAGGCGAAGACGCACCTGTTCCTGCCCACGCGTGAGGTGACGCCGGGCGTGCAGCGGATCGACAGGAAGCTGCCGATTGACACGTCTTTCGTCGGTCTCGCCATCCCCAACAACCTCTCATGGGAGCACCCCGACCAGGCGAAGGTGCGGGTGGCGGTCCTGCTGCTGTGCAACGAGTACTTGCACCGCCGGGTGCGAGAGGAGGGCGGCGCCTACGGCTCCAACTGCGCCGCCACGCTGCACGGCGAGGTTGGCGGCATCTCCATGTCAAGCTACCGCGACCCCAACCCCGAGCTGACGGCGAAGGCCTTCCTCGAGGCGGGCGACTGGCTGTGCGGTAAGGACGTCACGGCCGCGCGCGTCGACGAGGCGAAGCTGCGGTTATTTGCGTCGATTGACTCTCCGTACGCTGCGGACTCCTACGGTGAGGCCTACTTCTATCACGACGTGCGGCAGCCCACGAAGCAGCTCATGCGCGATTCGCTGCTGTCGGTGACGCCGCAAGATGTGATGGACGTCGCTCACTACTTCAAGCCGGAGGGCAAGCCCACCATTGTGAGCGTCCTGCAGCCCATGGGCGGCTCGAAGGCGGAGGCAACGGCGGCACAAATCTGACCGCGACACCCATCTCCGAAGGTAAAGAGGAGACATACCTGCGGCCAACATATTAACCAAAAAAAAACTTCACGTAGCAACGAGCTGCTTTCCTTTCCTTCTCCATCTGTTCTCTCTTAATGCGTGTGCGCGTGCCGATGGGCACTAAATGTTTTCCTTTGTTTGGGAGGGTGGTGCTCTTGTCCATACTGCTGCTGATGTACACCCACAAGGGCAGGCCTTCATCGTTATACTTCCTTTCTGGGGGATCCTTTCGTAGAGGAGCAGTAGTCGCCTGTTTGACGGTAATTAATACTACACCGACTTATACATATATAAATAACGAGCACACACAGGAGCGAAAGCATGGTTGGAATTGATGCCGTACGAAGCGTGCTTCTTGAGGCCATTTGGTAGCCGCGCTATCAACACAAATCGTGCCACGTTGTATGGATTATTCCACTTCGTGGACCCTTTATTCATGCGTTGCGGCATCCCGCACGCGAATCGAAACTGCAGAGTCTATTTTGGTGTTGATGTATTGCTGTGGAGTCCTCTGCCGCTCGAGCACACGCCGCCGAGAAGTCGCCTCTGTCCTCCCCCCTTCCCTTTCTTTACTGCTACAGAATCCTACTGCTCTCTTTTGTACCTGCGCTCGAATAGCTTTCCACACTAGATTGGTCCACAGCCAGTTTCTTGACCGGCAAACCCTGTCAAGGCGAACAGCGAAGGGTGACATCGCGATTGGGCGCGTCTTTGCTGCAGTCACTTCGAACACGCCGTCGCTGCGACTCGAGACGGTGGGTGGCCACGTACGAGTACTTCTTGAAAACGAGAGGACCATTCAGAAACTCGCCCCTTTCTGTTGTTCCTCCTACCCTTTTGTTGTTGTTGTTGTTGTTTTCAGAAACTGCGAGCACACGAGTGTTGCGTGCAACATTCTCTGCCGTCCGCCACTTGCCAAGCCTGACGAGGAGGCCGTTCCGTGATACAGCATGGATCTCCACTCGAGCCGCCGTGGCGGACGACCCTCAGCGTGAGCCCTTCGGCCAACCCGAAACGCGGCGCCGCGACGGCACGAACGGCGGAGGGACAGGTCCCAGTGTGTCACCAGATGCGTCGCTGCAGCTGACCGCCAAAGGCAACGAAGACGGTGGCTCTTTCCTCGGCCGCTGGTGGTGAAGACGCATCGCGACGTGCAGGAGGAAGGCATCACCGTCCCACGAGCACCTCGACGTATGTGTGTAGGTGAGTTCGCGCAACTGCGTACGTGTGCGTATGCGCTTCTTTTTCTTTCAGTTTGATACTATTACGATTACTGCTATTTACGTTGAAGTGCCAACGGTCGCTTTTGTTTGCTTGTTCTTTTGCTCTGCTTGCTGTACGAAAGCAACGGGCTTCGGCCGAGGTGGCCTGTGCGCTGTGAAGGAAAAAAGGAAAATGGAAAGGCGCGGAGAGAAGCTTTTCTTTGCTGCCGACACGCATTACGGAATCACGAGGAAATTAGAAGTATTTTTCTCCCTGGATGACAGGTCCTTCCATCTCACCACGAGCGACGTCGACACTGTGCAGTTTGCTGTGTTGATCGCCTCGTATTCGGCTGAGTGGCGCTCGTGGCCCCAGTGGTGGTGGCGACATGACGATCCACAAAAATCTGCATCGTTCTCACTGAAGAGACGCGTGTATCGTGTGTGTAGAACGTTTCTTTGTCTCCCTCCCAACCTTTTCTCTTTTGCGCGCTCGTTTGTGGGACGAAATGGTCCTCTATTCGACATTCTCATCACACACACATGCACACGCACCTCCCCCCGCACACGTGACGCGTAGCAGGAGAACTGGAAATCAAGAAGGTACTTTCACCTTTGCTGGCACCCAAGTAGACGAGGAGGTGAACAAAACGGGAAAAAGAATGCGTCGTGGTGTGTGCGCTGTCGTGGCGCAGCACGTGAAGAACCCGCCCGCTTTTCTGCGAGCGCCGCAATGGCAGCTCCAGCGATGCAGCACGAGCCCCGCGGTCATGGTGACGGCCACCACGGCGGGCAGCTCTACCTCCTCTCTGACACTCCTTCAGAAGACACCAACGTGGCGCTGTCTTCCTTGTGAAGCTCGACGCAGAGGGTGGGTGACCTTCTACGGTTGGTGTGTCGGTGTTCTTCTCTGCGTGGTAGCCGGCGCGGGCGTGGCCTTCTGCCGCCCCTACGACACGCCGCCTTACTTAATTCCGTATTACCTTCGCGATGTGCGCTCGCGGTTTCAGCACTACGCCTCGGTGCGAAAGCGCAAAGGAGGCCCGGTGTACATGACCGTCGAGGACTTCGTGCTGGCCCTGCTGGCCTCGCCGGAGAAGGAGCTGCCCGCCTCAACGATTGTGGCGGATCTGCAGCGTCTGTTTGGGTCGATGGACGCCAACGGCGACGGCTACATCAGCTTCCCTGAATTTCGCTTCTTGATGAGTTTGCTGACGAGCGACCCGCGGGAGGTCGCCACGCTTTTTCGCATCGCTGACGTCGACGGGTGCGGCGCGTTGGCGCTGGAAGACTTCGCCAATGTGCTGCGCGGGGCGACGAAGGACGAGGCGGTTGTGCGGTCGCTGCTGAAGCCCTCCACTCGGCGCAACGGTGTCGTGCGCACGCTGTTCGGTGATGCCGCGCACCCGCGCAACTGCTCCTTTGACGAGTTGGCCGCCGTCATCCACAGCATCCGCACCGAAGTGTGGAAGGCGGAGTTCCGCCAGTACGACATCGAGCAGAACAACTCGATCACGGCGGAAGAGTTTGCGGAGCTGATTGCGAAGCAGGTGCTAGGGTCTCACCTGCCGTATTACTTGGTGAGCAACATCCGCAAGATGCGTGGCACCGGCGACGTTGTGACGCTGGACATGTGGTTAGGTCTCAATGAAGTGATGTTGCACGCTGACGAACTGTCTACCAACGTGGAGATGCTCTCGAGCAGCGGGATGGCGATCACCAAATCCGATTTCCGCCGCCTGATGCGCATTGCGGATATGCCGGCTCTCCCTAAGGAAACCGTCGACCTCGTCTTTGCCGTCTTCGACAAGAATAACGACGGCACGATGGAGATCGATGAATTTTTGTTTATTATGCGGAAGAAGGTGAGTTACCACTACAGCGTTCCACCGCGCGATCGCAAGACGCTGCCGCGGCGCCTTATCGAGTGCGCCGGTGCTGCGCTGGTTGATTTCCAGAAGTAAAAAGTGCGAGGGAAGATGGAAGAGTCGAACGGCTCCTCTTGTTTCGTTTTGCGGCTCATCCTTTCTCTGGGGAGGGTGCGTGTGTGTGTCTGTGCCTGGTTGACTACCGAAGACAAATCTACTATAATAGTGATGATACGGAGACAGAGGTGATGGGCTGAGGTTACTTCATTCTCGGCGCACACGGCATTGTCTCTCTTTCTCACCAATGCGCTTTCACCGTGCGTCTTCAGACGCGAAGGAACCCCGATGCAGAGGAGCGCTGCATACGCGGCTGTCACAGGTCGTTACTACCCCCGCTCGTTTGACGGGCGTGTGTGGCGCCATACATGCAGGGAGGAGCTCCGTAACGTATGCTTTGTTTCTTCTCTCCTGTACTCTTCCTTCTCCTCATCCTTTGCTGCCTTCCTTCTCTTCAGCAAACGCGTCAACAGCGCTTTTGTTGTTGCTGAGGTAACTGCGGAAGTAGAAGCCTGCCCGTTCCCGTGTTCATCGCTCTCCACGTCCTTCTTTGTATTTGTACTACGCATCGTTGGTTGGCGTTCACGTGTGAAGGTGTCCGCCCGCAGCCCTTGCCTCTTCTGTTTTTTATATTTGTCTGTTTTTATCATTGTTTTGCCGTGTGTGTGTGCGCCTAGTAGTACGGTTTGCCGTGACTTCCCGCTCCCTAAGTCTAAAGAGGAGCACTGCGCTACTTCACCTTCGTATCTTGGTTTGTTGCTGTGCGTGTGGCGAAGTTCTTTTCCATCCCATTTCTTTTTTACTTGGCGAACAGTTGGCTGACTCCGCCGTATTGCTTCGTTGGCGACCGGCTTGCCTCTTTGTGTTTCCTCCATCGGCCCCTTGCGACACGGCAGCCCTTTACAGGAAACAGGAGAAGGGACGAGTTCGTGTTGTCGGGGTTTGCGAGATAGTCCGGGGTGTGTGCGTTTCTTGCTATCGTGATTTCGCAGCGCCAAAGGCTGCGTCTGTACGTTGAGCTCTACGAGTTCGTGACGGCGCTTCCACGTAGCGCTTTTTACTGTTGTTGCCGGTGGTGTTCCGCTACAACAAGGAACAAGCATTCAACTTCTTCCTCTTTCCTCTTCGATCAGCACCGTTACCGGCTCTCCTCCTTCCTCCTTGGTGGCACGCAGATGGCGCATCACCTGACCAACGCAGAGGTGGAGAACAAGGTCGCCTTCCTCGTGCAACTCCATGCGCTGCTCACACAGGTCAGCTCCGTCGTCAGCAGCAACGCACTCGGCAGCGCGCAAAAGGCAAAACTAAGTGACATCCGAGCTGCGACGGAGACGTGGCTGAAGGACGTGGGAAGTGTTGGTGCCCCTCGCCCGTCCATTGCGCCCAGCAACCCACCCCCGCAATCCCCCGTCACGGACGCACCACCACTGCCAACCGCTGCCACCTCGACCCCCGCTGAGTCCTCTTCGCCGGCAGCAACGGCAGCGGCCGCGGAGGGAGAGGAGGGCACCGGCAGCACCCTGAATGCGAATACCACCACAACAGCAAGTGCGAAGCCGTCTCCTGACCCCGCGGCACCGGCGAAGGAAAGTGCTGCCGCCGTGAGGCCTGGCGGCTCCTCGTCCTTTACAGCGGACATGGCCAGCACACGCTCCGTGACGGCTGGCCGCAACATTGTTGACCTGGTCAGCTACCTGCGACTGCTCTTCAACAACGACATACCGGAGCGAGCGCGGCTGCAGTCTTTTGGAAAGAACCTCGTGCGCCTTCTCATGGTTCGGTGCTGCTCCACCATCATGGCGTCGCTACAGCACGTAGTGTACCAGACCTACGCGACACCGCCAGCGGAGCCGGCGACAGCGACAACTCCATCTGCGGTAGAGACGGACACGGAAGGCCGCGTAGAAGCATCGGAAGTGGGGTCGCCGGAGAAGAACCCGTCCTCCGCCTCAGCGCCTGAAGCACCGGCACAGAGCCAGGTACAAGTGCCAACGAAAGACAAGATCAGCCTTTTTGTCGAGCTCGCACAAGAGATTAACGTGGCAACGAAGGCGTTAGTCGACTGCGTGCAACTCATGACGAGCGACGCCGTGCCGTCCGACGCGGCAAGCGCCCGCTTCCCGGTGCAGTTGTGCGTCGATGTTGTGAAGCAGACACGACGCGCTCTCTTGTACTTCCAGTCGCGCCTCGAGAAGGAGGAGCTCTACCTGCTCCGCAATCACATTCTTTCTGAAAGGACGGTGGCTGGTACCGCGGAGGCGGCGTCGCCGCTCGAGGACGTCGATGCCGCGCAGGAGGTGCTGCAGCAGGAGCCGGCAGAGGACGTCGCCGCGCACGTGCGCAGCCGAGCGGGGGGTTTAGAAGTGATGTGGGGCCCCTCGCTCACGCACAGCATCTGCCACATCGGCGACGTCATTGAGCCGGCAGTGCGTTTTCTCGTCTCCGTCGCCGGCGTGCGGGCCGAAGGAGCGCCAGCGGCGATGGTCGGCTTGAAGAAAGACGCCGCCCACGACCTCTTCTCCCTGTGCGGCGTGGCCTCGCCGTCCGCTACACCGCTGCCGGGTAACGGGTCCCTTCGCTCCTCTGCAACCGGTGGCGGTCCTGCGGCGTCGGGCGGACTCACGCGGCCGTTGTCCAGCGGTGAGCTTCACTCCGGTGCAAACGCCAACGGTGCTGGCGGAAATGGCGCGGTGGCCTCGCCAGTGAGTGGGAGCAGCGTGATGCCGCCCGCCTGGCGTGCAGCGGCGGGGGAAGTGCTCGCCAGTTTAGGCAGCAGCTACACGGCGGACTACCTCGCCGCGGTCGCCCGGTGCTGCGGCGAGAACAACGAGGGCGAGCTGCTGTCCACCCGGTTGCTGGCGGATATGCTGAGCTACGTGACGACGCACGACGTGCCGCTGCTGCGGTGTGTGCTGCGCCTCCCTCGCTGGAGCCGCCCGCTGTACGAAGGCATTCTAAACTGTGCGGTGTCGATCCAACCGGCTGTGCTGGCGGCGGGGCTGGATGCGCTGCGGCTGCTGACGGTGAACTGCGCAACGGAGCTGGGGCAGGAGGTCGGCTATTTGTACTGCAACGTGGTGCTGCGCCTGCTGGAGTCATCGAACAGCCCCCACTACGTGAAGCGCACCATCGTCCTGCACCTTCTCACTACCCTCATGAGCCACTCGAGCATCGTCCCGGCCGGCGCGGCGGCGGAGGGCACACGAACAATTCCGCTGATCCTGCACCTCTACCGGCTGTACGACTTGAACGTGCACGCGCATCAGCTCAACTTCGTCCAGCAGTTCACCAGCGCCCTTTCTCGCATTGTGCGAGCGGCGCCGAAGGAGGACTTTGCGCAGGACGCCGTGGTGCAGGAACAGCTGCAACGGCAGCAGGAAGCGGCGGCGGCAGAGTCGAAGAAGCACAAGGAGGCGGTGCGGAATTCTACAAGTGCGACTACGAGCGGCAACACGGCCACCACCGTCGCGGCTGCCTCGGGCAACGCAGCGGATGGCTCCTCCCTCGACGCCACTGCACCGGCGGCGAGTCTGGCCTCGCTGTCGCTGCCCGCCATGGCGCTGCACGGCCTCGTGCGCATCGTCGAGGTCCTCACGACGCAGGCGCCGCCGGAGGAGGAGACCGGCAGGGACGTGCTGGCTGCGCTGCCGACGGTGCAGAACCGTGAGCGGAAGCTAAAGGAGCAGCAGCAGGTGGACCTCTTCAACGCATCGCCCAAGAAGGCGGTGTACAAGATGTTCCACGTCACCGCAGAGGAAAACGCAATTCCAGAGGAGCACAGCGCCTTTTCCGCTCAGTGGGACCACGCGCACATCCCCCCAGTGCCGTCGGCCGAGACGGCGAAGAAGGTGGAGGACGTCGTGGACTTCTTGTCCGGCATCAGCTCCCTCGATCCGGCGGCGGTGGCGGAGTTTTTGACAACGCCAGCCGTCTTTCCGCTGCACGTGTGCACGGCGTACCTCCGTCGCCTCCCCCTGTCCGGTCGCAGCGTGTTGGAGGCCATCAGCGAACTCCTGATGCGGGTTCAACTGCCGAAGGAGGGTCAGCGCATTGAGCGGCTTCTCGAGTACTTCTCGGCCGCCTACTTCGACGTCAACGATGTACCGGGCATCGACCGACAAGTTTTCCCCTTTAAGAACGACACCGCTGTTTTTATCGTTGTGGTCGCCACGGTGATGCTCAACACGAACATCCACAACCCGTCTGTCGGCATGCGGCTGGATTTGAAATCGTTTCGTGGCCAGCTGCGCCGCTGCAACGACGACGAAAGCTTCGCCGACGCCTTCGTCGATGACATATTCTACTGCATCAGCACGCACCCGCTCGAGAGCATCAAGTCGGTCACGATCGACACGAGTGCAAGCGCCGACAGCGCCAGCAGAGGCGCCTTCGACGTGTTCTTCGTGTCGCAGGAGGAGAAGCGGCAGCTCGCCTTCGGGGTGGAGCGGCAGCGAATGGTGAGTGAGACACAGCAGCTGCTGCAGCTTCGCACCCGACAGGATCCGCGGCCATCGCTGCCCCCTGCGTGGTGGTACGCGGCAGCGAAGGATCTTTTCCTGAGTACCTGGTCCGCCGTGTGTGCCGTCTTTGGGCCGGCCATGTATGAAGGCCCCTCTGCCCCGCTGCCGGTGCTGCTGCAGTGCGTGCGGGGGCTGCAGTCGCTGCTGTGCACGGCGGCCGCCTTCGACCTTCAGACGGAGTGCACCGTCACGCTCCTGACGCTGCTGCGCATGGCGGAGTCCACGCCTGTGCGGGCGCACTGCCGTCGCGCCGTGCTGGTCGTGGCGGCCACGCCGTACGCCGTGCATTTCCCGGTGCGTTGCTGGGTGGCTGTGTGTCAGCTGATGCTGGAGCTGCGGCTGAGTTCCACATCGGAGGCGCCGCCCTTGGTTGAGGACGTCTTTACCCGCATGGAGAGCCTCACACGGCTGAGTGTGGAGGCCGACGAGACACGCACCGCTGGAGAGGGAGCGGAGACCGAACAAGAGAGCACCGCTGCGGTGCACAAGCCGACAGAAGCCATTCACCGGGTGCTGGAGGGCGTCATGACCACCATTCGCGGGTACGCCGTGGGCGACGTCGAAAATATGTCGGCGGCCCTCGTGCTGCTGCGTCGCGCGCTGGAGTTTTCGCGCATCATCCACGGCAGGCGTGCCGCCGACGTCGTGTACTACGTGAACATACGCGACTTTACAGCTGTGGTGGTGCCGGCGTACGTGGAGCTTGTGAAGAAGCACGGTCTGAGTGATGAGGGACTGCAGGTGCTGTTTGAGTGTTTGGTGGAGATTCTGTGTACGATGTGGCTGGCCTCCTCGACCCGTCGTGTTGTGGTACCGGCCAGCGTCATGAGCAGCAGCGGTCATCGCAGTGGCGAAGGAGACGGCGCGAGGGTGGCGGAGGACGACTTGAAGCAGCCTCCTGTGACGATCACCGTGGACACCGCCCCCGCCGGCTTTGTGCGCTGCTTCCGCTGTCTGCGGAGTATTTACGATATAACGCTGGCATCCGCCGCGACGGACGGCTCCGCCACGCTGCTGCAGATGCACACGTTGCAGGCCGTCAAGGAGGTGCTCTCTCGCACGGCGCACGCAGCAGAAGTGACGGCGGAGGCGCAGCACCTCTCCCTTTACACAATGGTGGCATCATGGCAGCAGGCGCTCTACCCGCTCGCGATGGCGCTGTGCGATCGCCGCACCACAACCACTGAGGCCGGCAGTCTCGCCCTGCTGGTGCTGCGCAAGCTAGTCGCGCTCAGCGGCGGCACCGGCGGCACCTTCTCGGACCGCCTGCCGCCGCAGGTTCGAGGGGCGCTGCTGTGGCTTCTGGCTCAGCTATCCTACATGGGCGGCATGTGCGGAGACGTGGACGGTGCGCAGGTCTGCGTGGCGCTGCTCAGCAGCATCTGCACGACCACGTTGGCCATGTCCCTCTCTGCTTCCTCACCGATGGCGTGGTACGCGGCAGGGCCGCCCTCGCCTCCTTCCGCTGCCTCAGGCGCAGACCTCGAGACCCTTGCACGAGCCCTGGCAGAGCGCGACTCGCTGACGCAGCGGGTGGTGTCCTCTGTCGAGGAAAGCCCCGAGTACGTGGTGCAGCAGACGCTGGTGCGCCTTGGGCTGCTGCTGCGGTGCGAGCGGGAGCAGACGCGTGCGGAGGTGGTGCATCAGCTGCGAACGCTCTCGCTCCAGATGCGGCCGGCCCAGGTGCAGACCTTCGCGACCGACCTGATCGAGGTGGTGCTGGAGGGTGCCATCGGCCACGCCGCCCACCACCACAAGACGCCCATCACGCACACCAGCCTCATTCCCTTCTTCTTCTACCAGATGCCGGTGCCAGCCGCGATGCGTCGCTGCTCGCGTGCCGCCTTTCGCAGTACCCTCCCCGCCGCGCTGGGCTTCCTGGCGGGTGAACTCCTCTCCGGCCTGAGCGGCGAGTTCCAGGCGGTCACCGCCGAACGGGTCATGCAGCGCTGCCTCATGCCCATCCTTCTCAGCCCCAACAGTCCCTATCAGAGCCGCTTTCTCGCTATTCGATCGTTGTCGCAGTGCATTGCGGTGTGCCTCCCGCAGAACGGCGAGGTGACGCGGCCACAGCTGGCGCAGTGCGTGTTGGACTGCGTCTCACTCAGCCTCTACGCCGTGCAGGTGCCGCTGCCCGCTATTGTGCCGCCGACCGCAGTATTTGTCGGTCGCCGCTGGCTGGACGCGCCGCCGGCGGTGGCAGCCGAGGCGTGGTCTGCCTACGGCGCTGCGGCCACCCAGACGATTCGCGTGATGGACACGGCGGAGCCGGAGTGGGTCGTGCGCGGTCCGCCGGCGGCCGCAGACGCCACGCCAGGCGTCACGCCCGCAACAGAAGGGGGAGAAGAGAAGAGCGCCGGGCCGCCACCGAGCCGCGGCAGCGGCGGCTCGACCACCCTTCTTGCAGATGAGCCCCTTATCGAGTACGTGAATCTGCTGGCGCAGGTGCTGGCCGGCGTCCCGAAGGAGGTGCACAGCGTCGTGGTGAGTGCCATGGCGCGGCCCGCAGGTGACGAGCAGAGAAGTGAGCCATCGGTGTCAACGGCTGCCACTGCCGCGGAGTGGGCGCTCCCACGCACGTCGGTACTGGTGTTGCTGCAGTTAACTTTGCGAGCTGCTGGCACCCTCTTCTCCATTCTCTGGCGCATCAACTACCCCTACGAGGTCGAGCAGTACGCCTCGCAGTTTGTCGAGCTCGGCCGCGAGGCACCCGCGCTGATCCGCAACGGCGGTCTGCTGCCTCACGCCGCCATTCGCAGCGTCCTGCAGTGCTACTGTGAGCTGGCGATGTTGTCCGTCGAGTACCCTACGAAGGAGGTGCTAGCCTCCACGACGGACATCATCGAGGGCATTCGGCAGGTGCAGGCCGCCGCCCAGCCCTCCCCTTCGAGCACCTGGTCGTCTGCCGCTGGTGCGTACGGCAGTGGCGCCACCGTGCCGGCGGGTACGTCGTCTCTTGCGGCCGACCCGGCGTCGCTGCAGCGGCTCTCGCCGCAGGAGCAGCAGCACGTCCGCACGTGCAACTCTGGCATGTACCAGCAGCTGGCCGCCGTGCTGGGTTACCTCGTGAAGCTGCTGACGGGGCAATCAAATGCGGTAGCGCCCGCAGGGGCAGCGGCGTCGCTCACCGCCGCTACGGTGGGGTGGGCCCATCGCAAGGCGGCCTTCGAGGCCATGGCGATGCACCCAAGGTTCTTCTCCTCCCTCGTGTCGCTGCTGACGCCTACGGCCGGCACGCTCATCGTGTCGGTGCGTGACTACTTCGCGTGGTACATCGCACACGCCGAGGTGCTGCCAACTTCACCGGCCACGCCGACAGAGGAAGCGGCCCCTGCAGCGATACCAAAGAAGGGTGCGCCTGACATCGTGACCCAGCACCTCCAGGCGTCGCCAGAAGAGTTGCCGCAGGAAGCATCCGTGAACGGCGCCCTTCGCAGCGGCATCCACATCAATGGCTACACCTCTGGAGAGCACACAAACGCAGACGGCGCTTCGGCGTCGGCAGCGCTGAAGGAGGTGGCAGCGGCGGCAGATGCAGATGTCGAGGTGGAGGCAGACTACGTGGACGGTGAGGACTCATTGTTGTAGTGGCGCGCAACGTGGAGACGCCGCATGCGCTGCCTGGCGAGGAGCGCAGGTCGTGGATTGCCGCCGTGGCAGCTCCGGGTGTGGTGTGCGGGACAACGTGCCGCCGCCGCTGTTGTTGTTTAAGAAGGTTGGACATACGAGCAACGCGTCATCGCCTCGGCGCGTGCTGCGCTCTCTCCAACGCTGTGCGAGGCGTCTGTTGCTTCGTTGTGGTTGATATCGTCGTTGGTTGCCGCCGTGTGCATATTTGCACTGTTGTTCGTGTTTGCGCTTCGTTTGGTTCGTTACACGTGGTGTTTTCTACGTGCTAAACATCCTTTCTTTTCTTCCCTTTCCTTTGGGTGCTGATCAGATTCTGGTTTGCACGTCTTGCCGCTCCGTTTGCGGCCGCTGATGTGTCGTGCAGGAGCACTTCCACTACGTGTTGAGTCGGCTGTGTGGGCGGAGGCGGAACCAGAAGAGCGAGCGGGTCGTCTCGGACCGCTGCGACTCTCTCCTTCTGCTGTCGCTTTCCTCTCAAGCGCTGCCCTCCGATACCGCGACCGACAGATGTTCTCTGCCGTCGCCTTCAACGTCTGCCTGCTGCGTGGCACGGGCCGTAATGACCCCTAATCGCTTCTCCTCATTGCCTCCATCTCCGTCTTCGTCTCCCGCTGCGAGCCGCTTTAAACGTTTGACCGCAGCGGTGCAGTGAGAGAAGTGAAGAATAAACCCTTTCACTTCGTCGGCGCTACGACGCTGCAACGCGCACCTCAACACGCATCATCGTGCGTCTTAATTCACATTTCTGTTCTCTTCCAGCGTTCATGATTGGATGTCAATGACGAGTTGTGTGGCGCGTCCTCTCCGCATCGCCATCGCCCTCTCCGGCGGCGTCGACAGCGCCGTGGCGGCCCTCCTTCTTCGCCGCTGCGTACGCACCAACGCCGATGTGGCGGCGTTGCGCCGTTTCGGATCTGCACGGGCACAGCCGCCTGCGCTGACGGACCTGCAGGCCGCCGTCGCTGCGGAGAGGTCCCTCTTCAGCATGTTGCCGGACACCGTGAAGAGTGAGATGTGTGTGTCCGCACACGAGCACGACCTACACAACAGAGAAGTGGAATTGTACCCCTTCTTCTTGCGCTGCTGGCACGACGACAGCGCGCCGCATGGGTGGTGTGCTCAGTCGCAGAGTGACTACGACGATGCTCAGCGGATTGCCCACACTCTGGAGCTGCTTCCACGCACCGCTGCACTGTCTGTCCTCGACTACGCAGAGGAGTACGCGGCGCAGTGCTTTCAGCGCATGCTGCACGCCTACGCGGCGGGGAACACCCTCAACGTGGATGTGCTGTGCAACTCGCGCATTAAATTTGGTGTGGTGGCACAGGCGCTGAAGGTGGTGCCAACGTCGTCATCGTCGACAAGGGAGAGGGAGACGCGCGAGAGGCCTCAGCAAACGCTGCTCGCCACCGGCCATTACGCGCGCACGTGGGACGTGTGCAGCTCTCGCGGGTCTGCAGAGCCGCGCGCGGCCCTCCTGCTGCAGCCCTGCTCGGCTCGTCACGACTTGAATGACCAAACGCACTTTCTCTCCCGCGTTCCGCCGTCGACCCTCGCCGGTGCGCTCTTTCCCATTGGGCACCTTTTTAAAGCCAAGGCGGATGTCCGCACGCTGGCGCAGCACGTCTTCTCCGCCGACGACGATGTGGCCCACATTGCACGGAAGCGCACCAGCACGGGCATCTGCTTCGTAGGGGCGCCGCCTTCTCCCTCCCCTTCCGCATTCACAACGCACTCGACGCCACCGTCCTGCAAGGCGCGCTTCGCGAGCTTTCTCAATGAGTTCCTGCCACCGCCACCGCCGTCATTACCGCCGTCGTCTCCGCCTCGTCACACCGCTTTCCGCGAAGCCACAACGAACACAGAGAAGATGCTCGTAAGTGGCACCAACACGTTTGGGCCTTTGAAGGACGACTACCCGGCGTATCTGCCCGCCTACGCCGTCACACTCGGTCAGCGGCTGCGTCTCGCCGACGCGCACAGCGACGGCACACATGGGCACCTCGAGCGCTACTGCTACGTGGCGCGTAAGCGGCTCCTGCCCGCGTCGTCCTCTGGTGAACCGCACGAAGTTCGCTTGCTGGAGGAGGTGCTCGTGGTGGACAGATGGGATCACCCACTGCTGTGTACGTCGTGTGTGGGTGCCGTGTCGCTGCGGTGGTGGCTTCCGACGGACGTACTGCGGCGGGCGGCGGGCGGTGCAGACGGCACGCATTTCGCGCTGCCCTGCCTCTGTGCACTGCGGCACCAGATGGCACCGCAGCCAGCCGTGATCCGGTGGGCGCGAGAAAGCGAAGCGGAGGTGGAAGCGAGGAGAGAGAGCGCGGACGGCCTGTGTGTACGCAGCTGCACGGTGCATTTTGAAGCGCCGGTGCGAGCCCCTGCGACTGGGCAGGCGCTGGTGGTTTACGCTTCGCTATCGGCGGTGAAGAAGCTGCTGAGGCCGTCAGCAGCAGCGGTGCAGGCGGCTGCGTCCATGTCCTCTCCGGCCCCTCCGCTGGCGGTGATCGGGTCTGGGTGGGTTGCACCGGCAACAGCCGATGAAGCGTAGCAGCGTTCTTTCTAGTTATGTTGGCGTCGTCGCCTCGGCTTCACTTCTTCACAGTTCAATCAACAGCGATTTTAGCAAAGAGAGAGCGGGGAGAAGGGTGGGGGTTGGTTGTGCCGAATGGCGGTAATGCGTGGCGGCGCTGAGCAGCTGTGAAGAGAGAAGTGCAACCGCCACGAAGACGCGCGGATGTGTGGAGTGCAGCCGCCGTGTGGAAGCGGATGACGTCAGAACAGAAAAATGCAAACGCTGACTTTTTTCTCTGCCTTCGCTTTCTTTTTCTCCTTCTCCCTTCGCTCGTCGCCAACGTGCTTCTGCGACTCTTCCGGTGAAGTCACAGCGTACAACTGAACGCCATATACGTCACTTCCCCCTCTCCCTCATACGTATTTTTTGCTTGAGTGCCCCGCGCTAGAGAAAGAGCGCGCAAGCACATTCTCGTGCTAGACATTAATTATTGCCGCTAGCAGTGTCTTTCTGGGTTTTTTTATTTGTCTGCTTTTTTTTTTTCATGCGGCGAATTGCCTTGGACGATCTCTCGCGCAGCGCAAGCAAGCTGCCGGTGACAACGGCCTTTTGTTTCGCTACGCTCGTGCTGAGCCTACTGGTGCTAACCGATCTCCTCAGCATAAACAGCTTCGTCCTGCGAAGTGCTCTCTCTGACCTATCCCTGTGTGCCTTGTTACCTACAGCTTCACGGTGCCCTACTTCACTCTGCTATTGATTCCCCTCAATGTTGGCCTCTTTGTGAGGTGGGGCGCCGCGGTAGAGGGCGCGCTTGGCAGCGCCGAATACACAATCTACGTCGTCTTCACCGTCGTGGTGACCGCCGTCGCAGTGATCGTGGTGGACAAGGCCCTCTTAGCTCCTTTAGGGAGATTGACCGGTGGCCTGCGCCTGCGCAGCGTTGAAGACCAAGCCGCCGAAGGGGTCTACGGCGATTACATCTACTGGGGTGTGTGGCCCATTGCACAGGTCATCGTCTTCGCCTTGTGCCGGATCCGTGGGGTGAGCGCCCCACTCGGGCCGTCCTGGAAGTATTGGCGGCTGACGCTGCAGCGACTTCCCCTCGCCATCGTCGCGTGTGCGGCGGTGCTGGACGTGCTGGAGTGGGGTATTTGGGTCAATCGGGAGTACATCGTGTACCGCGATGAGGTGTACTTCTCGTCCGACCCGTATGGGTGGAATTGCCTGGTCGCCCTCATCAGCCTGTTCGTGGCCTGGCTGTACGAGCGACACGCCTCCGGCACCGCGAACACCGCCTTCACGCTCGACGCCTTCTTCTACCCCGCCAGGCTGCGAGCGGCGGTGCGGCATGTCGGCGAGGCCACCTACGCCTTCCTGAAGCCGTCGCGCCTCCGATTTCTGCTACCGCCGCGCGACGCAGGGACCACGTTGCCGATGCCGCTCTTCGCTTCTGCGGCTGCGGCTTCCGCAGACGGCGGTGGCAACGTGACGCTGCTGCCCGGCACCACCGCCGAGGAGGCGGAGCGCTACCGCCTCATCGCCCGCGAGGCACTCGCCCGCCGTGTGCAGGAGCAGCGACAGGCGCAGTCGGAGACGGTGGCCGTGGCTGTCGCTGCTGCCGGCAACGCCGAGGCCGCAGCGCCGTCGCAGCCGTCCCCCACGGCCGACGACGCTGAAACTGAAGTGGACGACAAGACGGCGTAGAGCTCCTCTATCAGGCACGCTACCCGCCTGTTCGGTCGCCACTTCGCGGAAGTACACGGCACTGCGTATTTCAGGCCGAATCGTACGTAGCGGCGTAAAGGGCCGGTATCACGCTCGCAACGGAATGTGGGAATCCGAAACGTCCGGCGTATACGTGTGTGGCATTGCTGCTGCTCCTGCCGCGTTCTTCTGCTTGTTTTGCTTTGCTTTTGAACATAATGAATGGTAAAGATAGAGAGGGTTAGAGGAAGAGGGAAAGAAGAGCGTAGAGCTGCGCACTGCAAGAGGTCAGTTGTAACTCTTCCTTTTTTGTTGTTCTTTGAAGGGCCCGCATTCTGTTTGAGGGAGACTCCGGGCGTTGCGCTGCACGTGCGACGGCCGTTGATCTCGGTACTTCAACATTTATCGCAAAGAGAAACGCTTAAAGAATTCGTACACGTGCATGTCGGCATCGGTGCGGAGGAACGATGAGTAGGAAGAGGCGTTGACGCTGGCCTTCTCCATGGCAAGACGTAGCTGCAGCCTCGTACGTGCGCGCGACGGGGAACGAACCGAATGCCAAGGGTTCTTTTCTAAATCCGACGGCCGCGATATTTTTTCCTGGATTACGTTGCATCTGGCTCCCACGCGCTCAACCAGGCTTGATGTTTACAGGTAGGTGCTAACCACATCTGCTGCGCACGGAGCTTTGCACGGTCGCCCTCCATTGCTTTGTCGTGCTGTCTCTCCTTCCTTGCTTCTTCGCACTACACGACTGTCGTTGCCGGTGGAACAGGCTTCTAGTGGGCACACACACACACACACACACGCATCGCTGCTACAACTACACTTTAGCGTGCCATCTGCCTGTACTCTTCTTCTTATTTTCATTTTGTCGCTCAAAGGACGAAGACGTGGCCGCCGGAACGAAGCACGGCGAGTCGGTCCTTCACGAGCGCTTCACAACGGCGCACACACGTTGAAATGGCTCAAGACGGCCCGTGCACTGACAAAGGAATAACAAAGAAGCTGAGTCAGCAAAACGAAAGCTCTCGTCGCCGATGCCGCGTGCCACAACGTCGTTCTTCTGCGAAGACCGCAGCTCACCAGCCTTCTCCAACAACGGCGACGATGAACACCGACACACGGAGCAAACCGCCCCACAGCGTTCGCCCTCGACCCCGCCACTGAGCTGCTCCTCATCCAGCGGCGGGTCCTTCACACCGCTGTCGGCGCGGCGACCCCCGGCAGCCCACCGAGCCGGCTGGCGGGCGCGACTGTGGGATTTCCTTTTCCCCGGCGAAGACACCGCGGGTGTGGAAGGGGCTGCGCTGCACTACGGACACGGCGAGGCCTCGAGCCTCTACCCGGCCCCGTACCGCACCGAGGAGGCGGGAGCGACTCCCGCGGACGGGCCGTGGTCGCCGTACGCCACGACGGAGCCAGCCACGGGTACCGTGAGGGATTCGATGGAGCCGTGGCATTACATGCAGGTGCCGCTGTCCCGCGTCATCCTCTTTCTGCGTCTGCAGCAGCGCCTGGCGGAGCAGTGGTCACAGGGGTGGCTCTACGCACCATTCTTCGTCATGCTGACGCTGTTTGTGTTCATCGAACCGGGCCGCGGCGGCTCGCAGGCCGTCGTCGACTTTGGCGCCATACGTCGCGGCAACCTGGCCCAGCCGCGCGCAGCGTCGACAACGCGGGCGGCGATCCTGCTGGAGGCCTTCCGCCTTGACACGGAGGCCGTCACCACGCCCACCGAAACGAACACCGGGGGCAGCTTCGTCCCCGGCAACAGCGAGCGCTACGCGTGGATGTACAGCTGGTATAACGAAACGGTGAATCTCTGGACACCCCCACCGAACCGACGTGTGGAGGTGGACGAGCAGCTGGAAAGCATCGCCCGCACCCATCACGAGCCGGTTTTTGTGAATCTGAAGTCGGTCCGCACGCGGCGCGACGTGCTGCGGTGGTTGCAGCTGCAGTGCGTTCCGCGACTGTGGAACTGCAGGAATCCGAGCTTTGAGCGGCAGTGGCGGAGTACGATGACCGGCGCCCACTACCAACTCGGTGCCGTACGTCTAGTCAGTCGACGCTATCAGCAAAGGGCGCAGGGCACGAAGGAGGTGCGGGCCGCTTCAAAGGCGGACTTGGGCACGGGCCTTACGCCTGGCGCTGCACCGGCGCCGATGGTGACGCCTCTGCGCGACGCCGCGGTGGCCACCCCTATCATCATCGACAAGCGCGCTGCACCCCCTGACATCCCCCGCGTGATCTGCGGGCCGTCGAACTCTTCCTTGTCGGCCTCCTCTGCGCCTGCGTTTAGCTTTCACAACCATGTCGGCGGCTACGTTGCGCTCCTGCCTTTCGCCTCGTCTTGCAGCGCCGTCCGTGGCGTGCTGTCGGTGATGGAGACGCCGAAGAAGGACGTGCTCTGGCCGCCTGCCTACAACAGCTCGCTAGAGATGCGCGAGGCGTGGATGGACTACACCGAGACGGACCGCGATACCGACACGGCCATCGCCGACGCCGCGACGAGCTGCGCATCGTTTCTGTTCGACCCCGCCGTATCGGAGGTTCTGCTGCAGTACGTCGAGTACGCCGCGAGGACCAATCGATACACGGTGGTAGAGGTGCAGTTCGCGATGTCGACGGGTGGCGCAGTCGTGCGGCCCCGCCTCTCCACCTACTCCCTCAGCGCGCTGCGGTGGGACGCCACCTTCACCCCGCTCGCCCTCAGCATCTGCCTTGCGCTGACAGGTCTCTTTTACGGCCACTGCTTGCTGCGTCGGATGCTGGCGCAGTACGCGGCGAAGGTGTCGTGCCTCGCCCGCCCACGGTGTGCCCTCTCGCAGCGGCTGTGGTGTGCGCTGATGGTGTTCCTGCACACGCAGAACTTAGTCCACCTCCTCGCCCTCGTCCTCGCTGCGGCGGCGATCGGGTCGTGGTGGCACACACTGGTGCTGTACACAAGCGTACCAGCGCTGCGCTACGCAGATCGCAACGCGTACCCGCAGCGCATCGACGACGTCGCTCGACACGCCAGCGTGCTGCTGCCGCGCCTCTGCGCGGGTGCGCTTTTCTTTGGAACAATCGGATTGTTCCGCTTCGCGTGTGTAGCGCCTGGAGTATGGCTGTGCGTGCAGACGGTCGCCCGCTGCGCGCCGCGGCTGGGTGTGATCTTCTGCGCCTGGCTGATCGTGAACGTCGGGATGGCGATGATGTGCGTTATGCTCTACGGCAGTGCCGTTTACGAGTTTCGCTCCTTCGGCTACGCCTACACGATGCTGGTCTTCGCGCTGTTGGATGGCGGGCGATCGATGATGAACTCCTTCACGGTGGGCAAGCAGACCGGCCACTACTCCATCCTCCCTCAGGACGACTTTTTGCCGGGTATTCGCGGGTCGCGACTGGGCCGCCTCGAGCCGATGCCGCTCGACTACCGCGCCACCACGCTGATGGTCAGCAACCCCTCCATCTACCCCGTCTTCCTCCTCTTCTTTTACTACTTCCAGAGTTTGGTGATCATCATCTGGGGCACCGCGACAATTGTGGAGTCGTACCGCAACGTGCTGCTGCTGCCGGAGGCGGCGGAGCTGCCGCTGTGGCGCGCCCTGTGGACGCTGCAGCTTTCGTCCCTCCCGAGAGCTCTCAACGCGGAGTTCGCGAAGGAGACCATTCGCCGCCTGCTGCTCTCGCGGGATGAGGCGGTGATGCTGAAGGACATGGAGTACCACCTGCGTCTCGCCTACGCACGAGCGCCGGCGGGGTCGCCCGCAGCGTCCACCGTGTCGCGTCACCGCGGATGGCACGCGAGGGAAAGCCAAGACGAAGACGACGCCTTTTTCTTCCAGGAAGGCGCACATGAGACGGCGGTGTCGCTGACGATGGTGCTGTGGCTGCTGCCGCGTGCGTTGCAGCCAGAGTACGGCGCGGCCCACCTGCGCCGTCTGTGGTACCTCTGCGTGGCCGCCGTGCAGGCAGCACAACGCATGGAGCAGCCATGGAAGTCGGCGCAGTGGCGGCAGCACTGGGAACAGCAACCCAACAGTCTGTCGGGGTGGCTGCACGCGTCGCTGCCGGAAGGCAACACGATCGAGGAGCAAGCCGCTCGTGTTGCGATGCAGCTGGAAGAGTTGCCCAACAGCGTCGTGCGCTACGTCGAGGGAAAGTTCTTGTAATTTCGCGGGAAGGACGGCGCAACTCGCGCACCTGTGTGCTTTCCGTGCCTTTTATGGCTCTTCGGTGTTTCCCCCTTCGCTCTGTCGCTCTTCAAGTTTTTACGATGTTAATTATTATTTGTATTTGTTGCTGTTGTTGTTCCGCTGCAATGCGCTCTTCCTTTCGTGGCGAATCCGTGCGAAAAAAACTGTTTTTATTATTACTGAAAGGGGGCAAACCTCGCTTGCTCGTGGAATGGAATGGCGGCCTCCACTGCCACAGACACACACATACACACACAGCAAGGCATATGCGCTGCCTTCTATTCCTTCCGCGTGCAAATGCGTGTACTCCTCTTGCCCACGTTAATCCAAGCGCAGGTTCCGAAGTGCACCCGCTTTGTGTCGTCGCTCTTTTCCTTTTCGTGTTTTTCTCTCCGACATCGCTCTCCCTTCTCTTTCCTTCTGTACTGAGTACTTTTGCCTGACCGCCAACACCACCACAACGCCGTCACCAACGTCTCCGTCGCACTCCACTCCTCGATGCAGCAGGCGATCAGCCACGCAAATAATCCTGACGTCATCTACCACCACAACCATCAAAAACATCAAAAAAATAAACTCCGTGTACATCCGGCTTCTTTCTTCCTTCTATACTCGTTGCCGTTTCGCATCATCTGTCGTCATCATGGGTCAGCAAATCTCCGAATGCGAGGCCGGCATCCCGCTCGGTCTCTGCGGCCTGGATCAGATCGACTGGGGTGGTCAGGCCGGTGCCTTTTACGAGTGCTGGAAGCTCGCGCCGTGCTGCGGTGCACCCGACCTGATGGGCTGCCTTCTCTGCCTCCTGCACTGGACCTTCCTCTCCCCTTGCTCCGCCTGCAAGCTGTACGCCACCTCGCTCGGCGACAACTGCTCCCTCTGGCCGCATTGTGTCTGCATCCTCTGCTGTCCTGTCGGTCGCCTCTTCACCCGCTATAACCTACGCAAGAAGAGTGGCGTGCAGGGCAACATGATTGGTGACTGCATTTGTATTTGGTGCTGTGCGCCGTGTGCGTGCTGTCAGGAGATGCGCAGCGTCAGCCCAGGCGGGTGGCGCATCGTGCCGGAGTGCACCGTGCCTGGCATTCTCGTGCCCGGCTGCCGCTTCCTCGCCTAACGAAGCAGCGCACGGACGGCGAGCGTAGTTTTCATTTGAGGTCGCGGTATTAATAGCAGAGAAGACAGCGCACACCGAGGACAGTCGTTGAGACGGCGTGTACCTGCAGACAGTCGTTTCTGGGCCTCTGCTCCTCTTTGTGCTGCTGCTCTTTTACGTGTATATGTATATCTACATATAAGAGGCCGCTTCAGGTTTTCTACGATTCTTCTTTTGCTTCCAACATGTTTATCGCGTTCTGTTTCTTCTTCGGTGCGTGTGCGTGTCGGTCACGCTGATCCGTTTGTTTCTTCCTCCTCTTCTCGTTGTTTTTCTCATGTGCGCCCGGTAGGCTGAGTGGATGCCCACACACGTCCTCTGCGTCATACATCGCCACCACCAGCCTACCTCCTTGTGGAGCCAAAAAAAAAAACTGTATCCCTTGTTTTTCTTTTCCTTTTTCTTTTAATGCTCGTCTGATGAAGAGTGCCAACCGCGGTGCCACTGGTCAACGCTGTCCACCTTCTGTGCGTTCTTCTTCAAAGATTGCTTTCTCGTTGTCTCTGCCTGCCCCCGCCCCACCGTGTATGGCGACGCACGGCCAGCGCGTTGTCTGTGTGCGTGGTATCTCTGACGACCACCGTCGTCTATTTTTTTCGTTCACTCCTTGTTATCCTCTCAAATTGATACCGCATAGCGGCCGATCAAGGCAACAATCGGCCACGCCACACGCCCACGCAGGTGCATCGAAGGGTCACCTGGACAGAGTGGCACACGATAACAGTAAGGAGAGCTCAAAGCAAACAAACAAAAAAGGAACTTGACTGAGCTGGCTTGGTTGGGATGAACTGACGAGGTTCGCACTCTCCCCTCGGAAGTCGACCACCGTGGCACTGCTACTATTCCTTTTACCGCTGCACCTCGCCCTTCTCTCTGCTAACAATAATAATAATTATTATTATTCCTTCTTACTCAAAGCTGACCGCGAGGGATGCTGGAAAAGCAGCGTGGCTTCGGGAGCAAGACGGCTCAAGTGTGCGGACGCGCGACGGCACCCGTCCTGACCCCGCCCAACGCAACACCGCTCTCTTCATTAAAAAGACGGATGTTGCTTCTTCTTGCCTTCGACATGCAGGCCGCTGGTTTCCTGCGAGACGGCGCACGCTTCACTGCTGCGTGGATCGTCGGCGTCCCTTGTGCTCTGCAAAAAGGCCAAGCGAGCATGGAAACTTCGACATAAGGAGCGGCGAGTGGGGCACTGCAGCATGCGATACCCTCCGGAAGGCTTGGGTACGGAACTACACCCTCCGACTGATTCCCTGCACTCCTTACCTACGACGAAAACCGTAAAGCCTAGATCCTTACGGTCCGTCCAAGCGTTTTTTCGGCTTTTTCTTCCCGCGAGCCCTTATTCCTCCCTTATTCAAGGAATCTGGACTTTAGTAGCGTATACAGGTATACGTTACTTCACCCTTCTGAGACCCGCCACACCACTTTTGGTGTCGTCGATCTCACTTACAGGGGAGGCTTTTTCGCTCGTTTTCATTTTGTGTTTTGACACCCACACCATCACCACTACACATCTACACAAATGTCCAAAACCGCTAACGCGGATCAGGCGGCGCAGGTACCACTGCCTGCCGAGGCGCTGGAGTCCTCCGCGGTCTCCACGGTGACCTCGGCCACCATCACCAGCTCGACGCCCTCAACGGACGACATCGCCGTCCGTATTGCCCGCCTCAAGGCCCTCCGGGAGAGCAAAGTGCTCACCCCGGAGGAGTACAAATGGGCGAGCGAGCGGGTGCTGCTGTCGGGGTTGGCGCTGCCGGAGAAGGCTGCGGAGCGCGACGCCAAGGCGCCGCAGGAGAGGTCCACGGAATCGGTGGCTCTCGCATCTTTCCAGGCATTCCTGGAGAAAACACGGGAGGCGAAGGTGACCCCGTGGAAGGAGGACGCGGAGGCTGCGGCAACGCAGCTGAAGCAGCTGAGCGCTGTGCTTGGGTCCGAGGAGGGGGACACCCAGGCGAAACGTAACTTTAAACATATGGCGCGGGCTGGTAACCTGACCGCCACGGAGGTCCTCGTCCTCAAATACCTCTGTTGGCTGCCGACATCGGATACGGTCGGGAATTTATCGTGGCCCTGCTGCTGCAAGTCTCTGCGGAACAAAGGGTGGAGATCCTTAGCCGGAGCTTGCTCCAACAGATGACAGGGACCCCCAAAGCGACTGCTGGACCCCGCATTCAGAGCATGGAAGTGCCATTATTTCAAGGTAGTTGAGCTCATCGAGCTCGCCCACCGGGAACAGGGGCACGTCCAGGCTCTTGAGCAGAGGACCAGCCGCCGCCTGCTGCGACGCCGTCATGCGCTCGAATAAGCTCCAGTTGTGGAGCTTAACACGCTGCTCCGCCGGGACGTTCAGGAGCAGCGCAACCAGGAACTTCCGACCGTACTCCAGGTCGGAGGCGAAGAGGAGGTATTGGAGGACGAGGACCTCCGTGGCGGTCAGGTTCCCCGCCCGCGCCATGTGCTTAAAATTCTTCTTTGCCTGGGTGTCCGCCTCCTCGGACCCAAACACGGCGCTGAGCTGCTTCAGCTGCGTTGCCGCAGCCTCCGCAGCCTTCTCCGGCAGCGCCCGCCATGTGTCACTCTATGTCCTTGGGGGCACAGGATCCGCCGTGGCCACGCGGTTCATGAGCGCGACGATGCCTCTGTGAAGAAAAGACTCCCGCGGCGAAACAACTCTGCGCCCGTTGCGCAGCCACACGCGTTCTCGGGTCTTCGAGGAGCGGCGTGTTGTCCATCTCCGCCGCAGTGGGCGAGATCGGACAGCTCCCTCCCCCGGGGCCCTCGCAAGCATAGGGCTACCATCAAAGGGAGCTTCCATGGCGGACAAGAATAGGATAGTATGATGAGTGCGCTAAGCGTGATGCAGTCTCTGAGAACCCAATCGCGGATTTCGGCAAACCAAAGCGTGGCTGCTTCGCCGAAATTCGCACGAGCAACACGTCGCAGATAGAGAAAGAGAGGAGCAACGAAGTTGAGAAGCGCCATGATCGCAACGACGCTGACGAACGCTAAGAGGGCAGGTGCAGCGATAGCGCACAGCTCGGGGATTTAAGCTCTCTTCGTTCACCTCCGCCCTCGGCTGCGGTAAAGCAACCCTAACCCGATGTTCAACGCAGAGCCGGCTTGTGCTCGTGGCCAACCCTCTGCTCCGTTTCCTCTCTGCCATCTATTCATGAACCCCTCCATTTACGCACCCGCGTCAGGATGCATCACCGGGTGGTGCATCTCTTCGGGCAGTACGGATTGCAATGCGGGACGAGGCATTGCTGGTTTGTGTAGCTGTTTGGTGGTTTTTGATACAGTGTTCTTGTGCTTTGCACCCCTGTGTGGACGGATAGCTGAATCCCTCGCGCGCGCAAATATAGAAGTCACCGCGGCAGGCACCACAGAACTCTGCCGTCGCCCTCTTGCTCCGCAGTGTGCCCCATGTCTTGGCGGCGCGCCTCTTGTCCGTATGCCCTTGGTGGATCGTTCGTGTTTCTCCCACAAACCCCGCGCCGCGTGCAAATTCCTCGGTCTTTTCTCCCCCTTTCTCCTTTCCTTCGGGCCGGTGGCGGCGGCGCCCCCCCCCCCACCCTGCGCGCCGGCCGAGGGGCCAGGCCACGGTTTGGGGGGCCGCGCCGAGCCCCGGCCCTGGACTGGGCGGCCCAACCCGAGGCCCCGCCCCGCAGAGAAAGCAAACAGAAGAAGCGCAGACAAGAGGAGAGGGGCGAGGAGCGGAATGGGGAAAGGAAACCGAGGCATCGCACCCGCTGGCGACGAGGGCGGGAAAGGTGGCCCTCCACACGGCTAGGTGCAGCAGATCGGGCCGGCCGGCGACAACCAAAGCCGCGGCGGCGCGATTGGCCGCCACCCCGCCGCGGAGTTTTTCTCTTTGCCTTCTGCTTGAGTGAACGCTGCGGCGTCCCAACTACGACAGAGCACAGGGAAAAAAGCACAGAAAACGTGTAAAGAATTATGAACAAATAAAAGCCAACGGAATCAAAGAGGGAGTACATCAGCGCCGCGCAACGGGCGCAGCAATCATGCGCCAAACACACAACAAAGCCACCGTTTTCTTTCCTTCTTTTTTACAAAAGCAAGGCGAACAAGACGCTCCCGATTCGTTTTACTCCGTGGCGGCCGCGGCATCGCCAGCGACGGCGCGCCTGTGGTCCGGCACAACGATGTCAACCACCATCGCGCCCTTGTCACCGCCCTTCTTCGGCTTGCGCTTTTGCTTCTTGGCGGTGGCGCGCTGTTCGCGGATGAGCTCCTTCATGCGCTGCCGCTCCGCCTCGCGCTTCTCCCGTGCGGCGGCCCGCTCCTCCTCCAGCCGCTGATGCTCCTCCTCAGAGATGGGCTGATGCGGACGGGCGTTGCTCGCCTGCCGGCCGTTGAAGGTGGAGGCCAGGCTGCCCTGCCGCGATCCGGTGTGGCTGCCGGGGTGCGACGGCTGTCGACCGTCGGAGGCCCGGCGCAGTACGGGCGAGGCAACGCTGTCTGGACGCGGGTCTGTTGACACGCCAACGGGGAAGCTGCGCCGCTGTGACGGCTGGCTCTTGACCGGGGCAGGCGGCGAGATCACGAGCACACCGGCGGAGGTCGGTGGACTGGAAAACGCTTTGGACGGGCTCATACGGCGCTGTGCGGGCGAGCGGTGCGGCGGAGGCCGTGGCACTGCCATTGCTGCCGCCGCCTCCCGCTGCCGATCCTCCTCGTCGCGTCGTGCGTCGTATGTCTGCAGCACCTTATCGTCGCCGACGCGGTGCTGGTACAGGTAGTTCTCCATCGCAGACAGCTCACGCATGCGCTCCTCCATCCACTGATCGGCGGGGACGCGGCCTGCAGCCTTCGCCGGGGACTTGGTTGGCACCATCGGGCCCGGCTCCGGCGCCTGCCGCTCCGCCTCGCCGATCAGCGGGGGTGGGGGCAGGGGGGCCGCGGCAGCACGTGTGGGCGACTCCCCGGGAACGTGCCGCTGGGTGCTCGCGTTCTCGGCAGCGGTCTTCGCGCGGGTGGGCAGCGCACGCGGCGGTGCCGCCTTCACCACAACTTTGGTTTCCGTCGTGTGCAGGCTGTTGCGCTGTTCATGGACGACCTCCGCAGCGCTCTTCGTGGAGAGGCGGCGTCCGAACTGCGCGTCTGCCGTGAGCTGCCGTACGAAGTTTGGCGCGCTGGATCCTGAAGTTGGAGCAGGCAAACTGACCACTTGCTGGCGCTGCTGCTGCTGCTGCTGCAGCCGCGGGCGTGATTGGTGTGACGGCGCCGCTGGTTGCCGGAGAGCAGCGCTGCGCGGGGCCGTCGGCTTCTTGCGTGCCACCGGTTTCCTAAAGGCAGCGGTGGGTATGTTCAGCACCATCTGCTGCGGCGTGCACGGCTCCGCGGTGAGGGCGGTCGACGACTTGCTCTTCTCTTCCTCGCCCGCTGGAACCTCGGCTGCCGGGGGCGGCGACAGCGATTTCGTCGGCGCAGAGGCATACGGCGAAGGGGTGCCACCAGCCGGTCGCTTCCGCACTACGACGTACGCCGGCGAATCACCGCCGGGAAGCGTGTCCGCCTTCTTGATCGAATCCTTCACGCTGCCGTTGACGCTGTTGACCGGGGTGGCCGTGTCCAGCGTGTTCGTCAGCGGTGTGGTCACACCAGACGAGGCCGCGTGCGGGGGCGGGTTTGTTTGCGCGACGGGCGGGACGGTGCCGTTGTCCTTGACCGGTGATTTTCGCGGCTCGCGGGCGGCGTTGGGAGGCGGCGCGTCCGCCGCCGCCGCCTGCTCCGGCTGAGGTGGCTCGGGTGTTGGCTGCGGTGCGGCGACGGTCGTCGGTGCAGACAGCACCAGCGGCGCCGCTGGTGCTGGTCGCCCCCCAGCAGCCGTGGGCGAAAGGTTGGCCGGCGGGATGGGCGATCGAAGGGCTTTGGGCGTCACGTTGCGTCTCGCCTCCGCCCCCGCCAGCGCAGCCCGCGCCACGCCGAGCGCCGCCGCCGCCGTGGTCCGCTCCGCCGGGTGCAGCTGCAGCATCGACTGAACAATCTCTCGCACTTCGCTCGCGACGCTCGGCGGCAGCGGTGCGATTTGGCCACGCGTGACCTGCTGCACCAGGTGGGCGAAGCTGGGAGCCGAGAAGGGCTTGCGCAGAGTTGCCATCTCGTAGAATACGCAGCCGAGGGACCAGATGTCCGCGGCGAAGCTGTACTTGGTGCCCATCAGCACCTCCGGCGAGATCCACAGCGGCGACCCGACAAAGGTGGAGGTCACGTTCGACGTGTCGAGGGTCTTGGAGGAGCCAAAGTCGGCGAGGTAGAGCATCTTTGTGTCCTCGGAGACGAGGATGTTACTCGGCTTAATGTCACGGTGAATGACATGGTTGGCGTGGCAGAAGGCGAGCGCATCGAGCAGCTGCTCAAACCACAGGAGCAGCGTGTGCGTCGTCGGCATCTTGTGGCGCTCCTTCAGGTACAGAAAGAGCTCGTCCAGGTCACCGCCTTGTTCGTAGGGCATGACGAGGTAGAGAGCACCGTCGAACAGGAAGGACTCGAGGAAGCGGATCACGTGGGGGTGGCGCAGCCGCAAGAAGGCGTTCAGTTCCTCCATGCCTTGGGTGCCGTCGGCGAGACGCTTGATGACAACAAGACGGTCCGGCAGTTGGCGGTCTCGGGCTAGAAAGGCACCGTTGGTGCCGCCGAGGTCCTTGACCTTCGTGTAGTGCTCCATCCCCATTATTTCCGTGCCAGGCCGTGCGAGGCGCGTCAACCAGCAACAAGAATGTATCTATGTATTGAGTGCGTTGGCAGACAAGCGAGAAGGGAACAGCCGGGGTTGTCGAAGGAGAGAAACACGAGCAATCCGCCGGCGTGTATCCAATGAAAAGATCGATGTCGCTGAAGCGCAACTCAACTCTGTGTGTTCGAGCAACGCACGGGCAGCACGCGCACGCTGACACGCACACAAGGACAGAGAAACAGAGGAAAGAAAAGGCGAAAGCAAGAGAGGGCGGCTCCGGCTCACGCTGCAAAACGATGATAACAATGATATCGCCCAACGCCGTTACCCCAACCCCGCCTTTGAGTTCTGCACGAGCAGCAGACAGCAGAAACTAATAACGTGAATGAGATAAATGCTTTCGGTTAAAGTCGGCCCTTTTTGCCGGATACGGCGTTCGCAGTGGCGGCGGCAACAGCAGCAAAGCCGGGGGGAGAACAAAGGTGTGATACAGATCCGATGCAGCAGCGGCAATCTGCGACGTCGGTACAGGGAGAGGGAAAGAGAGGAAGAGAGGAAGAGAGAAAAAAGAAAAAAATAATAATGAAAGGAAATCTGATACAAAACGAAGTTTTATAAGCTATCGGAACAACGACAAGAAACAAGAAGAAAAAACAATAACAGTTGCAACTCTCAGGACGATTGCTGTCACAATGCACGATGATGATGAATCCTTCAGCACGACATAGGTCTTCCTTCTTCACCTGTTCACTATATATATATATATATGTATGCGTGCGTGTGTGGGCTGAGATGCGGTCCATAGAGGGGGGGGGTTCGTTTCTAAGCCGGCAATACCCTGTAGGAGCCACACTCTCTCTCTCACTGTCACTGTCACTGCCACAGAAACCACACACGAGACAACGGCACCGCTCCGTCGAGAGCCAAAAACACCACTCTTGAGTGGTGGAGGAAAACACACAGAAGGAAAAAGGAATGTGCTCAACGGTGACAGCTGACGTCTCTACCAAACAAAAACAAAAAGGCAAGGCGACAGGAGCAAGGAGTGGAAGCTGATGCCGGTTGCGGGCGCTGCAATCCGCACCTCTCTTCTCTACAGCCGTCGTGTGCGTACACGAGAACTGAATCGAAAGTGGTAGAAGAAACGAAAAGGCTCAAATAGAAAAATGGGAGAGATAAACAAAAGGAGGGGGAAGTTGATGGCCGAAAGTGAAACGAGCGTGGCGCGACACAGGTTAGATGCACTGCCGCAACGCGCGTGTTCGCACAGACGAGACAAGAGAGACGGAAGCGCAACGGGGAAGGAGTGGGGTGAGTGCAGCAAACACGTGACGCAATGTTGCAACGCTGGTCATGTAGTGTCATCAAGAGCGACGAACAGATCTCATCGCCTCAGAGGTCTAATGCGAAGCCTTTTCCTCGCCGTCGAGGTGCTAACAAGGACCAAAGGGGTTTTTTGTTTGTTTGCTGCTGCTTTTCTTTTCTTTGTTCTGAGCTATGTGGGTGCAAAGACACACGCATTGTACCGCAGCGGGGAATAGATATATGCGGAAATGGAATACACAAAAAAGAAGTCATACATACAGCCACAGAAGCACACTGAACGTCCAAGCTGCCGTTACGCGCGTTGCCACGCTCACCTTCGCCTTGAACACTGCGCTCTCAGCGCTGCTCTGCCTCGTAGCGAAGGAGAGCGTTGCAGTAGGCGACCAACATCTCTCGTCGCGGAAAGACCTCGATCGAGCTCAGCCCGGTCACCGCTGCCGCATCGAGCATCCGTACCGTCCCTTGATAAACGCAACGAGCTCCTTCGAGTGCGCCCTCACTGGAAGGAGTTCGATGCGGCAACGCAGCGGCAGCGGCAGCCGCGCACGTCACCACGATATCCACCGTCCGCTGCTCCCACCACATGCGCAGCTTCATCGTGTACCACACGTGCGCTTGCAGTTCCACACGCGTGACAAGTCGCTGCGGCTGCTGGTCCTCGATGCTGGTGCGCGTGGCAGCAGTGGAGAACCGACTGCCTGGTTGCGCCACGCCCCGTTCATTTCCGGCGATGGAGCTACGGTCAAAGGGATCACACCCGTGTCGATCAGGGCCGCTCGGGGCAGCGTTCAGCGCGCTGTCCGGCACGTTGCAGCAACGCAGGAAGGAGGGCGGGCTGCCGCCGCCGTCGCCGTCGGTGTCTGCGTAGTTGGGGTGCAGGATATTCCGCTCGCGGCCCAAGACGCCGTTCACGTTGAGGTGCGAGTGACGGGCCGGTGCGAACGCCAGCGTCGAGGCGCCGTGCGGCGTGCGGGGAGAGTTTAGTCGTGGCGAGAGCGGGTCGGTGTGCAGCGGCAGACGGGCGGGTCGCTGCTCCACGTCCTGCGCCAAGATGTATAAAACAGTGCCGCTGAGTTTGAGGGCCACCACGCGACGCCCTGCGCCGTCCCGCACGGCCAGCCGCTCCACCGACGGCCCGGCGGACGGCCCACCACCCGCACCGGTGCTGCCACTGCTGCTGCTGCTGCGAACAGCCCCGGCTGCCGTCGCGGCGCCGTTCTTTTCCTCCCCTCGCGGGGCGGCGCGGCAGAGGTAAAAGCTGAGCTCCAGCTCCTGGGGCTGCCGCTGCGCGTATTTGGGCGGGACGGTGTAGCGAAGAGGACCCGCACGCGCCACCTGCGTCGCCGCGGCCCGCGCCTGCCTCGATGAGCGGCGGGGGGTGTTAGCATCGATGCCGCCGCCCACGGGGCTGCGGTTGTTGCCCCCCTCGCCGGCCTCTGCCGTGAAAACGGGGACGAGCTCGAGCGTGGTGCGGCGCGCGGCGTGGTTGTGCGGCAGCGGGAGCAGCGCATGCTCGCCAGCCATCGCAGGGGAAGGAGAACTGAAAGACGGATTTGTGTGGGAGTGCGCGGGCACGTATGTGTCGGTCTGGGCATCTTCGTGGCTCCTTGCGGGAGAGGCGTTGTCCTTCGTCCTCTGCGACCCCACCGGTGCCGCAGTGGAAGCGGGAGGCGGCGGAGCCACCGTGGAAGGCGGCCCTTCATCTGTTTCTTTGCGTGCCGCCGTCAGAGTGGTGGTGGTGGTGGTGGTGGTGGTGGTGGTGCTCGGCGGGCCCATGGAACTTACTTGCGCAGCAGCAGAAGCAGCAGCCTCCAGTTCTGCAATCCGCTGCTGCAGCCTCGCGTTTTCATCGGACAGACTCTCCAGCAGTGCCGCCTGCTGCTCCAGTACCCCACGCGCGAGATGGCACTGTTCACACCGGCGGCCATCAGCGTCCCGCCCACGGCGCCACCGCTGCTCTTGAACCACTTCGTTGAACTCCCGCCCCCCGCTCGGGTCGGCTGCCGCGCAGCGCGACACCAACCGCAGAAGATGCGCGTGCTGCTGCCGCGACGCCGCCACACCGTCCGCCGCGCCTCGCTTCCCGTCGTCGCCGCCGCCCTCCGTGCTTGCGGAGTGCACCGCCGGTGTGCTCCACCGCCGTCGTACGCAGTGCAGCACATCCGCAAAGGGGAGCGAGCAGCTCAGCACGTCCAGCAAGGAGGCGAACTCGTCCAAACTAAAGCGGGTAGCCGGCTGGACCGGGCGGGTGCCGAGCCACTGCAGGGCGTCCTCCACACTCACCACCCCAATGCCCGTCTCGCTGATCACGTAGACGAAACTGAGCAGCTCAAAGGCGTCGAAGCAGCCGAGGATGGGCGGCTGGGCGGCCACGGCGCTGGCGACCTCCCGCAGCACCCACGGCGGGCTCATGAGCTGCGACGGCGGGGACGCACCGGCAACCAGTCGGCCTGGCGAGTTGGCGGTCGGCGGTGGGGCCTCCGTCTCTGCCGCTGCCTCGGCGCCCTCCCCACCCTGTCGCTGAGACGGTTGTTGCGCTGCGTGGTGCACCGCCGCCGCCACCTGCGCTGTCATCTCCAAGTACGCCCTCTCTCGAATGTCGAGCAGCGCAGCGCGCAGTTCGGTCGCCTCGGCGCCCACCACCAACGCCGCCACGGCCGTGAACAGCTGCGAATACATGAGAAGCCAGTAGTTGTCGATCCACGATTCGAGCGAGACGGTGGGCGCCGCAGCGGCAGAGGTGACGACTTCCACGTCCTCCGTCGGCGCCGAGCCTGCGAAGGAGTGGCTGTGCACAGACCCGGTGTGTGCCGCAGTGCCCGCATTCTCTGCGAACGCCGGAAGCGGAGTGTCCTCCGCACGTCGGGAGCCATCGCGGGACTGCTGACTGCCCGCCAATGCCGCTGGAAGTCCGCTGCGTGAAGGCGCGGAGGAGGCCGGCGTGGTGTTGCGTGACCCTCCCTCGCCGCCCACGCTGGCCTGCGCTGTGCCGTGCGGATGCGCCGACGACGCCTTTTCAGTCTCGGCCGTTGCAGCAGCAGGGCCGGCGGTGTTTGTTGTATCCGATGCGCCCTCCATCGCGGCGGACACCGTCAAGATCTCCCGCACGGCGTCGACAAAGCGGGCGCAGCTCATTAAGTACTCGGGGTTGCCCACGACGACGCCCTCGCAGTCGCGCATCCAGGCAGGCAGCAGGTCTTCCAACTGAGCACCACGCGGAGTACGCCCCGCGGCGGCGGATGAGGTTTCCTCCTCCGAAAGATTCGCTGCGCCTGTGTACAGGTAGAGCGTCTCCATGAAGGTATCCGGTGTGGCGCACACGTGAAAGAGAAGGCAGTCGGCCGCCGATACATAGCCGCAGCCCTCCGTGTCCATCATGCGGAAACACTCCGTCAGCATCCGCTCCGTTTCTGGGGCAATCTGAATGAGGGGCTTCAAATGAGCGCGTAAAAGGATGGCAGGGGCCGTCGTGGTCGCCGTCGCCGCCGCTGCCGCCGTTGCCGTTCCCTCTGCCGCAGTGTCCATCAACTGCGGTGTCTCCCCCGCCTCCCCTCGCCGGCGACGCTGTTCCAGCACGTGATGTTGATTCCTCCGCGCATCGTGCCTCGCCTCGCCGTGGTGTCCGTCGCCTCGACGTGGACGCCGGTCGCGGTGGCGGTGGCCACCACCATGTCGATGGACCCCGTCCGGGTGTGAAGCGCTGAGCCCAATCGACGAAGCCGCGGTACGAGCGGACTCCGCAGAACCGCCTCCGTCCTCCTCATCCCTCTCATCTTCGGTGTCATCGACGCCTCCTTTCTTCTTCCCATCCACCTCCGCCACGCCCATCAGAATTAGCGATCCGGAAGCGCTCGGGCTCTGACTGCTGTGAGGCGGTTCCCAGGAACTGAGGGGGTGATGCGTGCCGCTCGACGACCGCGACATGGCGAGCGACTTCCCAAACGCGGCCGCCGTCGCCGTCACGGCAGACTCCGGGGCGGTGGTCGCGCTCTCATTCCCAGTCAGCGATCGACTGGCGCGTTGTTCTTGCTGTCCCGCGACGACGCTGCTTAGCGAGCCGTCCCCCGAGCTGCCCGGGTTGTTCGTCGTGGCTGACTTGATGGGGATCTGGCGCTGTTGCGCGCCACCAGACGCGGCGGACGAGGGTGTGTCCGTAACTTCGATCGCCTCACGACCACCGCCGGTGTGTGCCGCACTGCCCTGCGCGGTGGATCCGGCCAGCGCCACGGCCGCCGCCGCTGCTGCTGCTGCAGTGGACGGCGAATTCGAAGTTTCCTCGAGTACGCTCAGTGGCGGAGCAGCGGGAGGGAGCAGCGACTGCAGCAGCACCGGCGGTAACGCGCTGAAGGCGCCTGTGAATTGCGGGGAGGCGACCTCCGATGTGCGCGATGAGGACGCCGCCAACGAGTCCGGCCCACTCGTGTGTCGTGCTGCCAGCGGTGCTGCTGTTGAGGTGGGCGATGGAAGGACGGCCTCCGCGATGGTGCTGGCCCTGCGGCACGCGGACGACGCAGTCGACACGGTGCCCTGTGAGGAGCCGCCCAGCGGGCCCCTCGTGGAGAACTCCGTAGGACTGCCGTTCAGCCTTGATGGACTGGAGCTGCGCATCAGACTCGACAGAGGCGACCCGGCGATGCTGCTGCGACTCGACAGGCGACTCATGGCACGAAAGCGGGCGAGCTCGCTCTTCACATAGGCGTCGTAGCCCACAAACGACTGCACCTCTTTCAGACAGCTCACCTGATCGCACTGAAGAGCCGCGTTGAGGTAGGCCTCCATGTACGCCCGACGAGCTTCACGCTCCTCGCCGCGCACGAGCGGGTCCTCCGCCTTGCTCGTGGACAGGGCGGAGGGGGCTGCGGGGGAGCCGCCAGCGGAAGGATCGCCAATCATCTGCCGCGGCGGTGACCCGGCGACGCCACCGCCGCCTCTGCCGTGCTGCAGCGCCTCTGCGGCGGAGAAGATGGAGGTGTTCTGGACAAAGGAGAGACCGAGATCGACGGGGAAGGCAAAGCCCGGTGGCGTCGGCGGCGGCTCAAACCGCGGCGCCACCGACAACACGAAGTGAACCAGCTGCTGAAACAGTACCCAATGTTCGTTGACCTGCGCGGCCTGCTGCGGCTTCGCGGTGCGCAAGGACTCGAGGGAGGAAGTCGCGGCAGAGAGCTCCTCGTGGTTACCGCCGTCGTCGCTGCTGGGGTTGGCGCAGCTGTTCAGAGAAGACTGCCGTCCTGCGGGTACGTGGTTGGCCGACGAGTGCGACGCCGACGCCGTGCTCTGCGCTGTACGAGCCGGCAGCAGCAAGTGAACGCGGTAGCTGTCCTGACTGTTCGGCACAGGCGTCTCACTAACAGAAGGGTCGGCCAGGCCGTTCACTGCAGCGGCGGCGGCGGCGGCGGCGGAGGAGGATGCACCAAAGCCTTGAAAGCTGCCGAAGCTGCTATCGGGGCGACCACTCGAGACCAGCGGGCCGCCGCCGCCTCCTCCACCGGGGGCCTTCTTGAGCGCAAATACGTCCCCGAATGACTTGGTGAGCGCGAAGGATGAACTCGCCGGGGTGAACGACGCATTCATCAGAAACCCAGGCGTGGACAAGGCCCCTGTCGCGGGCACGCTGCTGGCCATACTCGGCGGACCGCCCACGCCTGCTGCCCCACCGGTGCCCTCGACGGTCACATGCGCCGACGCCGCTGTTGGGACAGGGGAATTGCGCCGCAGCTGATCGGCCGGCACGACGGAGACGACAACGGTGAACGACTTGAGGGGGATCGGCTTGAAGAAAGCTGGCATGTGCCGGCCCCGGTGCGGGGAGGCGGGGCTGCTCACCCCATCCAAGGAGAAGGTGCTGGTGTACTCAATACGAGGCAGGGCCGCCATGATGACGTGCCACCCACACACAGATACCAGTAAAGGAGAGAGCACGGCCTACAACGGAGGAGCCAAACGTGGAAGCAGATGAAGCCGTTGGGAGGGCGCGGCAGACACAGGTACAACACCAGAACAACACCAGAAAATCCGCCAAGTTGGATAATGAAGGTAAAGCGCAAAAGACGCAGAGGAAAAAAGAAGCGCGGTCGTGCTGTGGAGTCCGGTGACCGCGTCTGGTCTCCACTAAACAACGGCAGCAACGGCAAACAAACGCAGAGCTTTACCGGTGGGAAAGTAAAAGGTTTGACAGCCGAGGAGCGTCGCCGCCCGATCGAGCGCAGCCCGCCGCAATTTCTATCGAACACTTCAGTCAAGATGTGAGGGAGGTGAAGTATTAAAAGCAGCAATTAAAACAAACAAAAACAAATGCAATCATACAAGGAGAACGCGCTGGCAGAGAACTAGCAGTTATTGGAATCGCTCTCGCAAGTAATTACGTGCGGAGACATTCAATGGGTCTCGCGCAAACGGAGAGAGAAAGAGAGAAAGCAGGGAGGGTGCTGTCGCGTGTGAACACCTCAGTACAGTAGAAACAACGCAGAAAGAGAGCCACAAAACAAATATTTATCTTCTTTTCTCTTGCTTTTAAGAAGAGAGAGCGCGCGTATAACGCCACCAATGCCCCCGCCCTCTCTACCTTGTCGTGAGTGAGAGAAAACAAAGCAGGTAGTAGTGGTGGCAGTACGAAGAGAGGAAAAGAAAAAGCTGATGTGCCGCCTGTGTTGTCGCTATACTGCGCTCGGCGCCACACACCGCTTGCGAATTTGGAGTTTACAAAACAGAAGAAAAAAACAATTTAAGCAGAAACAGATGAACAGATTTATGCGTGAAGCAGTGCGCGCGTGGGTGAGACGCGTGCTCGGCGGTGCTGCACGTACGCGTAAAGCACTGGTAAAAGGATGCCGAGAAACAAAAGGTGAGGTGAGGAGAGGAGAGGAGGGAGTACAGCCAACTTTGTCAAACGCGATGCCGAATGAGCGGCGGAATCCGCTGATGCATAAACCCGATCCACCACAACGGTGGCCAAGGACCGAGGAGAACGCAGCGGTACACTATTCTTTTTTCTTCTTCATTCCAGCAAAAGAGAGGTGCCGTGCGATGCTAGAAGCCGCCGGTTTGTGCAAGGGGAACGATGTTTTCCCCCACCTTTCGTTGGCTGCTTCACCACCGCAATGCGTGGCCGCTGGGGCTACACAGATCCGCAATTCGGCGGCGCCACCGAGGCGTTTGGAGTCAGACTTTTCTATTGGAAGAGTAACGCACCAAGAGAAACCAAGAGGCTTTTCTGCCTCCTCCGTACAGCAGTGGCGTTCACTTCGGGGTTACGCAGGACAGCGTGAAAGATTCACGTGGTGTACAATACATCTGTGTTAATATATATATACTGCCTCTCTTGTTCTGCGAAAGGAAGAATCGCCCACCAATGGCACGTCACCACCTCCCCCTCATTCCGTCCTGTCTAGCAGGGGCTGGAGACTGCGGTCCAGCACCACCAGCTCCTCCACCAGCGGCAGCGCCGTCCACTGCGAGCGGTCCGGCACAAGTCGGCGCACCAGATTCACATCTCGCTGCAGCAGCGGACGTGAAAGGTAGTACTTGTACACAGCCCGCAGCGTTACCGGGTCGAAGACGCGCACGAGCGATGCGGAAAGGCTGTTGCGCCGCTGAATGTACACGGACCACCGCTGCCGCTGCGCCGCCTCGTCGCTGTCGGCGGTGGCCTTCGTCGACAGTCGCAGCGGGGCCGCTGGATCGGCAAAGGGGACCCCGCCAGCGGAGGACGCGCCGTCCAACTCGGCCTGCTGCCGCTGCAGACGCACCCGCGCCGCCTCCGCCTCCGCCAACGCGGCGACCTCGCGAAGTTGCCGAATGCGGGTGGGTGAGGGCCGCCCGACTGGCAGCGCGGCGTCGTAGCTGTGCTTGGCGTGGCCATCCGTCATGCCGTGCGCGTGCGCCCATGCCTCGTCCATCGCCTCCTGCCGCTGTCGGTCCCCTCGCTCCTCGTGGATCTGTTGCACCATGTGAATGTAGACGTCCTCCGGCGACTGCGGTATCGTCGAGGACGAACTTCGCGGCGTGACGGCCGGCCGCCCGTCCGCGCTCCGCCGCTGCTCCTCGGCCCCCTCTCCCTCGGGGCTGGCCGCCGCCGCCGTGGCCAGCACGTTTAACACGTTCGGCATACTCTGCAGCGGCGCTGAGCCGTGGCGGGAGTGCAGCAGTTCGATGTCGAGCAGAATGCGTTGATGCCGCATGCGTTGCTGCACCCGCTGCCGCAGCTGCGCAACGGCATCAGCAATGTCCGCCATTGAGGCGTAGCGCATATCCACGACGTTGTGGAAGGCCTTGAAGAAGAGCGCCTCCTCGTCGAGGGGAGGCGCAGGCAGCGGCGTGACGCCGGCCGTGAGCAGCGGCTTGTTGGGCGGCGGTGCCGCCGCTCGCAGAAACGGTGGCGGCGAAGTAGAAGGCAGGGGGGCGTCGTCGAAGGGGGTCGGCGCGGCCGTCGGGTCGGGAGAGTTGGGGTCAGATCGCCGGTGATCGTTGCTGTCGAAACTCGCGCGGTGGTGGCGGCCACTCCTCCTTTGCTGCTGTCCGGAGTGCGAGGACGTCGCGGAAGCGGTGGGGGAGGCGAACGAAGAGGACGGAGAGGAGGACGGCGACGCTGGGTGCGGCGGGTCAGCACGCCGGCGGTGTTGCTGCTTCTGCGCCGTTTTCTTGGCCTTTCGTTTCTTCTGCGGTGGCGGCCGCCTCCTCGCCGCACCCGACGCGCTTCGACACGGCGAGTCCGCGCTGTGCCTGGCGTGTGTCGGCGACTCAAGCGAAAGCGACGGGCGCGGCGCGGCGGAGGGGGCGGAGTCGTAAACCATGAAGGGCCGCATGCTCTCGGTGGGGACCGCCCCCGCCGCCGCCACCGCCGAGTCGCTGTTTCCGCCCACGGCGGAGGGGAAGCTGGCCATCTCTGTCGGGCCATCGACGGCGCTCGCGTCACCGCCGGTCCCGTTCATCGCCGCCGTCATGCGGCGTCCGCTGTCGCCGAAGAAGAACGTGCCCTCCGCCATTCCACCGACGCCCCCCGCCGGGGCCGCGGTCCCGTTGAAGGACAACGCACCGCAGCTCGAGAAGGACGGTCCGCCCAGCAGCAGCGCCGCCCGGGCCGCCTCCGTGGCGCGCTTCTCGGTTGCCTCGCGCTCCTCAGAGGGTGAGCAGGCCGGCGGCATCAGCTGATGCTCCATCTCGCTGTGATGCAAGGAGGCGTACCGCGGATCCGTCGGGTTCTTCAGCGCCGCTGCCTTCACGTTCGCCTGCCACGCGATGATCTGCTTCGCCAGCGCCGTCTCGCTCAGCGACGCCGGTACGTCCAGCGGCGTCCGCAGCACGTGCCACAGCTCCACATAGGCGCGTACGCAGGGCATCATGAGCACCTCCTCACAGGTGGGTCGCTGTGCCGCGTCAAGGTGAAGCATGCGATTGATCAGTTCTTGAATCGGCCGGGGGTAGTGCACCGGGAGCGGCTCCCGCTGCCCGCGAGACACACGCATCACCAACGTGGCGAGGTCGCGCGAGTCGAAGGGGTGCCGTAGAGCCAGCAGCTCGTAGAGGACGCAGCCGAGCGACCACACGTCTGACTTGGGACTCGCCGTGCCGCCTTGTATGACCTCCGGCGCCATGTAAAGCGGCGTGCCCTTCATCACGGCCTCCATCTTGCCACCGCCGCCGCTCCACGGTGACTGCGGGGAGCCGAAGTATGGTGAGGCGATGCCGGCGTTCGAGTTGTAGCGCTGCAGGACCGCGAAGGGCTGCTGTAGTGGTGGTGGGCGGTGCGGCGAGGCGTTCGGCGTCCCGAAGTGCAACCCCTCCGTGAACTGCGCCGAGGAGGAGGGAGTACGCTGCAGGTGAAGAACGCCAGTTTCAAGGTTTGGCGTCCCGCCATTGTACAGGCGGTCCTCTCTCGCACCACCAGTCCATGTCCCCGTCCCCGCGGGGTTGCCGCTGCTCCCCTGCCCGCTCATCGTCGCGGCGGCCCACGTGCGGCTTGCCAGATCCGCGTTGAAGCGCTCCGAAATGCCGAAGTCGCCCAACGAGACGGAGGCGTCCTTCCGTCGCACAAAGACGTTGTGCGTCTTGATGTCGCGGTGCACGACGTGGTGGGCGTGCAGGTACTGCGCCCCGAGGACCAGCTGCACGAACCACAGCATCACCTGCTCGAAGCTGAAGTACACGTCCAGCTCCCGCTGCGCCGCCATGCGAGCATCCATGTCACCGCCGTCGTAGTACTCCAGGATGAGGCAGAGGTCGTACTCGCTGTACAGGAAGGCGTCCTTCTGCTCGACCACGCACGGGTGGTGTAGGTCGCGCATCACCGCGATCTCCTGCGACGCGTCGCGGCGCTGATCCTCGTTGAGCCCGAGCAGCGGGATGCGCTTCATGACAAACACTTTGTGGTCGGTGATGCGGCGCACCTTGAAGACGATGCCAAAGGCACCGCTGGCCATCTTCTCGATGATCTCGTACTCCTGCAGAGCCATCGCGCACCCACCTTACCTATACATGGAAAAAAGTTATACGAAGGAGCGGCAAGCAGCTCTTACGCGGAGGAGGGTTACCATATATATTATGGTTATTGTGGGGTTGTAAAGGTCATTAAAAAAGATTGGAGGGAGGGAATCGCTCATGGAGTTGGGCAGCAACGACCGTTTAAAGAAGGAAACTGTCACATACTCTGCTTTCGTCCTCTCCATGTTTGGAAGGCAGAGGAAGGGAAGGAGGGAGGGAGCAGCAGGGAGCAGCACATGCTCGCGGTGCGATGCAGCCGGTTCCAGAGAGGCAACGACAGCAGCAGGCACCACCGCAATGTACGCCAAAGAAGAAAGCTTGTTCCGTTACGCGTCACCTCAAAGCAGGCTTCGCTCAAGCAGCGGACTATTGGCACAACTGCTCACGCAGAGAGAGAGAGAGAGAGTATAGAAAGGCCTTCCGATCTCGCGGCCAAACATAAAAAAGAAGGAGACCGCAAATGCGCTCATGTATGAAGCAGCGGAGTGAAGCAGCACAGAGCAGGGAAACGTAAAAGGAGTCAGAAGGGGCGAGCTGATGCGGCTGCGCCGAGAGTCCTCCGGCGATCACGCAGCATGTACGCCATGTAGGTGAAGTGGGTCGCGGCGTCGCTCCGACACGCTTCGGAGAACACGTCGTGCGGCACTTCACGATGCGGCCACAGCGGACCGGCAGGGGTGCGCACGTGTCGCAGGTGGGCGCGATGACGCAGCCGCAGCCACGCCAGCTCCCCCTCCTCCTCCTCCCCCTCCGCTGTATCCAATGCGTCGCCCTCGCTAAACACAGACGACAGCAATGTCGTGGAGGGCGGAGCACTGGACTTCGTAACCGCCGTGGTGGCGGCTGTGGAGTTGCCAGCGCCGTCGAATTCATCTTCTGTGGAGCTGCGCCGAGAGTGACGACGTGCTGACTGTCGCGTCTCCCACGCCACTCGCGCCTCAGCGAGGAGAAAACGCTGCTCTTCGTGGAAAGAAAAGACGCGCCGGGTGTAGCGCCGTCGCCGCAGCGGCTGCACCTCGCACTCCACTGCGTGCGTTGCAGCGGGCAGCGAAGTACGAGGCGGCAGCGTGTCGTTGGCGCAATGAACGCCCTCCGCGCATGGAAAGGTGCCAGCGAGAAGCTGCGCGGCGTGCCTGCGTAGTTGGCCATGAAGATTTTCAGCTCCGCCGCCGGCGTCTCCGCGTGCTTGAGCTCTTGCAGCACACGTCGTGCTACGACTACCGTCGTGTCCGTTTACTGGATTCGACGAAGCAGAGGAGCTGGACGCTGACACACTGACAGCAGTATCGCTTTCTCCCGCCGTGTCGTAGATGTCTGATGGAGAAGTCCTCTCCATGTTGTAGGGGGTGCCAGCCGCGTAAAAAAAAAGGAAGCGGGCTGATTTGGCGGCCGCTTGTGCAGCGGCAGCACGCGTCATGAAGATCGCTGCCTCTTGGTCATCAGGCACGCCGGACCAATTGAGAATAGGGAATGGCCGTTCAGCATTTTCCGCCTCCGACCGCGAGGACCAGATCGTCTCCTGCGCGCCATGAAGTCCTGCCTCCAGCTGCGCCGCCCCAACATCTGCCGTATTGCCTGCGGTCTCGTCATCGTCCTCTGAGTCCACAAACCACCGGACTTCACGGCTCGCTGCACAGTCGCACGCATCGCTCGAGTGCCCATACGAATCCACTGTGGCTGTCACGCTGCCCATAAACGGCGGGTGTGTGGGGGCCGCCGTGTCTCCTCGAAGCAACTCCCCAGCGCCGCCCGGACGCGACGGATGGGAGGAAAGAAGCGCTTGGCAGCCCGCGAGGGCGTCATGCCAGTGTGTGTGAAACAGCAACCAGCCATCACGCCGCAGTCCGTCTACCAGCAGCGTGTGCATGAGACGCTGGTAGTAACTTGGCGTGCAGTTGATATCCCTCACACAGAGATCGACGCAGGGCGGAGGCGAAAGGGCGGGGTGCGAGCCGCTGCAGAGACGCGCACCTCTACTGGTCATGTGATGGTGCTTCACTTGGATCGCGCGAACGCTACCTTCACCCCCCACTGTAGCCACAGCCGCAGCCGCATTGTCGTGGTTGCTGTCGATATTTCTGTTGCCATCAGCGTCGAACACAGTCAGTTTCAAGTAAAAGGAACTGAAAGCACCGCCGCACATCTCCGCCTGCGCGTAGGCGAGCACCGATCGGACACAGCGGTCCAACTCCGCGTCGTCACCTCGCGCCAACTCGCGGCGGTACCGCTGCCACGTTGACGACGGTGCGCGCAGTGGATCGTCGACGTCCTCTGACGGTGCGGTAAGCAGCTGTGAAGACGCTGGTGTGGAGGCGGTCAGGATGTGTCGGTAGAAAGCACGCCGAAGAGCCCGGCAGCGCACCCGGCGCCGTGCTTGAATCTGTACGACGGGACTCGACGGCACCGATTGACTGGCAACGCGTGCGTGTTGATCGACGTGACATTCGTTGGGGGCGCCAGTTAGTAGGACTGCGGCGGCGGAGTCGGCCGAGGCAGCAGCGGCGGAAGCGGCAATGTCAGGCAAAGGAGCTTGGCGTGGCTGGCGGAGTTGCGCGGCGGCGACGTTACGCAACGTAAGGAGAGGCCAATGTGCTGTGCAAAACGAATGCACCGCCTCCGCACCGCGCACGTTGAATGCGGCTTTCCGCGTCGGTGCGATAGGAATACGAAGCGAGATGCGCTCGCCATCGTCTGTAGCAGCGCTCATCAGAAGCGCATGACGAGCTTGGTGCCTCTCTTGGGAAGGGGTCAGCGGTGCGCTGCGCTTCATCGCGAGCAGCAGTGGTGCGTCGGTCTGCGGCTCCACGACGCCCTCACCGTCGTGGTTGCATGCAGACACCACAGGCGTTACTCTCGGTGCACCTGCGGTTATGAGACGGGCGTCCGCTCCTTCCACCCGCCCCGTTCGGCGCTGACTTCTTGACGAGGCAGAGATTCCCAACACAGCAGCGGCCATAAATGGGGAAGGTACAACGAAGGCTCGCAAAAGATCGAAGGGCAAGGCAGCTGTGGGCGAGCATGGTGCTGGCGAAGTGGTGGACTTCCGCTGACGCCCGCACGAAGCACGCACCTCACCCGCACGGTCACCATCTGTTCCTACTGGTTCCATACTGTGGATCGCACCCGCTGGGATTTTAGACGGGGGGCGCCAATATTCTCTGCAGCGCGCCTCCACGCGCGCCAGCGGCAGCTGCCACGTCCACTCGGCATTGCTCCTCCTCAGGCAGCTCATCGATCTTGTGTGTATCGCGCACTGCGCCGAGGTGGGAAGTGGCGAGCGCCGCAATAGAGACGACATCAGTGCCTGGCGGTCACGGGTGTGGCGCCGCTGCTGAGCTTTGGCGGCGGCTGCGGCTGCGGCCTCTCGCACGACAGCAAAAGTGGGGAAGGCTGAAAATGCCTTCTCTCCCTCTTCCTTCTCTGACGTGTCGCTCGTCCTACTTCGATCAGCACGGCATTCAGACATGGACAGCGGGTCAGCACCTAGAACTGGGAGACACACCAACACTGAAGTGGGAGAGGCACGAGAGCCAGGAAACGCACCTGCGAGGTTGCAGGCAGCTTTGCCATCTTGCAACGGCAACGAAGTCGCAGCGTCTGGCATGGTGGATTGCGTCTGCTGTGTCTCCTGCGCTGACGCGCGAAGGCGTCCGGGTGTGTCGCCGCCTGCCGCCACAGCTCCGTCGCGGCACCGGTGGACAGCAACGGTATCACCGTCGCTGTTGGATAGAAGCTCAGCTGAGAGGTGATGGTACATAGTATGTGTACGTTGCGGCACCGCTGCGTCCTCGCTGTCGGCGTCGTCGTCATCATCATCGGCAGCGCAGTCGGCCTCCATCCTCTCCTCCGACCGTGCGCGCTTCCGACGTGTTCGGCGCGGTGCCGTCGGCCGTGAGATGCCCTTCCGAAAAGAAGCGCCGGCCACCGTAGGAACCTCCCAAAAGCGGTGCTGACGAACCTCTGCGAGTGCGTGCAGCCGGGTGTTCTCCTCGAAGGAAACGGTGTCGCGGTGCGCGTCTGCACGGTTCCATCGCACAGCGCAGCACGGAGGTGGCGGAAGCGAAGACGGTGCCTCGGACGTCTGCCACAGCTTCTTCGCTTCCACCGCAGCATCGGCGATCGCAAAGGGAAAGTCGCGCACACCATCGCGGCCCACTTCGGCGTCGTACGCACATTCGCCGCCCGTTTGGGAGTTCCAATAGAAGCGTTTCTTGAATCCGGAACGATGAGCGGACACGGCCATCCAGCACAACGCCTGCGCGGCGGGAGGCAGCAGCAGCGGTACACGAGCTGCCTCGCACGCCGCCGCAATCCACGCGTCCCACGGCAGCCACGAGGCACCGCGCCACCGCGCAACTGCGAAGCCGCGCACGTGCCGGCAGAGCGCTGGTAGGTGTTCGTGTCTGTCGGCCTCCTCATCTTCTGCCCCTCTCGGCTTTGGAAGAAAGAGAGAAAAATGAAATGTGTGGTGTGGCGCAGGTGATGGAGGCCTGCCGCACCAACACGACACGGCCGGACGGTCGCGCAGCGCCACCACTGCCCTCCGCTCCTGGCCGCTGTCTCGTTGTGATGTCGGACGTCGCATCCACGTCAGCACATCTGCTGCTGCAGTGCGTGTGCTGGAAAGCAGAGAGTCCTCTGCCGCTTGACGTTGACGATTAGCCACGTCCGCTCGCTTTTCGAGGGCATCAATCCCAGCTGCGTCAACAGACTGCTTGATGGAGTCCCACAGCTCCGCGATCGACTTGTGTGCTACGGACGCTGCCTCAGCGCACTGCCAGCTCTCGTCCTCGTGGCTTAAAAGAGCAGCGCTGCGGCCTGTCACATTGTCGTCGTTGTTGTTCAGGCGGCGTCGCCAAACAACCTGTGTGGGTCCTCGAATCCAAGACATTTCTGCTTCACGCCGGTCAACGCGAGGTGCCACCGTGGATGCGGTCCTCTGAGGTTCTTTGCAGGGACGCTGCACAGAATCTTTGTGGTTCTCCAGAAGTCCTTCGCTGATGACCGCCGTTGTGCCCACCACTCCCTCCACTTCCGCCGTCATCCACGCCCACCAACAGTTCCGCGCTCCTTTCTGGGGTGGGTGGTGCCCGCTGCCTCGCCAGCGTCGCCTCCCCCTCGCCGCAACAGCCCCTTTCACCTTCATTTCGATAAAGCACCGCTGCGGCAGATACCCCGTTGCAGAAGACGACGCCACAACAGCGGTCTTGAAGAGCGCTGCAAGGTCTGCTGTCACAAGGTCAAAACTGCAGAGCTGTTCTGCTTGATTCTTTTGTGGAGCCGCTGACGTGTGGAGCGAAGACCCCACGGCGCACGGCGGCGATGGCCACATCTGGTTGTTCTGTCCGTTCTCTCGGGAGCGCGGCGCCCCTCCCGCCTCGCCGTCGTGCAACGCGTCGCCTCTGTCCTTCACCTCCGTCGCAGCACGCTGACTTCGCCAGTGCGCCACGACCTCCTCAGGACGAGGAGGGACCAAAGGAAGAGGTGCATGAATGGAATCAAACAACAGCTGCGGTGGGTGCTGCGGAGATAACGCACGCGTCGGCCTGATCGCGACGAAGCGAATGTGTCTTTCGGGTTCTGGATCTTCCTCTGCCATCGATGCGCACCTGTCGAGGATCAAGCAAGAGGGCAGGTGCGCCGCCGCGCACACCGAGTTAAGGTGAGCGTTGTCCATTACAGTCGCTTGCGACTCCTCTGGCTCGTTCTGCATGTCCGCTGCGCCGATAGGGTTGGATGGCTCACCTCCTCGAGCGCTGTGCGGAGTGAAAGCGGCGAGGTCGCCCTCCGTCGGCATCGCGTGCTCCTCCCACCGCAGCAGGCGCCACCGCTGCTCTCGAGGGATGCTCCAACGCCGCGGTGGTGGTGATTCCCTTCTGCTGGATATACCAGCCACGTCGACATCGCTCTCTGCCGGCGCCGGCAGCGCAGCATCTAAATCATTTGCCCTCCTTGAAAGAGAAGCATCGGCTGATGGTGCAGTACGCGCTGGTTTTTCGGTGGAAGTGAAAGGCACAGCGACTCGCCGCAGCTGACGTGCCACGGCGGCCATCCAACGCGCATCGGCGGGGGCAACGGCGTACACCGACGCACAAACCGATCGATGCTCGAGATAGCTCGGGAAAGGAATGTGATAAGGGGCGCCAGCTCCAACCTTGTGGAGCACGCGAGTGTCGCCCGCACAACCATTTCTGTCTGTCAGTGCATCCTGTGCTTCGACGCACGATGAGAGGGAGCCGCTCGTGCTCAGGTGTGCGCTCGTTGCCGTGCTCGCGGCCAGCTGTAGACGAGCGAAGATGAGAGGCATTCGCTGCTCTCTTCTCTTTTCCCCTTTCTTAATACATAGACACGTGATGCGTACGTGGTCGCTGGAGACTCGGCGAATGCGCAGAAACAGAGAAGGCCGCCGCCGCTGAATTCTGCTGCGCCGATCTCCAGAAATACAAGGAGACCTGAGAAAGTATTCGCTATGTATATGCTGCAAAGGAAGGATAAACTGCTGTGCGTCCTGATGAGACAGGGGGGACGTGCGGCCGCCACAGGAGCATCGCTGTTGCCGTCGTCGGAGATGTTTCCTTCGGAGGGTCGTGCAGCGTCGGCGCCGTCCACGACGTTGTCTGGCGCGAGATGTTCACACCGCACAAGAAGAATAAGAAAAGAATTATATATAAGAGCAGGTAGTGGGAGAAGACGAGATGCAATGCGAGTTTGCGCGGTGTTCCTGCCGTTCTCTCACTCGCTGCGCGAGTGGGTCCACCCGTTGAATAGGAGAAGAGAACACAAATGCATCGGCTGTGGTCTCCCGTAAACGAGCCGTTGACGGCTCAGGAACTGTTGGAAGGGACGAGCATCGAATGCAGCGGCGCAGCCACATCACCAACGTCCTTCGATGTTCCACGGCGACGAATGCACCAGGTTTCCCATCGCACTCGAAGAGTAGCCAAACGATATCTACTATTGTTTTCCCCGATGTTAGACAGAATTACTCGCAAACAGGTTTGCCTCGCCAATTTGCAAGGAGAAAAGAAAGAGTTGTGATGCGGGTGAGAGGCGTCGGCGAGCGGTGATGACACACCAACGCGCGCGGACTCGATGAGAGAGCGCGTCGATGCGCATTAATGAAGAGATAATAATAAGAATAGAAGAGAACAGCTAAAATTGAAGCTCCACCAAAGCGGTGCTGAGCGCGCGGAGCACACCCTCTCAAGATGTGTTGTGCAACGCTGTGGTGCTCGTGCGCACGTAGTGATGGAAGCAGGCAAACGCTGCAGCATCAACAGTACGGCAAATCCGCACAGACGCACACACGTGTTCAGAGAGGGCTTCCGTGTTGCTGCAGCGATGCATCTTCTCTGCTAGCGCCTCAGCTCGCCACCGTCCCGCATCCACTCCCCCTGGTGGGGGCGGGGATGGCGGCTACGCCGCACAGGAAGAGGGGGTATGAGGCGGCACGGTGGCAACATCAGAAGATGAAGAAGACTCGAACTGCTGGATGCACATCAGCTCGGCAATGACGCGTTGCCGTCGCAGATCTTCCACAAGTTGATCTGGATCCTCCGGCACGAGGGGCGCAGCCGCGGCCGTGTGGGCAGCGCGTGACCGGCGTGTTGCATCGACGGGTCCGTCATGCGGCGGAGGCCGCTGCTCTTCGTCTCCCACGCGTCCCCCGTTGGGGCCGCCGCGAACTCCGCCGCTGCTGCTGCCCAGAGGAGTCTGCAGGAGCTGCCTGATGTACCGCGCACGAAGCAGGAGGCGATCCCGCCGGGGGCGATGCTGGATGCGCCGTTCAAAGGCTGCCACTGCATCCGTGGGAATCGGCAAGGAGAGAGTTGACGGCGGGCCTTCCGCCTCCGCCTTCAGCGCAGTATCAACAGCAGGTACACGCGACACGGTATTGCCGTGCCCTCCTTTCTTGCTGTGATGCTCCGCCTCCGAGGAAGGACGATCCGTGTGCGGCGAGTGCGTGGTGCTCGATGCTGCCGCGTCACGCGGGCGTCGCAGCCGGGCTTCTCTCACAGCGTTCGAGACGGCGTGCAGCAGCCGACCCTTCGGAGATGCCGGCGCAATTCCTCCATTCTTCTCCACCTCTCCCCCACTTCGCTTGTGTGGATCATCCGCATTGCTGGGGCTGTTGCCCACACCGCTGCTGTGGCTGTCACCGCTCGCGCTGATTTGCGCAGACGTCAGAGACTTCGGCATGACGGGTCGGGTGTCGTCGTCGTCTGCAGAGGCCGGAGCTGCTTCCGATGCGATGCCGGCCAAATGCCGGGGAAGCGACAGCTGCGGCACCCGCATCGGTGCCTCGCGCGCCTCCTCCGCGGTGGTGTCCACCGTGGAAGAGCTGGAGACCACACTCGCCTTACTTATCATCGCTGCAGTGGAAGCCGTCCGGGCAGCGACGGCGTCCCTTCTGTTCGCCACGCCGTGTGCGGGACGCGCCGTTTTGAGGTGGCACGGCTCGCTGAAAGCCTCGGTGGCTGCCGGTCTGCTCGACTCGCCTGTGGAGCGCCGTCGTGACGGCATCGCCCGTCCGCTCCCAGACGAGGTATCAACCGGCGTTGCAGCGGCAGCTCTCCCACTCGGGACAGCAGCACGGTGGTCCGCAGAGTGGCTTGACGACCGCCACGAGCTGTCTTCGGAGTGCGCTCGCGTGTTTGCCGGGTTTGAGATGACAGGAGTCGTGAGCGTTGTCGCCGAAGCGCTGTCCTCGTGCATCAACGCAGGGCCGACGATAACTGGACCCCCTCGATATCCCTCACCACTGCGGTGCAGGAGCTCTTCGAGGACGCCCCACGCTGCCGGGGAGAGTTCCGCCTTCGCCCTTTCCTTCGCCGCTGCATCGCTGAGGTTCTTCAGAGGGATTACGCGCTGTAACAGTCCTTCGTCGCCGATGGTGCCGCACTTGGCCGACGCCGGCGGTTTCGCCGGGGAGGCGGCATGCACGTTGGCGGGTGTCGTGGACAGCGTCGCACGCACGGCATCGCTGGTCGTCTGCAGAAGCTCCACCACGGCGTCCTCCGCGTCCAGGCACGCCTCCAGCGCCAGCACCGGGATGGGGGGGATCAGCAGACTGGACTCGACGTAGCACACACGCGCGCCGGTCCCGCCTTCCATCGCCGACGCAGCGGGGGCGTGTGGCGGGCTGTTGGGTCCGCTGCTGCCCCGTAACGCAGCCGGGCTGAGCCGGCGTGGTCGCAGCGACGGCGGCAGCTGGTCGTACCGCGTTGTCCAGTGCTGTTCGATGAACTTCACGGCGGTTTGGTGCCCAACAGGGCCCTCCAACAGCAGCGGCACACGAGCGGGCTGATCCCCCGCCACGTGCATGCGATCCAGTCGGTCCGCGGCTCGCCCTCGCACATTTTTCGAGCGGTCCCACGCCGCTGCCCCACCGTTGCCGCTGCTGCTTCTGCTGCTTGCTAGCCGATTCGACGCCAGCGTGAAGGACGATGACGATGACGCGCCACCGAACTCTGCTGCTGCTGACGATGAGGCAGCGGTGGATGCGTTGACCATGGTGTCGATCAACAGCCGCGGAAGGGTGCGCAGCGTGCACATGACGTTCAACAGGAACACCATCACATCATGGCGCCCCTCAGCGACTCCTCCGTCGCCGCCCACAGACGTGGAGAAGTTTGCGGTGCGAAAGCGCGAGTCACCGCTGTCAGTGGCGGAGGCGGGGGAGCTGACCGCCGCTGCGGCAGCCGCTGCACGTGGGCCGCCAACACTCACAATGCGGAAGACCCAGTCGGACATTTCATCCCGAATCTCTCGTGCGGTCGCGGCTGCGGTCGGAGAGCCGAAGGCGGAGGTGGGAGAGGTGCTGCCGCTGCCGCTGCCGTTCCCCGGCGGTGGTGTCAATGATGCGGGGCTCGATGGGTAGGCAGCGGCGTCCACCGCCTTTCGCCGAAGCATCGACGACACCGCCACGTCCGGCATGAATCGCCACACCGTATAGCCACCGGCGCACGCTACGATCTGCCGTACGTCGCGCACGGCAGCGCAGTACGCCACCGTGCCATCCGGATCACACAAATACGCGTGGGTGCGGCTGAGCAGGAAGAAGCGCTGTACGTCCGGCGGACACTCCACCGTGGCGGCGAAGAAGACGAGGGGGACGGCGCAGGAGTCAGCAGCGTCGCCCGCGTGCGTCTCAGCCGACGGGTGAGTTTGGGCCTCTTGTTGAGGTGACTCGCCTTGTTGTTCGTCTTGCTGAGCCGAGTTCATGTCGTTCGCCAGACTGCACAGCAGGACGGTACCCTCCTGCGCAAGTTGTGGACTCGCACGTGCGTGATTGCCGTACGGGGAAGGGTGCTTTTGAACGCGCAGGGGCGGCTCGCCAACTTGATGGCGGTGCTCCAACTCCGCCATCACACAACGGAGAGCCACTGGCAGAAAAGTGGCGTCGGGCGGCCGGGTCACATCCAGCCGGTCACGGCACCCGCGCCAGCTGCGGCTGCGGCTGAGCGTCGAGGACGGCTCGACGGCACACCGCAGCAACGAAAAGGCACGATCGTATCCGCTGGACAACGATGCGCTCGACTGCCGACAAGAGCCACCCGTCTGCGCTGAAGCCCCTTGACGCTGCTCGACGTCCATCGTCAGACCCGTGTGTGTTCGCGTCTCGTCTTTCCCGGTGGAAAGGGAATGGTGTGGCGTGCCATTTGCGGGCTGCAACAAGCGATCGAGCGGGAGAAGCTGCAGCAGCGTCACCGGGTCCCGCAGCCCGCTCGGCGGCGGCGCCCCGTCAAGCAGCGTGCAGGCCGCCGACGGGCCAGCGGAGTTTCCGGCGTCGTCGACGAGATGCGCAGCACCACTGCTGCCGCTGACTCTGCTCCGCCCACTTCGCCCTTCCTTTTCTTTCTCGTCCGCTGCACGAGAGTCCACGCGGGTGCTGCTCCCCGTCTTGGCGGTGGTGGTGCTCACGACTGTGTAGAAGTCAGCATTGGCGCTGCGGTGCTGCGTCCGACCGTCACTGTCTCGCAGAGAGCGTCCGCTAACACCGTTAGCACCGCTGCCGCTGTTGTGATGATGGCCACGTAGATGGTCGCTTGTGGAGGCTTTGCTCGGACTCGCTGAGGGAGAATGCGAGAGCGTCTGCCGTCGCGTGTGCGCCGTCGTCCCACCAGCAATCGGTGCGTCCGAGCTCGGGGACAAGGCGGAAGCCGCGTCAGAGGAAGACGGTGCCGTCACGTCGTCCCGCTCGCTCGTCGTCCCGGTAGAGGTGCTTGCCACAGCAGCAGCAGCGGTGGTGGTGGTACCGGCATGGTTTCTCCGGTACGCCGTCTCTGCAGGACTGCCATCGCGACGCAATAGTGAATCGTACAGGTTTGGGTGGCCGGAGGCGCTGTAGGGAAGGGCGGCGGCGCTGCTGTGCTGGGAGAGCGCTGCATCGCGTTGCGCGTGCGCTGAAGGTTGGGCGTTGGTGGACCCCACGTTGGATGCCGGCATTTCCTTTTTCACGGGGGGGGGGTGGAAATCGCAAGAGGAGAATCTGCCTACAATTTATAGCTGATCATGGAGTTATATATCTATCTGAGTCAGCGTTGAAGGCGCTGCGCAGGCAGTCCAAAACGAAGCACGAGACGTACTCTCACCGTCAAAAGTACAGCAGCCAAGGCACGCAAACGGAGACGCTATATATATGTATACGGCAGTGCGCCACAGTGTGACTTCAAAAGAAGAAGAATAACAAGAGGCAAAGAGGAAGTACCCTGAAGGTGACGACGATTCGGTCTGCCGAGAACGCAGCGTTTGGCACGTAGGGGGAACAAACCGCAAAGCGGCGAACCCTCACCACGCTTAAGAAGTCAGCCCACCGGCACCGCCGCTCTTTCTTGGTCATGCTGACACGAGGTCCGGAGAACACCTCCTTGGGGAGGGGGGGGGTATTGAAGCACCCATGCAAGTCGCGTGGGATGCAGCTGCGAGCGCGATTGCCCGACCGCGGCGCCTGACCACGTAGCCCCCTTAATACTTATGTTAGCAAAGGCAAAGTAAGCCATCAATGAAGTACGGCGGCGCAGAGAGCCAACACTGAGGAGCAAAGACATCTACGAAAGGACAGCAAAAACCAAAGGAGGGGCAACGGCGTCCGCAGCAGAGGGAAAACCAAAAAAAAAAGGAGGAGCGGCGATGGCAGGTGCTGCTGTCGTCGCTGCACGCGCTACCTGTGAAGTCTCTTTACCTCCCTTTCGTCCCTGCCCAGATATATATTATCTGTATCGATCAGATGTCCGTGGCAGTCGTGTCTTGTGCTCCAAAAGTGGTACAACGTCGCTCCGTTTCCCCTCGCCCTCCTCTTGCTATTTACCGCGTCTTCACAGCCTCTTCGTGTTCCACGGCAGGTGGCGCCCAAACAGGAGATGCTGCGACACGTTGAACTTCGCCAGCACCTCCGCTGCAAACATCTTCATCATGCCGCCGTAGATCTTCGCCCAGTGCTCGACGCCAGAGATGTTGTAAAGCATGTTGCTGTGCTCGTGGAACGGACCGGTCTTGTTCTCCAAAATCCACGCAATCATGCTGAAGTACAAGTAGCAGTCCCGCAACTGTGCCACCTTGTCGCGGTCGCAGATGTGCTTCGGCAGGATGATCATCGCCGCCATGTCCGCCGCCGGCTTCACCGGCCGCACCTCAGCCCCCACGAGCTGCGCGCCGCCGAAGACGTACGGGAGGTGGTGATAGTCGTCCAGGCCCCACACGCCGTGCGACCCAGCTGGCTCGAGGGAGTAGTGCTTCTGCAGCCGCCGCACAAAGCGCATGTACTCGTAGAAGACGTAAAAGACATAGTCCTGTCGGCGCTTCTTCACCTCGGCCCGCTGCGCATCCGGCACAGGCGGCGGCGGCGGCACCTCCAGCGGCACAAACACCGTCGGTGTCGCGCTCAGGCTGCCACCGCCGTCGCCGTGCTCCTCGAGGCAGATCATCATGACGATGAAAAAGTGCAGCTCGTGCCCACTGCCGAAGTCAAGGCGGGTGGAGTTCCCGAAGGAGTCCATGACGTAGGCGGCCAGCTCGGTCGCCAGCTCGGTCACCGCCGCGTCGCTGCGTGTCGCTGAGGTTGGAAAGGTGCGCACGAGCCTCTCCATGTCCGCCACCGCCGTACTCTCAAAGCGGGAGTGGAAGGTGCGCTTCGCGCGGTTGCCGAAGCGCTGCTGGGCCATGTCCTCCAGTGGGATCTCCGTCACCAGCTGATGCAGGTAGGGGAAGTACTCCTGCACGAGGTACTTGGCCGTGTCATCGCACGCCTCAATGGACGGTGATAGGCAACGAAAGTTCGGGGTGGACTCAACGGCCTCGGTGCAGCCCTGGACGTACGCGATGATTTTCTGGAAGGCGGCGGAGCGGCGGAAGACCTCGACGAGGGAGTGGTCCTCGAGAATGACTTTGGCCGGCGGCTGCGGAGTAAAGGCCGCCGCGGAGTACTTCTTCACCGCGGCCGGGTTCTGCGGCAGGCCCATCGGGCGGCTGCCGGGCATGTGTGTGGACATGGCGCGTAGGAGGGATTGTCTGTCTTTCTCGTAGGAGGAAAGGAGGGGAGGGAGGAGGCAGGCTACTGTTCAACCTTGGGAACGACAAGCAGGAGGCGCAGAGACCCCAAAAAAAAATTCCGAGGGCCGGTGAACCAGCCGGAACGCAACGACACAGCGCAGAAAAGGGGGTGAGAGATCGCAAAGAGCAACGGCCAACGAAACGTGGGGAGGAGCAACGAAAGAGAAGAGGAGTAAAGAATAAATGAAAGGGTAGTTGACGGGTTCAGTTGGGTGACGGACGGTGGGGGGAGGGGGGTGCAACGCGCCCGCGCTCGCTCTCTCTGTGATGGCTTGTGTATGCGCTGATAGGTCGACCGTATGTTGGCGCCGCACGATGATGGCAAGGTAAGAGTGTGGGGAAGTCTATCGGCACACTTGCAAGAGATATGTATAAATAAGGGTAGATAGATATAGAGATGCGTGGTAGCGCGGCTATCCGAAAGAAAGGGGTTTGATTTGCGGTTGCGAATATGCGATGATAAAAAATGCGGAAAGAGCTGAACTATAGATATGTATTTGTGGTAAGCGAACGCGGAGTTACCTTGCTTGCGAAAACCTTTCGTGTGCTCGCACGTTTCGTTTGTTGGTCATGGAATGTCGGTGCGACGCACCGCCGTTTCACCCCGGGACCGCAGCACGTGGAGAAGAGAGAAGACGAAGGACAGCAAAGAAGATCGAGAAGGTTTTTTGGCGGCCGCGCGGGAAGAACAGAAAACCCCAAGGAACGCGGTGCGAGTATTCGCCATTGAAGCCGCGGAGCTCCGCGTGATGCCCTCACGGGAAAGCAGTCATAATAAAAATAATAATTGTAATAACGACGGCTGGCACTTCGGGGAGGTGTTTTTCTTCGCCATAAGCGATTCGGCGAAACATCACTGCCAGACCCATCGGCGCAACGTGGCAGTGCAAGTCTCATTTGTGCACGGCGCTGCATCACGTTGGCACGCTCCTCTCAAATACGTTTCTTTTCTTTCATGAGTTTTTCTCCTCATCCTTCTAATTGGGAGAGAGTGCTCGTAAACGATGTGAAGAGAGTTCCTTTGTTATGAAAGAAAAGTCGGCCATCAAACGTCAGCTCGTACAGACGCCCACACAGCAGCAACCAACGACCGCAACGGCGGCGTCCCACGCAACGCGCCGCGACAAACAACGAAGCGTCCGTTGAGTGCCACCTTCCGCTGAATTCGGAAAGTTCAACAAAAAATACAAATAAAAACCAGTTTCCGCAGGGTGAAAGAATGGTATGTAAAGCTGGCAGTAGTCGGAAGAATAGAAGAAGAGAGGAACGAACCTTGGCGAGACACGGTGAAGATTATTATTATTATTATTATTATGGTGATTGCTGTTGGAAGAAACCGCTTCAGGAGATATGCCAAGAATGAGTAGACGCCGTTGCTGCTTTGCATCAGCGACGACATTACCAGATACCCCAAGCACACCCACGCACACACGCGTATTGCTGCCAACGAGCTTCTTTGAAGTATGTGATATGCGAAACCCCAACGACGCCTTCGCAGTTTTCTTCTCTTAAGGCCGAGGACCAACCTCTTGCCTCTGCGGAGAGCTTTCAGCAGACTCAGTGATGAATATAAAGGACCTCAGCTTTGCCGTCTTATGATCGATCCTATCGAAAGCGATTCCTTACAGGAAATCCTGCCCGAGATGCGCAATAAGCGAGATCACGGGTTGGAAGCGGCCCATTGCGGTGCCGACAAACGCCTCCTCCGTCACCGGTACTGACCGCTCCAACAGAAACAGCAGCTCACGGCGAAGCGTCGCCCGCAGCGCGTTGTTCGTCGTCAGCAGAAACGCCTCCGCCTCAACGTCCTTATGCACAGATCGGTAGCCGTAGTTGGTGCTGCCGTAGGCAACGAGGTAGGGGGCCGAAATGCTCGCGGGGCAGCACGTCGCAGCTGCCGCATCGATGCCCCCCTGCTTCTCCACCTCCACGTCCTTCGCGCCTGCAGCCGCGGCGGCGGCGGTGGTCGACACCGGCGACGCGGGATGGGAAGGCTCGTGGCCAGCAAACCAGAGACCCTTCGCATGGAACGTGAGGCCGTCCACGGAAAACTCCCGGATGCGCACACGGCGCAGGCAGTGGTAGGCCTTCATCAGGTAATAAAAGGACCGCTCCAGCTGCAAGTAGAAGAGGGGGATTCGACCCGCCATCCCGCGCTGCCCGTTCCATCCGTTCGTCTGCACACTCGCCGTGATGCAGTCCACGTAGCTGCTGCCGCGCAGCAGCTCATCCACAAACGAGGAGTACATGTTCAGGTACGGGGAGGTTAGAAAGATGTGATCCTCCGCGGTAGACAGGCGCAGCAGCTGCTTTACGATAACGCTGTCGTGGTACACGCCCGCCCGCCCGAACTGCAGGGTGGGGAAGAGGACGGAATCGTAGCGGCTCCACTCCACCCGCTGCTGCGCGCACAGCTGCCGCGCCCAGCTCGCAAACCCGTGCAGCAGCTCCTTTGTCTTGGCGCAGAAGGCCGCCGTGTCGGTGGACGGGTCCATCCCGAGTGCGTTAGGCAGAATCACGAGGTTGCTCTTGCGGTGCAGCGTCGGGGAGCCCTCCTTCACGGAAGGCGACGCAGGGAAGTGCACGATGCAGCCTGCTTTCTCCAGGACACGGCGCGCAGGGGACGACGGCGACGCCGCCACCGCAGCAGCCGTGCGATCGCCGTGGACGAGAGCGGTCTCTGCAGGAAACGTGTGCGCGAACTCCTTTCGGCAGACGACGGGGTGGGAGATGCGATTCAGCGTCCGCACGAGCCGAGCGAACCACTGGCCCACCAGCGGGTTGTCCTCCACGACGAGGTAGCGGTCCATGCGCGTGGCGAAGTAATCATCGGACAGGTTCGCTCCGGTGAGAAGGGTGTGCCGCTGATCAAAGACGAAGATTTTGGTGTGCTGCACGCCGAGTACCTCCGTAGCGCGGCCGAGGGGGGCGAAGAAGCGGTTCCACTTACTCGGATTCTGGTAGAGGAAGAGGCGCACCGTCACGCCAGTGGCTTCACTGCCGGTCTCGTCGTCCGCCTTGTCGAAGTCCTCCTCTTTCTCCGAACTAAAGGACCGGGATGATGCGCTGTGTGGCGCGGAGGCATCGCAGGCCTCCGTCGGTAGCAACGACGCGTTCCCCGTGCGCTCCGCCAGCTCCATCAGCGTCCGCATCGTCACGAGGTTTTTGCGGTCCTGCATTCGATTGAAGTCAAGCAGGATCGTAATGGAAAACGGATGCCCGCCCGCCGCGGCCCACCGCACCTTTTCCTCCAAGCAGCCAACAAAGGCGGTGGAGAGCGGACCGTCGCCGATGTAGAGGGCTGAGAGCGTGATGGAGCGCTGGGCGGCCATGACTTTCTTCTTCAGCTCCTCGTAAAACACAGTAGGGTGAGTGAGCACCCGTACCGTGTGCGACTCCACGGGCAGCACGCAGCAGTGCTGACCGAGGAAGGAAATCATCTCCTGCTGCTGCAGCGGCACGCCACACTTGGTGAGCAGGTGACCGATGTGTGCCACGCCTTCGCTGATCGCCGACGAGGAGTCCGCTGCTGCTTCTGCTGCTGATGCTGCAACGGCGCTCTCCTTCGAATGACTATCTCTTGATTGGGCAGCGTTGGGGTCCTCCTCCTCCTTCTCGGCAGCGGTGGAAGAAGAAGGAGGCGCGCCGGCAAAGAATGTCAGCGCATCGGTGGGGGCCACGTCCGCCTCGCCCACCTCGCCGAACAAAGCAAACGTCACCGCAGCCGCCACTGCTAAAATACAAAGGTAAAGGAAGAGCACGTACATGGCGCAGGTGCTTGAGTTTCTTTTGTGAGACGACGACGACGACGATAGCGGCTCCCACGAATGGAAAATACAGGCGAATTCGGTTTGATATTTGTGATGATTTATGGCGTTCTTCCTTTCATAAAGTACTGCAGGTGCATAAACGAACTTCCTCGAGTCGTTGTTGGTTCTTTCTCTTTTCTTTTGAAAGATTACGGCGAGGCGAAGAGGACCCTTGCACGGCAAGGAAGCGGTGTTGAAAGCAAAAACAAGAGGAAAGGAGAGGCGTTATACACGACGGCTGGGTCATGAGAGAGGGAGGGAGACGAACCGGGGGATGAGGTGCCTGTGTGTCTGTGAGATCCAAGGAGGGTGGCTCGGCACCTGCACCGGCTGAACACGGAAACCAGAAGAAAAAAATAGAATCCGTTTCGAGTTGGTTTCACTCAACGCTTGAGGCAAACCGACGTACTCCTTCTTCCACCGCGTTGGCATTCAACAAGAGAGGAAAAGCACGCCAACAATTCTCACCGGTGTATCACACCAGTCCAAGCACAGACAACAACAACACACGCACAAGAAGCCCACATTACCGTTTTTAATAGTGTGTGTGTGTCGCTTGAGTTTCTTTTTCCCTTGTGTTACCGCAGAACTACAGATATCGATGCACCAGCAGCGACATGAGCGACTCGTAGGCAATCGTCTCCTCCTCATTATCCTCCTCTTCTCTCCCACAGTTGTTGTCACAGGTAGCTGCTTCGGCACGGTGCGCGGCGAGTTGTGCTGCACCGCGTAGCCCTTCGTGTGGAGTGCCGGTGGACGGCGCACTCGTATCCGCGTCTCTCCCCAGGCATGTCCATCCATGCCCACCGCGGACCATCTCTGCGATGGTCCACTCCCCTCTTGCCAGCCTACCCAATTCCTCGCGGGCCTCCGCCACAGAGGTGTACGGCCGCTGTGCGTACGGCGTAAAGCCGGTCCAGTACTGAAAGCAGACGGCCACGCCCAGCGGGGCGGCCGGTGTGGCCCCACGGCCACCATCGCGCAGCACCAACACCGTTGCTACGGTAGAGACATCGAATGCGTCCCTCGCCTCGCCGCCGTCACCGCACAAAGGAGACGCGGATGCGTTTGCCGAAGGTGGTTGCGCAGGCGGCCCTCCAATCATTTTGCGGCCGTCATCGGTCGACTCGGTCAGCGTACTCGCTTTCCATTCTTGGATGCACTGCGCGGAGGTGTCTGGACAGAGAAAACGGGGGCGGTAGAGGCCGAGACAGTCCTCGAGGTGTCCACGCAGCTCATCGGCCGCCGTCAAACGACCTCGCTGCTGCTCTCCCCACCCGCCCTCGCTGCCGGAGCTGTCGTAGGAATTGGTGAGCGAGTCGCTGTGGGTTGGCAGCATAGCGGTGCGTTGAGAGATCTCACGTGTGTGCCCAGTTGTATGTGCTTTTACTTATACATGTGCGTGCGTGTGTGTCTGTGTGTGGTAGAGCCTCTGCCTTGGTCTTGTCCGGCGCCCGTCCACACACGCGTGCGCAGACCTCAAAGAACTCGCGCTTCGATGTCGCGGTGAAGAAAGGCGGCAGAAAAGCCCACCGTTACAATGCGTGGAAGACGGAAGGAGGAGACATGCGAAGAGCCAGCGTACATTTTTTTTCCCGGTTCTAAGAGACATCGGCTTTACCAAAGAAAAGGTAAAAAGAAGATGACGCGTGTTCCATTGGAAGAAGAGGACAGAAAACACGCCTATAAACACCCGCACCTCGCGCAACAGGAGCGGGACGACCTCCACCGCACCGCCGCAGCCTTCAGACACAGATTCAACGCATACACACACACACACAGCGCAAAGAAGTCAGAGAAAATTGCCTTCCACAGCAGGAGACCTTCCCGCAAAGCCTTGCAGCGACCTTCGTTTGAGGGCCAACGGCTCCCCATCATCGATGTGCACGCCAGACACGACCGGGTGTACGCGTGGAACCGCGCCAGCACATAGCGCTTGCTGCGCCACTGTATTCAAAAAGAAATGCTTGCACTTCCGCTTGTTACGCGTATTCTTGCCATTGTAATGCTATTTTCCTTTTGGAGAGTGATCACGAATCATATTAGAAGTCGGCCATGCACGCCGCAAGTTAGGAGATCAACAACAATTATAATCAACCACAGTGGTGTGTGTTTGTGTTTGTGTGATGAACAGCAAAGAGTCCGCAGAGACCCTTTCAAAACAGAGAAAGCGACGAGCCGCTGCCTCGTCGTGGAGAGAAAACAAAAACCCTCGCAGCTGTTTGGATTATTTCTTTTGGCGTTGCCTTCCCGCACTCTGCGCCGCTTCGTCCTTCTCACACTTCTCCGCGGTGGCGACGCCGCGTGTGTTTCGCATCAGCGAGGAATACGGAAAAAGGAAGAGGAGACACGCTCCACCAACGGCTACGTTGTCTCCTCCTCCCCTGTTTCCCTACCAAGAAATAACGGATCATCGTCCGTCGGGAACATCAACTAAGTCAGGAGGGTCACCACGCACTGCGCACAGTAATAAACGCGCACGGCAGCTCGAGTAGGATATATAGATGTGGGCAGCAAAAGGAGGGGATCCAACATCCTTTCATATTCACTTTTGCGCCTTGTTATCTACGGGCTTCTCGTGCGTCGCCGCAGCGGCTGCCTTGCCGTTCCGCGGCGACGCATTCATCAACTCCACTGGGTGTGTCGAGTAGTTGTCGAGGTCTTTGCTCTTCCGCAGCACCTTAGCCGCAGAGCACGACATGCTGTAGTCATCCAACAGCCGCTGGCGGCGCACGGCAGACGAGCCGCCAAAGGCCTGGGCGAGGAGCCACTCACGATGCCCCCTGCCGTCCTCATCCACGTTCAGCGCGGCGGTGCAGCGGTAAATCACGGCGAGGTTCGCCAGCACCTCGGAGATGTACTGCGCGACACAAATCACGAACATCGGCTCCGTCTTGTCCTTGGCCGTGCTGATCATGTGGAGGAGCCGGGCCACATCGTGCTCCAGCTGCCGCGCCATCCCGGCAAGGTTCACATGTGGGGCTGCCAGGCGCACACCGCCGTAGCTGTGGCCCCTGGTCAACCCTGCGAGGCCCTGCAACAGGTTCGTGAGGCCACCGCCGCTGCCACCGCTGCCGAAGGCGCCGCCGTGCGAGAGAAGCGGAGACAAGAAGGCCAGTGCCTGCTCCTCCATCGACCCGTCCGACGCCGTCAGCACGTACTTGGAGGAGTTCAGCAGCTGGGCGAGGTAAGGGTAGTCGATCATCTTCTCCGGGTTGCTGCGGTGCGGGACGGCCTTCACAAGCGGGGTGTCACGCACCATCTCCCACATCCCGTCCACGCTGTCCATCAGAGCGCGCTCGGCGTAGATGTTCAGCGCCATCGACTCGATCAGCGGCATCTGCAGCAGCGCAGAGAAGCTGCTAAAGAACTCCTCGGCCTCCTCGCCCTCCTCCACCTCAGGGTCGCCCACCACGTAGTCGGTCAGACAGTCAATGCCGTAGCGGAAGCACGCCAGCTGCGCCAGCCGCATCTGCACCGCCGGGTTGCGGAGAAGCAGAGCATCGTAGCGGACGGTGTTGGTGGCGTGCAGCGCACATACCTCCTCCACCTTGCGTAGAATCGCGCTGTAGGCGGTCGCCGTCAAGACGTGCTGGTAGCCGGCGACTTGCCGCGCGGAGAGGGCCTCGTTGCGGATGGCCTCTGCGCCATCGAGACGCACGCGAAGCATGCCGTTCACGAGTTTCTTGTCCACCACCCCTGGCTGATCCAGACGCACCGAGGCGGTCACGTACGTCGGGGTCGCAGCAGCAGCAGCAACAGCAGCACCGGTCGGGTGTACTTTGCCCTCTGCGCCTGCTGCCGCCTCCTTCATCTCCCCCTCCTCTTCAAGACGCAGCACCACACGAATCGACTTTGGCAGACGCGCGCTGGTGAGAGGCGTGCGACCGCCAGCAGCGGCTGCAGCAGCGCCGTCCTTCAAGGCCTCCCCGCTGCCGACGGCAATGGCCAGACCCGTCGCACGCAGCTTCGTCGGCTCCTGCTGACTCGCCTGCGTCGCCACGGCGTTCATGGAGCTCAGGAAGGAGGAGGACCACTCATCTCCCTTCCCGTACACCTCGCCCAGCCACGCGATGGGGCTCTCTGTGGTCGCGAGTTGACGCACGGCGGTGCTGCGCTGGTGGAAGGCCGTCCACGCCTTCTTTTTCGCCTCGCGGCTCTGCGCCAGCTGGGCGGCCTTTGCGGCTGCCTTGGCTGCCTCCGCCACCTTCTGCGCCGCGGCGGCATCGTCGGCGGCGTCCGGCTTTACGGCGGCGGACACCGTCTCCGCAGCGGCTGGTGTGGCCGTCGCGGTGGCCTTTCCATCCTCCATCTTTGGCGAGACGTCAGTAGGAGGAAGTGGAGGATGAGGAGCAACAGCAGTCGCGACCTTCTTCTTCATTGCAGCAGCGGCAGCGGCAGCGGTGGCATCCGCCTCCGCAGTTCCCTTTCTCGCCGCGGCACTCAGCTCACGATCGAGTTGGATGGAGAAGAAGTTCAGCATTTGGATGTCGGACAGGCGGCCCTGCCGCACCAGCAGCTCGATGATGTCCTTGCGGGCACACAGCAGACGAGCGCAACGCATGGTGAAGACTGGATGAGGTGCGCAACCGCCGATGTATTGAAGATAACAGAGAGAAAGAGAGAAAAGGAGAAAAAGAAGAAAGCCACTTTGGCGGGAGGTAAGAAGTGAAATGCACGTGAGTTTGTTCTGGTCGCCTTTGATTTGTTGGTTGTGGGATCGGTGATGACGAAGGGCACTTAACGGCGATGGGAAGAGAAATAATAATAGTTGGATTTCTCGTGCGTGTGGGTTTTGTGGAGCGACGAGCAGCGGCTACGGCGTTGATCGCAACAGCTTCTGTCGGCCACTTTGCTTAATGCAGTTCCTCGAACAGTCGAGGTTTGCTGGTTTACGTTACTGTGTTTTCTTTCTTCTTGCGATTATTCGTGTTTGTGTGGCGCTCGCAGCTGCTTCCGCTCCGGTAGATTCTGGGCAGAAAAAGAAGAGGAAAATGGAGAAGGGGGCGAGCAATGAGCGAGAGAAGAGAGGGGAGAGAGGAGAGAGGAGAGAGAAGTCATCAACACGGACAGACACGCACGTCGACGACGAGCAGCGGCAGTCCTCGCACGAGACCGCGACCAACTGCGTGTGGACCACTTCCACCGACACCGGAGCGTGCAAGCGGTTGGGAAAAGGAAAAGAAAAGAGAAAAATAAGATCGCCGGGATGCGACAGGGTGAGAACGGGCGGTGACGGACACTGCGACGCCGCACCCCGCAGAGGCGTTGCTCTCCTTCACACTCCATTGACGGCTGCCTCCAGGCGCCAAAGGAAAGAGCGCTCTTCTCAGTAATGATTACATTGAGGGGGGTTTTGTTTAAGCTGTTGTTGTTTTTTTGATAAACTACTTACGAAGGAAAAAGAGAAAACTTGAGAAACTCAAACACGAGAAAGCACAGATATATATATTATAAGAAGTGATAATAGTAGTAATAGTTATTGTAAGCACGAATTAGCCGCTGCATCGAAAGACAGAGCAATACCGTTTTCGCTCTCCCTGTGGAAATAGCAAAGGAAAATGATCGCGCAAGACGAACAAGAGGGGTCGCAGAAGGGGGAGGGGGAGAGAAGAGAAGAAAAGAAACGCGTGTGCGCCAGCGGCAGCATCCTTTCGCATATTCGCCAGATTATGTATATATATATTAGAAGCTGCTGAAGCTGCCGTCCTTTCCTCACGCCTCCCCTCTCGAAACCGCGTTGAAGTGCGGGCCTTAAATGTCATCCGTCAGGTTCAGCTTCACCTTGCCATCGCTGGTGTTGTCAAAGGCCGGCTGACCGAGGAAAGGGCAGTTCGCGCAGCGGAAGGCGTCGCCCTTGGCGCAGTTACCACACCCACCCGCAGGCATCTGCACCCCCTCAGGCGGCAGCTTCCCTTCCGCCTCCAGCTTCCGCTCGAGCTCCGCGCGGCCGCAGACACAGTTCTTGCAGGCACGTCGCCGCGTCGTGCAGTCCTCGCCCTTCGTTGCCTCCTTCAAGATGCGGTCCTCCTCCGTCAGCAGCGCCTCCTCATCCGCGATCGGCTGTCGGGTGCGGAGGCTAAAGGCCTGGGTCGTGGTGACGGCAGACATGATGCGCACCTCGTGCGGCGATGAAGAGCTTGGTTATGTGCGTGTGCTGTGTGGGTATATGTCGCTGTCTCGCAGTGAATGAAAAGAAGACTGAAAGAAACCCAAGAAGAACGCAAGAACAAAAGGAGAGCTGTAATGTTATGATGGTAAAAAGGCGAATATGTATTTTATATATATACGCCGCGCACGTGTTGCCGCGATACTAGAGGCGTACGCAGAAGACGGAATCCGGACAAGGAGGAGAGATAATTGCTGGCATGGGCAGAGGGAGGGGGGGAGGAGGGGGGGGGGGGAATGGAGGGCACAGAGCACAGACTGCTTCTCGGTGAGGGAGGAGAGCACAGCAATGACGCTGCGATGCGAGATCGTTGAAATGGGGGAAAGCAGTGAACTCAGAACGAACGCCCTTCTCCCAACAGACCCGCGAAATACAGCACACAATCGCCTGCCGCGGCAACGCCCGTGCGTCAGTCCTGACGACGGCTACAACGGCATCTGCTCTTCTCAACAAAAAAGTCGGCTTTTAGGTTATACATCTTTATGTGAGGCAACGGAAAATATTATTTGAAAAAAACAAGGACACCATCTTCTTTCGTGCATCGATCTTTCTCTTCTTTACTTCATCCTGCAAACTTCAAACGCCGCAAGTCAGCAACAATTTATCGTTAGTTAAAAAAGTTATCAAAAAGAAGCTCTGTATTCATGAAAGGAACCCCCAATGAGCGGCGGGAAGCGTCATTGATGCTGGAAATGTATCTACTTATATATATATGTGTGTGTATTTGAGGAACATTGCAATCTCGTGAAACAAACATTTTTTCCGCAACTCCGTCGCAGCACGTCAAACAACAGCAGCATTAGTAGTAAGAATAATAAGCAAATGGCGCAGGAACGAAGTGAATAGGTCGGATGGCGATCATGGAAGCCAAGCGGAAAGCCCAAAACAAAAAGTGGGGCAGCGTTGTATCGATTGAAAAGGGAAGGGAGAGCCGTCCACCGCTGGCGCCCTCCTCCCGCTACGCGCAGCGACGCACCGGCGCGCGTGGGATTCTCGCTCTGCCACTTTCGAGCGCTCTGAATTATTGAGATCAGAAAAGAAAAAAAAAACTTGGCCGCTTATTCGCCCTCCAAGATCCACCCGGCCGCATCGCCCGGGCGATCAATGCGCATGTGTATCTCCGGGCCAAGACTAATGTTCATGGCAAAGTCTAGCACCGACTCGCCGATGCCCTGCGTAAAGTGGAAGGGGCAGGTCGCGATGCTGTTGTGCTTGTAGTACCACTGCAGCTGATAATCCCTGCCGTCGACGCCCTTCGCCACGGCGCCGGAGCGCAGCACAGGAGTCGGAGTCGCATGGCGGCGGACATATGACGCCGTCGCGCGCGTTCTCATCTTCTCGCGTGCCGCCTCATCCGCCTCGCCGGCCAACGTCCGCCCGAAAAGGTCGGAGAACTCCTTCACGGCATCCACCTCGGGCCAGACCGGCCGCAGCGGTGCCACTGCCGACCGCGTACGCAGCTCCGACTCCGCCAGGACATCCCCATTCTCGATGGTTGACGCATCCGGTAGCGCTGGTCGGTCACGCGACATAACGGGTTTGCCGTCGCGGTCGTTGATGCGACCGTAGACGTAGTCATACACGTGCAGCGAGTTCGCGCTGCGGTCGTGTATCACATCGGCCGGCGTCGGCGAGGGCATCGCCTCTTCCTCGCCTACGTCGTTTTCCTTTACTGAATCACTATCGTCATCCTCGTTCTTCTGGGGAGACGATGCAGTTGATGACCGGCCCAGCGGCACCCAACGCCAGTGACGCTGCACCACGCCGAGTTCTTGATACAGCTCCACGACCAACTCGCTGCACGACACCTCGCCCGAGACAGCGCTGCGCAGCGGACGAGTCAGCGTGTGCAGCCGTGCAAACAGAAACGCCAGCGGGTAGAGCAGACTCCCATCCATCCGGCGCCCCTCGCTGTCGAGGCAAAACTGCCGTAGCTTCGCCTGCCGTGCGGGCGTGTGTTCGTAGTTCTGCAGCCGACGCACCGCGAAGTAGTGGTAGGCGGGCGACCCGTCGGGGGTGATGGAGAAGAGACGGTGTGAGGCCTCTACGAGCTGCACCGTGTCATGAATCACCTTCCCTGTCACGTCGGGCACGTCGAATTCTTTGTTGTCCATCGCTTCTAGAATTACCGCACCTCGCCGAAGTACGCGGCGACGCCGCAGGGCGGCCTCCTCCGCCTGCAACTGCGCACGTACGGCGAGATCACCCTTCGATGCAGCCGCCGCGCTGGGCGATGCCGCTGGCTCGGCGGACGTCCCCTCCTCGGCAAACAAGTCCTCCAAACGTTCCACCTTATACGGCTGGGGCTGCGCCGCGCCGTTGTGGCAGGCGTCCTCGTCCACGTACTCCACGATGGCAGGGGCGACGACGACCGCCACGTGCGAGTAGCGCAATGCGGCGGGGTGCATGCAGGAGAGGACGAACTGCAAAGTCGCTATCGTCCAGCTCATGAGCCCGCTCCCGCGCATTAAAACGATGTCGCCCGGCCGCAGCGTCGGCTCAATCGTGTGCCACTCCTCCAACGTGTAGTCCTCGCCAGGGGTGAAGAGGCCATCGACGGTGGTTTGGTGGAGGGTGCGGACAACGAGGCAGGTCGCCAGGTACGCCGCCACGCCCGCAGCGCCGTAGCCGCAGACGGTGAAGAGCCTGCCGATGCACCCGCGCTGGTAGAAGTTGCGGCGGCGTTTCGCCCAGAAGGAGCTCCGCTTGGTGCTGTGAAACACCGGCGTGGTGTACTGGGCGGAGCTCTGGATGTGCTCGGCAAGATGACGGGTGAGGCGCAACATCGCTGCACGCTGCGCACCCACAACACACGAATACGCACACACAAGCAGAGAGAAAGAGGGAGAAGGACGATGACGAGGGTAGAGAGAGCGCGGTGAAGCACGGCGGCTGTCACGCAGTCCGTTGTCGGCCGCCGCGCTTTCGCGTTTGGAAATGGGAACTTTAAAAAAAATGAGAGAGGGATGCGAAACCAACGATGACGAAGAAACGAAAGGAGGGCCTACATAGCACTGGCGGTGAAGGAGACGTGCCGTAATGGTAAAGACATATATATTTGAAAGTAAGGAGGTGGCGGCGACAGAGAGACGGAGGAGGAGGTAAAGGCGGCGGCATGACGCTGCAGAAGCGACATGTGCCATGAGGCCGACGAGTGCCCCATTGTTGGAGAGCACCTCCACAATACGGTTATTCGCCACTCGAACTAGCCTTGATGTCCACGGCGATAGCGTCTCAGTGCCCGTACTTCCACAACAGCACGGAGAACAGCCCTGGATGATTAAGAAAACTGCGTTACCGCCATGACCATCAGAAAAGTATTTCTTGCAGCACAGCAGAGGAAACAAAATTAAAGGGCACGAGACGCGACCGCGACGGAGGTCGGGAGCGCTCCTCATTCAAACGCGCAGCTCTCCTTTTTTTGTACTTTCCTTCCCATAATTTACTGTTCGTGTTTTGATGACGCCACCGCAGATTTTTATAGTCAGCGAAAGTAAACGCAAATACGAGACAGCCTCAGCGTATTACGAATAAGAAAGAGGCGGCACATTAGGCCACAGAAAAGGGAAAGAAGAGAAGAAAAGCACTTCCAAAGAGGCACAAATCCTTCTTTTTTTTGGAGAAAGAAATTACTGATGTCATCCGTTTTTGAGGTTGGCGGGAGGGGGGAAGGGGGCCGAGTTTGGTGTCTGTTGACCGCTAAAAGAAGAGAACGCGACGTAAACCACTACACCGTGGCGAGCGCATGAACGTAGTCGGGAAAAAAGCGCGTAGAAGATGGAGACAGATTTCTTCCTCCGTTGATTTGGCTACGACACACTCCCCTCACGCCCTCCATCCCCTTCTTTACGTTCCTTGTCACCCACCCACTTTGCGATCTCGTTGGGCACATTGGGGAATGCATCCTCGCAACCAACGCACCCACACACAACAATAGGGCAGCGTCAGAGAGAAGCGGCTTACTGCTCGCCATCGTGGAGATGCTTCGCCAGGTACTCGTTCTTCAGCTTGTTTGACGGGACGAACACGCGCGTCGCCAGGTAATCCTTCAGGTTAAAAGGCTTGTGCCACTGCTTGAAGAACGGGTGCTCGAGCAGCTCCTGCGCCGTCGGCCGCTGCGAGGCGGTGGGCAGCGTGGCAAGGTGAATAAAATCCGCAAAGACGGTGCTGAGCGGGGCGGCGCGGTGCTCGTTGAACTGCAGGACATCCACCGGCTGCTCCAGGCGGGAGACGCGATCGAACTCGTCGATGACGTCCTCGACGTTGTAGGGGTACTCCCCCACGGCAAACTCCGCCAGCGTGACCCCGACGGCCCAGATGTCGGCCGGTTTGCCGTGCGACTCCCCGCGCTGCCGCTCCGGGCTCATGTACTTATCCGTGCCGGAGCAGTTGCCCCCAGCATCCGAGGACGACGACGAATTCGGCGCCCCCGTCCTCCGACCGTCGCCGCCGTTGTTGCTGGAAGTAGACGACGACGGGGTCGTCTGCGCGTCCAGCACATCCATCCCATCTCGCTGCGCCGCCAAGCTGTTCGCCATGCTGCTGGACAGCATCAAGGCGTCGGAGGAGCTCTCCTGCTCGGGCGAGGCCACGCCGGTGCCTAACAGACGTTGCGGGCCGCTGTCGCCTAATTTGAGGGGGCCCTGCGCGTACGGTCTGAAGGCGGTTGTGCGCTGCCGACTCGCCCACCCGCCCCCACCCGGTTGCAGCACCGACGCTGGCGGGGAGCGCAGGGGGGTGTTGGTGCGTGTCGGCGCCGTCGACGGTGGGGCGATGAACGTCATGGCGGAATTCTTAATCCCGGTGCCGCTGTCGTCGCAGCGCTGCGACAGCCCAAAGTCGCTCAGCTTCACCACCCCGTGCTCGTTCACTAGCACGTTACCCGGCTTGATGTCGCGATGGATGTAGCCACGGGAGTGCATGTCACGCACCCCGCGAAGGAGCTGCTCGCCGACCACCGCCACCAGCCGCTCCGTCACACCAAACGGCTCCTCCAGGTGCCCGCTGCCGTCGTCCGGCTCGGTGTCATCCGTGCCACAGTTGCTGCGGACGGAGAAGGTGTCGAACGGCAGCGAGTCCTCGCCGCCGCCACTGTTGTGGGGGCTGCTGTTACTCGTGCGATTTCCGGTCCCGCCACCAGCCGTACCACCACCACCACCACCGCCGCCCTGAGAGGACGAAGAAGGCAGGTCGTACGTGCTGGCGAGGCCGAGGCGACGCCCGCGCAGCTGCGCGTGTTGCTGGTCCACGTTGCGGCCGAAGTTGAGCGTCTTCGGCGACAGATACGACACACGCGCTGGGCTGCCACCGCCACACGCCCCCGCCTCTCCTGTGGGCTCGCGAGTAGCGGGCACCAGCGGGGCAACGCCGTCCGAGATGCGATGCGGCGAGGTCGGCGCGCCATCGCTGCTGCTGCCCGGCGGGGAGGCCAACACCCCCGCCTCATCCTCGCCAAAGAGAAGGCGATTGCGCTGCTGCTGCGACTCCCGCTGCACACGTGCGTGTTTCTGCAGTGCCCCGGCGAGGTGGTCCAGGCTGCCGTAGTGCATGAACTCCATCACGATGTCCAGCGCCGCCGCCTCCGGCAAGAAGAAGGCGTTGTACACCTTCACCATGAAGGGGCTGCGGTAGGTGAGGTGCAGCACCTGCAGCTCACGGATCACATTCTGCTGCAGCTGGCGTATGCGGCCGTTGCCGCCGCCGCCACTGCGCAGATACGGCGAGGCGCTGCCCAGGCACAGCGAGGACAGGTCCAGCCGTTTCACGGCAAGTCGCCGACCAGTTGGCTTGTGGATTGCAACAAACACAGTCGCCGAGGCCCCCTCGCCGACCGACGTCGGCAGAATCTCCAAGTCGCGCATCCGCACCACGTTCGGCGGCAGCTGCGCCATGGTGGACGCGGCGTGGGCGTTGATGGTGCCCGAGGCGTTCATCCCTGCGGTGGAGGTGGTGGTGAAGCCGCCGCCGCCGATATTTGGGTTGGTGTGGGTGGCCGGGCTGCCTCCGAAGTTTGACGAGTTCTGCGGCCCCACGCCGACCATGCCGTTCTTCCACGCCGGGATGTCCGCGTAGGGCATCAGCAGACTGCCCGCCGTGTCGGGCACGTTGAAAGGGCCGGGGCCGAACATGTTGCCCACGCTGCCGACGGTGTGCAGCGTGGTAGGCGAGGCCGTCGTTGCGCTGTTCTGCATGGTGTTGATCCAGTTCGCGCTCGTCTGGCGCCGCAGCTGGGCACGGTAGAGGCTGTTGTTCGCCCCACCCCCGGCTCGGTTGTGTGTGGTCGAGTTGGGTGTTGCCGCCTGCATGCCGCCGCCCCCACCCAGGAACGTGCCCGGCCCCATCGTGGGAGTGGCCTCGCCGTGGTGGAGGTGGCCGCCGATGGTCGTATCCTCCCGCGCGGCACGCAGCAGCGGCGGCCCGGCCGGCGGCGGCATCAACCCACTCCCGCGCTCGGGGTGGTAGCCGGCGGAGTTCGGGAACGTCAGCCGCTGCGAGTCAAGGGAGTAGGTGATGGGACTGAACGGGGTGTCCATGCTGGTGGAGAAGAGAGTGAAGAGCGCGTTCGGGTTGTTGGCCCCGGCGTCGTTGCCGGCGTTCGCGCCGCGGTTTGCGTTGCCGGCGCCGGTGCGGCCAAACCCCGCCGAGCCGAGGGCTCCCGCGGGGCCGTCCATGTGCGGCGACTCCCACTCCGCAACGCCCGTGTTGGGGGTGGTGGGACCCTGGCCGGGGTGTGGAACGAGCATTCGCCCTGCTGCGCCGCTGTTGCTGCTCACCGGAGAGTAGTTCACCGCGCCGGTGCGCTGCGGGTGCAGGAGCTGGACGGGGCGACGCGGGTCAGCGCTGATGGGACTGCCGTGCGGGCCGCCACCGCCGCCGGTCACGGGGTTTGCTGGGGTGGCAGCGTCGATGCGGGTGGGGTTCAGCAGCAGCATGTTGCGCACCGTCAGGCAGCCGTCACGCGACACGCGGAAGATGCCCGCGATGAGGGTGCGGCGGTCGTGGGAGAGGCGGACGAGGGCATTCGTGCCGGAGCCGCTCTGCGGACGATTGGAAACGGACCGGCCCATCACCGCGTTGATGTTCGTCGCGCTCGCGTTCATGTTGGGCGTCGTGGTCGCGCTGCAGCCCGCAGCTCGAAAACCGTTCGGGCTGCCCGCGACACCGTTTTCGCTGCCGGTGCGACTCCCGCCCAGGATGACCGCCGGCATCCGCGCGTTCAGCGGCGGCGTCAGCTGGAGCGCCGAGGAGGAGGCGACGGAGTTGTGATGCACGGTGGAGCCAGGGTCGCCGGACTTCGGGCTCAACATCGCCTCCGAGTCCCTTGCTGCGGCGTTCTCTGCGACGGGCGAGCGGGCCTTGAAGAGCGACGGCGGCGGCGCTCGACGACGGGCCGCGGCTGTCCGCACCGGCGTTGGGAGGGCGGCTGGAGAAAGAGCAGGCGGCCCGGCAGACGCGGCGGCCGCCAGTGGACCGCCGCCGGGAGAAGCAACGGGGGAGGTTGCTGTGGTGGCAAACCCCATCGTTGTGCCGGAATGCGGAAGAGGCGTGGTGGAGGCCTCCGTCGTGGTGGGCGCAGCTGTGGGTGCCAAGGCAGCGACGAGGTTCGTGCTGGACGTCGGCGTCAGCATCAACGGCGGCGGTCGCACACCGCGCACGTTACCGCCGGCGGAAAGAGGTGAGGCAAAAGAAGGGTGCGACGGCGTACCCCCGCTCAGCGCGAGGCCGCCCAGCTCGGTGGTGTCGTTCCCCGCCATGTAGTGCGAAGCGACCGCGCCGAGGCCCCCGCTGCCGCCGCTGGGAGAGGATGCAGCGTTCATGGGGGTCGCAGAAGGGCGTCCGAAGGCCGCCGTCGAGGACCCGACACGGCCAGCACCGAAGTGCAAAGATGCTGTCGGTACACTCGCGTCACTCGCCTCGCTGGAGGCCGCGGCCGCCGCAGCCGGTCCGCTGACACGGCTCTGCGCTGCGCCGAGGACGACGTTCTGATTGGGCAAGGAGCCGCTGCGGCTGTTCCCAGCGGGAGCGCTGCCGTGATGCTTCCTGCCAGCTGCGGCACTCAGTGGTGTTGTAATGACCGGTGTCACGCGTGCCAGGCGCGGAGGAGAGAAGGTGAGCATGCCGGCGCCGTGCACGCCGCTGCGGACTTGCGGGGTTTGCTGCTGCTGCCGTTGCAGCGGCGATGACGGGGCGAAGTGCCGGGGCGGGTGGCGCCCCACGTAATCCTCTTCGGCGTCGTGCACACGTTCAATACCGCTGTCGTCGTCGTCGTCGCCGTCGCCGTTGGTAGAGGAGATCAACGTGAGCAGCTCCGTGGAGGCCGGACTTGGAGACGCGGAGAGGGGGTTGGCCGTATACGGAGCGGAGGACGCCGGCTGCACCTTCTGTCCCTCCTCCGGGTAGTCCGCGATGCTGGTGGGGGTGATGGTGACACCGAAGCTATTCCCGCTCAAACCCGAGGTGGTGGTGACCACGGTGGGCTGTCGCTGCAGCAGCGCCTTGGAGGACCCAGACCGCGAAGCGGACGGAAGGGGGGAGAAGTGGGCGAGGCCACCGCCGCCGCCTGAACTACGCGACACGGCCGCCGGCGCCGCCTCCGCCTCTGGAGTAACCCGATTCGGTAGCACCAGCATCGGTGGTCTGCCAGACGGCGATCGAGGCTCGGTGCCGCTGACTACAGCATCAGTCGCCGCCGCCGCGGCAGCAGCAGCAGCCGTCAAAGGAATGACATCGGTGGGGAGTGTGGGGGGAGTGCGGGCGTTGATGGGCGGCGACACGAAGAGGGACGGCGGACGTTGCTTCACCCGACGCACGGGCGCCGCTGCCGCTGCTGTTGCCGCGGACTCCTCCGCTGTGCCACCCACCGTTGTGGTGGGGCCGGTGGCGGCCATAGTGGGGGCCTCCCCCGTCTGTTGCTTGTCGTCCGCCGCCACGGTCGGCGTCAGTGAGAAGGCCGGCAGACTGCCCTGCTGAGGGGTCACGACGCCTCGCATGGCTGCCTTGAAGGCGGAGGCAAGGGAAGGGGCGATAGAAGGCGCGAGGAAGCTGCGCGCCGTCGGCCCTGCGGACGGCATCGACGGGCTCGCCTCCGACCCGTTGGAGGAGACGTTGTAGGTGACCTGCGAAAACGGCGCACCGGCTGTCGGGCCACTCGAACCCTCTCGCTGTCGGAGTGTCTCGGGCTCTGCCGTCGGAGGGGTGTAGGGCACCCACGCCCCAATGGCCGGCGTGGCCCTGTTGCCCGACACAGGCGTGCTGTCGGCGCTTTTACGTGATAGGCTACCGACGCTGGCAGCGGCAGAGGCGACAGGGACCAGCGATCGCGGCTGCGACGTAAACGGTGAGGGCCCGGTGCTTCCGCTGTTCGCCTTCCTCGACACCTCGCTGCTGCGCGCGCTGTGCGGGTGCGGGTGCGGCAGCTGCCGCTGCGCCTCCTCCGCGCCGAAGGGCTGCGGCTGCAACATGCGGAAAGCGACGGGGTCTTCGCCCCGCACATCCCCTGCCGCCGGCGCGACTGCCTCGGAGGGTCTACCCTGCGAGCCCCGTCGTGTAGAACTCCCCTCCTTCTCTTTCCCAAATTCCTCACTGCCGAGGAGGTGGTGATTCGGCGTGGTGGTGGCCGCGGCGGCCTCTGCTGCTGCGGCGGCGATCGTCTGCTGCCCCGAGTCAGGGGAATGGTAACGAGTATGCTGGCCGCTGTCACGGTGCCCGGACGGGGCGCTGTCATAGACGGCATCCACAGCCCCCGCCGCCGGGGCAGCAGCGGCCGGCACCGCCGCCACGCCGACCTTCTCTGGCCGCGATACCGCAGAGCGCGAGGACCAATGTGCGGTTTCCCCACGGCTGTAGCCGCTGTCCGTCAAGACGCGCCCTCCGCCGTAGCCGTCTCTGGGGTCGCTATAGCCGTGCGTGAGGTGGGAGCTGGAAGGAGGGAGAGGCAGAGCACGCGCCGGATCAACGTGCTGTTCTGGCGGCGGATGTTGTTGACGATGCGGGCCCCGTAGTTGCTGCGGCACGGCCGTCGTGGCTGCGACACCGCTGACGGTCGCCGCCGCAGCGGAGCCGGAGCGGGTGGCGGACAGCGGCAGCGGCGACGACGACTCCCCGCTATCAAGGCAAGAACTCGACATTCCCTAAATTAAAGCCGCCTTCACCGGTGTACACGGGAGGGGAAATGAATAACGAAGCCGAAGCAAATCCGATCCTCGCCGCAATCAGAAAGGAGAAGAGAAAGCAACGAGGCGGTGGCCCTCTGCAGGGGAGCTCGGGTGCACAAAAGCGAAGAGGCCCTGACAGGAACCGCCCGAAAGCGACGACCGTACAGCCGGGATAACAGCGCCGGGGAGCAGAGGTCAACAGAGCAGAGGAAAAGGGGAAAAAAAATCGGAAAGCGAAAGAAGCAGAGTCACCGAATATGAACACAATTTTCGTTCCTCTGCGGTCGCCAACACCATCGACAAAGTCAGAATCGAGACGGCAAATTATATATATATTCTTTTTTTGTGAAGCTGCGCTGCGAGCAACACCGCAAGCCAGCGGTGGGACCACTATACAAAAGGGAAAGATACGCAGGTACGTAACGGCTCAGCCACACGCACACACGCACACACGCACATGCACGCACACGGCGTGAGGGTGAGACGGAGGGAGAGAGAGAGAGACACAAGTATTTATATAATGAGAGGTCAGGAGAAGAAAACAGCGTCGGAGACAGCGTCGTAAAGTAGAAAATAAAAAGTACTTATTGTTATGAAACACCGCGCACACACACACCTCAGCTGACAGGGAAGCTGCAGCAGAGATCACACCAATGAAAACCTGAAGGAAACAAAGCAGTGTACTCAGAGGAGGAGGAGGAGGAGGAGGGACCGGCGAGCAGTACTCGATTGCAGCGTGCGGTGTGTTTCTAATCCTGATTCAATCGACGGCGTACGTGCAGAGAAGAGTAGTACTACTAATAATAATAAGAGGAAAAAAAACACAAACCAAAAGGAAGGCGCCTGAAAAAAAATTGTAAATAGTCGAGAGAATTAGAAAAGGAAAAAAAGGTAGAAGAAATCGTTTTCAAGATTGGCCGTGCGCTTTTGCAGGTGGGTGGCGGGAGAGAGAGAGAGAGATCAGCGTCGAGGAGACAAAGAGAAGATATATATATATATATATATCATAACAGTAGTACGAAACACCCCGATGCAAGTCCGTTGTGAGCGCAGGCCGAAAGAAACAAAAAGAGAACGAAAGAGAATAGAAAAGAAAAAAAATGCGGCTAACGGCTGAGGGAAAATAAAGAAGAAGACGAAGAGGCGATAACGTCAGGTGCTCGCAGAGTGTTTAACGACAACACTTCCGTACTTCACACCTTTCCTCTTCCTTCTTTTAGGATGTTGTGTTGGGGGTGGTAACGTCCTTTCTCCTTTTTACGAGTTCACCAGAATAGGGCAAACAGAAGAGACAAACAGAAGAAGAAATAGACAAATCAAAGCAGAAGAAAACGAGAAGAGGCAAAATAGGCGCGCCCACCTCGTCGCACACACAGGTGAACGTGCGTGTGTATGTGTGGACCTTCCCTAATGCTTATCCTACAGGGTTTGTGTGAGAGGCGCACAGCGAAGGGCACTCTCCTTCTGGCGTCAGAAAGTGGTGACTTAACCAAAAAGGAAAGGGATACTTGAAAGAAGCGTGTTTTAGGGGAAGATTGTGTGTATCGATTGTTGGTGAGTGTTTCGCGTTGCGCACGCAAACGTCCAAGTAGGAGAACATAAATAGGAAGGGGAAAGGGGGAGGACAAGAGGACGCAAAAGTGGCTTAGAAAGCAAACCAAAAGACGTGGAAGTGGCAAAAAAAAAAAATGAAAGGAGGAGATATGAGGCAAGGAGAGTCGCAGCAGCCTCCCTTTCAATAATAATAATAACACTGATGCTTCGCCCTGCATCAGCGGAGACTATAAATTCAGCGTGGATGTGTCGTGTGCTTTCCATCGTGCACAGGCTTCTGCGGCGCACACACGCTAAAAGGGAAAAACGACGCGATAGCCTACCGACACAACGACGGTAACAGTTGTTTGATAGCAGCTGCTTTTCCGTGTCCCTTCCCACACCATTTTTTTTTGTAATAATGGTAGTAGCTGTAGAGAGAGGGGGGAGGGAATGGCTGATTCGACCGGGTCAAAATAATTCGACTGCACAGCCCTTCTTTTGGTTTTGTTTTGCTTGTTAGTTTTTGAGACCGTCGTTGCAGGCTTCACACCAGCGTGCGTCTGAGTTTGCGCTTGAAATATCCGCGGAGCGAGGCGTCCTTTTGGTTGTTGTCGGTGGTGGTGGTGTTTGTACCTTGACGCTGCTTAAGCGCTCTTTGGATGCGACATCGCGAAAGGAAGCAAAAGAAAAAAGGGGGAAAAGGAGAAAAGGACAGCAAACCCGAAGCATTCCCTTCTGTTCTGATACATCCGTCCTCGGCAATGCACGACGCGCACGCCAGAACTCTCACTGTGCGGGCGTCTTCCCCTTCTGGCTCCCTCTGCCCTCCCCCCCCCCCCCACCGCTGTCTTCCTCCTCCCTCTCGCATGCCGTATGTTTGCTTTGTTTGTTTGTTTGTTTGTTTACGCCGCCGGCGCTGCACGCTTGTAGGCGTGCATCCACACGGCGTAATCCTCCATCATGCCGCTTGCCGTCGGGTACATACCCGCCCCCGGCCCGTTAATCGTCACACAGCCAAGGTAATCGGTCCATACCGACAACGCACTCGTCGTGCCGTCCATGCCGTAGAGGGGGTGCTCCGGTCCCACCAGCTGCGGCCGCACGGAGCAGACGAGCTGGGCCGTCGGCGCACACGTCGGGGACCACGCTGCGGTGTCCGCGCCGCACGCCCCATCGTCGGCGGAGGGCAGCTGCGGAGTTGGTATCTGTAACTCAGCGCGGACGATGTGCCGATACCGCAGCCCCTTCGCCGCCGCCTCCCTCAGCATCTCCGGAGTCAGGCTGTCAATGCCAACCACAGGGATGGAGGCGCGGTCGGGTTGCTGGCCGAAGGCGACAGAGAGAAGAATGAGCAGCTTCATGAAGGCGTCGCTGCCGGAGATGTCGTTCGTCGGGTCCGTCTCGGCGTAACCCAGCGCCTGCGCCGTCGCCACCACCTCGGCAAACGTCCTTTCAGGGTGAAGACGGAGCTCGGTGAGGATGTAGTTGCTCGTGCTGTTGAGGATACCCTCCAGCTTGCGGACGTGGTGCACAAAGCACATGCTCTGCAGCGGCTTAATGATCGGTAGACCGGCGGCCACCGTTGCCTCGAAGCCGACAAAGACCTTCGCAAAAGGCGACGTCGGCGGCGGAGTCGTGACGCTCGCCAGCTCCTGCAGCGCCGCCCCGTAGCGGGCAAACATGACCTTATTCGCGGTGATGACGGAGCAGCCGTGCTCGACGATGGCGCGCTGTAGGTAGGTAAAGATGGGCTCCTCGCCCACCGCCGCCTCGAACACAACGTGCACGTCCGCGCGAAATACTTCATCGATGGAGTCCGTGAGGATCTCAGCAGGATTGGCAAGACCCGGTGGCAGAACCCGATCCGGACGCGTCAGGTCGGTCACTAGAATCTTCACGATGACCAGCTCCGCCCCGCCCAGCTTCTGCTTCAGCTCCTCACGGCGTTGCTGAGCGATGTTGTACACGCCTTGCCCGACGGTGCCGGCACCGATGATGGCGCCACGAACAATCGGCATAACGGAGGTGGTGTTGTTCCGTTGCAATTACGGTGTATTTATATATGCGTGTGTGTTGGATCCTTGAGGGCGCTTTTGTTCCGACACGTCCAACGAAGTTGAAGGGAAGCAACACCAAAAGGGAAAGCAGTATGGATGACGTCAGGTATCGCCGCTTCACTCCCGGTAGGCCTGGTCGATTAAAAGAGTGGACGTCAGCGAGGCGCGGGCAGGCGGCGGTGTTGCGCACGAGCTCTAGCACGTGAGTGTGTGTGTGTGTGTGTGTGTCGGTGAGAGAATGTGTTTTGATCGCTTCTTTTTCTCTCTGGTTAAGGGGGGAGGGAGGGGGGCGCACGAGAGCGGTTCCTCATGGGAAAAAAGGAATCGCAAAATACATTCGTTGAAGCAGCAGAAGCGAGGGGAGGGAGGGGAGGGGGAAGGGGGAAGGATGCAGATAAAAATGCGGCGCCAACACGGGAACAGGAAAGCAGACCGCCCTGTGGAATCTAAATAGCTCAGGCGGCGCCGATAGTTCTACCTTGCGCTTTGCGATTTCAACGAGGAAAAACAGGGGGAAAAAAGGGGGAGCGTTGTGCGTGTGCCGCTGCACAGCCCCTCCCAAAAACGTCTCCGCACTGTATCGAACTGGGTGCCGTATGTATTACTTACATTAAAACAAATGAAAAGAGTAGTTCAACCGACTGTTCCCCTTACATGTTAAAACGGCACAGAAAGAACGGCGTAATTGCTACCTACTAGATTCTACACAACTGGGTCGCTTGCTCGGTTGATTGATAGTTCTTGCTCTTTAATATTGAGACCGTTTGCAGAAGCCTACCGGGTTGGATGCTACACGTTTGCTGCTGCTATCACCACCACCTCGGCGTCTACCGTGCGAGGCTCGTCCGGCGTGCAGTTCTGCCCTTCCCCTGTGTCGCCTGTACAGCACTGGTGGGTGGAGAGAAGCATCACTTGAATGTCGGCGAGGTTAAAGATTAAACAGAAAAAGAGTCCGAGGGAAGAAAGCCCCTCTGCAACCGCTTTCGGTTGCTTTTGCTGACGTGAGAGAGCACCGAGGAATTTACCAAGTCCACCTACATACACACACACAGAGAGAGAGAGATGCAACCGTTAGAACTGCTTCCGGTGATCCCAGACTTATGCAGGGCCACGAGAACCTGCGTTACCTTGGTTTCGAGCTGCCCTTGCGCGTCTGCATGCGGCAGAGGGCGGCGTCCGCGAGAGCCGACGTCAAGCTACTATTCTACTGTTCGTTGCTCGTGTTGCGCATCGTTGACCACAACCTGCTCTCACAGCTGGCTCGCGGCACCGCCGCCGCACATCAGCTGCACCACACGGCGGATCACCGCCAGCCCCTTCTCCAGCTGCTCCAGTGACACGAACTCGTTCGCCTTGTGCGCCTGCTCAATGCTGCCGGGACCGCACACGACGGTGTTCACGCCGAGGTTCTGGTACTCGCCCGCTTCGGTGCAGAAGCACACCTTCAGCGTCTTCGGCTCCGCACCATGCGCCACGCGGAGCGCCTGGACCACCGCTGCACCGTCATTGCCGCTAAAGGGCTGCACGTCCTGCATGCCTTTACGATCAATCCAGGAGCCTTTCGCCCCCGCCGCATCGCCCTCCAACGACGTCATAGCGGACATGATCTTCTTCTCCAGCTCATCCAGCTTCGCATGGATTTCCCTCTTGATGCCGGCACCGCTGTGGGCCTGGACGTTGCGGAACTCGAAGCCCACCGTGCACGCCGCGGGGATCGTGTTCATCGCGTTGCCGCCGCGCACGAACGAAGGGCAGAGAGTGGTGTGCGTGACCGCGTAGCCCTCCTCGAAGGGGCCCTCGCGCGCAAACCGTTCCCTCATCTCAAACAAAAAGTTCATGAACTGTGCGGCCGGCTCGATCGCGTTGTAGCCCGCCGTCTGCAGCGAGGAGTGCGCCGCCTTGCCGCGCATCGTGATGTAGTTGGAGCAGATGCCTTTGTGGGCGATCACAAGGTCCAGCATCGTCGGCTCACCCACGATGCAGCCCTCGCACTTCTTCAGCGCAGCGCTGCAGCTCGCCACTAGATCGTTCACGCCGCCGAAGTTCGTCTCCTCGTTGTAGGTCAGCACCAGCTGCACCGGCTTGCGCGGCGGCGTGCGCACCCACTCCGGCACCAGGGCAAGGACCACCGCAATGAAGGCCTTCATGTCGCACGACCCGCGCCCGTACAGCTTGCCCTCCCGCTCCGTCAGCACAAACGGGTCGCTGTCCCACGCCTGCCCCTCCACAGGCACAACATCCGTGTGCCCGCTCAGGATCAGGCCGCCCTCCGTCGCGCCGGCCGCACTCGGCAGCGTCGCCACCAGGTTGGCGTGGATCCCGTCCTGCGCCTTCATCACCGTCACGTGCGCCACACCGCACCCGCTCAGGTACGCACGCACGTACTCGATCAGCTCGAGGTTCGAGTCGGCGCTCACGGAGCGGAAGGCGACGAGCTTCGCCAGCTGATCGCGCACCTGCTGCAGGGTGGCCATCGCGAATGTCGATAGTAACTTTTGTTTTTGCGAAAGAAAGAAAGAAAGCGGAGCCGGGGTAGAGAACAGCACTCGGCGCACAAGCCAAGCTGCGGCGAGGAGCGCTGGCGTGTCGGACAACCACAAGCGAAGTCGCCCCGAGGAGCACGCACGGACAAATACGGTAAGAGGTCAGCGGCGTCGAACGCCTCGCTGCGTCTTGGCTGTTCTTTCCGGCGGAAGCACACAACTGGCGGGAAGTGTCGGCCGTAAGGAAGGAGCCGAGTGCGACGAAGGCGAGCGGGTGTCTCCAGCAAAGAGGGGAAAAGGATCGAAGAAACAAAAAAAAAAGGGAAGCTAATAAACGTTTTGGATTTGAATGAAGTTTTCTTAACCGTTAGAAACGACTCGAGCACAAATGGTAAGGAGAAGGAAGAGAAACAGAGAAATCAGCGCTTGAACGATGGCAGTGGCGTCGGGGAGCCTTGCGAATACGCAGATGAGTGTGGCGGGAGATCCGCACGGCGAGTTGTGCGTTTGCCAGCGGAGCCGCAGACGCCAAAGGAGGTAGAAGGCGAAGAAAGGGCGAGTAGAGTGCACCAGCAGCGTGGAGAGACGACGATGCGGAACGCACACACATTGGGTTGGGCCGCGAGTGCGCCAGAGGTGGTCCACTCGGTGTGCATGGTGGTTTGCGCTGTGGGGCACGTCTGTGAAGCGTCACGCGCACCCACGCGCCGGTTGCCAGCCACGCAAACGACGCGGTCCACGTAGAGAAAAGGGATACACGAAATGCGGACTCTCTGCGGACGCATTGGGGACGTGGCGGTGCGCCGGTCGTGGGTGGCGACGGGAGATGCGACTCATCCATTGAACCACGTTGCCAGCAGCTTTAACGAGGTTTAAAATACTGAAAAGAAAGAGGAGACCACGAAGGAGTTTTGTGAACTTGAAAGGCTCAGTGAAAACCAAAATAGAGGCAGTCGTCACCAAAGAGGAAACACGAAGGACTGGAAATGGTAGCGTTAGACGCGCCTGTGCAGCAGACGCCTTTAACTTGAGCAAAACGAAAAGGCCTTTGGTGTGTTACTGCGCTGAAGAAGGAGCGCCTGCAGGTTACTTACGGAGAGACCTGTGGTTGCAGGGCGCGGTCTACTAGAACAAGGGGAAGAAGAGGAAAACAAACTACTACGTTAAGAGGCACTTCGTACAACAAACTATGCTCTCTGCTAGGCGATAAAAATAATGATCCTGTCGTCGACATCAGCGAAGGAAATAAGAAATCATCGTCGTGTGCAGCTCGATTTGAAAGAAGAAAGAAAGGATGTTCAAAACGGTTTGTGCACTGCTGCCGTTCTGCGGCACACCACAGGGCACAGAGATGCAACCGTTAGAACTGCTTCCGGTGATCCCAGACTTATGCAGGGCCACGAGAACCTGCGTCACCTTGGTTTCGAGCTGCCCTTGCGCGTCTGCATGCGGCAGAGGGCGGCGTCCGCGAGAGCCGACGTCAAGCTACTATTCTACTGTTCGTTGCTCGTGTTGCGCATCGTTGACCACAACCTGCTCTCACAGCTGGCTCGCGGCACCGCCGCCGCACATCAGCTGCACCACACGGCGGATCACCGCCAGCCCCTTCTCCAGCTGCTCCAGTGACACGAACTCGTTCGCCTTGTGCGCCTGCTCAATGCTGCCGGGACCGCACACGACGGTGTTCACGCCGAGGTTCTGGTACTCGCCCGCTTCGGTGCAGAAGCACACCTTCAGCGTCTTCGGCTCCGCACCATGCGCCACGCGGAGCGCCTGGACCACCGCTGCACCGTCATTGCCGCTAAAGGGCTGCACGTCCTGCATGCCTTTACGATCAATCCAGGAGCCTTTCGCCCCCGCCGCATCGCCCTCCAACGACGTCATAGCGGACATGATCTTCTTCTCCAGCTCATCCAGCTTCGCATGGATTTCCCTCTTGATGCCGGCACCGCTGTGGGCCTGGACGTTGCGGAACTCGAAGCCCACCGTGCACGCCGCGGGGATCGTGTTCATCGCGTTGCCGCCGCGCACGAACGAAGGGCAGAGAGTGGTGTGCGTGACCGCGTAGCCCTCCTCGAAGGGGCCCTCGCGCGCAAACCGTTCCCTCATCTCAAACAAAAAGTTCATGAACTGTGCGGCCGGCTCGATCGCGTTGTAGCCCGCCGTCTGCAGCGAGGAGTGCGCCGCCTTGCCGCGCATCGTGATGTAGTTGGAGCAGATGCCTTTGTGGGCGATCACAAGGTCCAGCATCGTCGGCTCACCCACGATGCAGCCCTCGCACTTCTTCAGCGCAGCGCTGCAGCTCGCCACTAGATCGTTCACGCCGCCGAAGTTCGTCTCCTCGTTGTAGGTCAGCACCAGCTGCACCGGCTTGCGCGGCGGCGTGCGCACCCACTCCGGCACCAGGGCAAGGACCACCGCAATGAAGGCCTTCATGTCGCACGACCCGCGCCCGTACAGCTTGCCCTCCCGCTCCGTCAGCACAAACGGGTCGCTGTCCCACGCCTGCCCCTCCACAGGCACAACATCCGTGTGCCCGCTCAGGATCAGGCCGCCCTCCGTCGCGCCGGCCGCACTCGGCAGCGTCGCCACCAGGTTGGCGTGGATCCCGTCCTGCGCCTTCATCACCGTCACGTGCGCCACACCGCACCCGCTCAGGTACGCACGCACGTACTCGATCAGCTCGAGGTTCGAGTCGGCGCTCACGGAGCGGAAGGCGACGAGCTTCGCCAGCTGATCGCGCACCTGCTGCAGGGTGGCCATCGCGAATGTCGATAGGAGCTGTAAGTAAAGGTAAATGGGACTGATTCTAAAGTCTTTGTCGTCGCAGCAGCGTAATAGAAAAGAGAAGGAAAACAAGGATGCACGTGAAATCGCAGAAGGCGGAAAACAGCCTAGGATAGAATAGGAAGAGAGTGAGAGAAGAAAGCTTTTCTCTTTAGCGAGAATGCGAACGAAGCGGTGCGGTCTCGGAGAGCAGTCAGATATACATAAACAAATGTATATGAATATCGTGGAGCGCGGAGCAGTAGGAGTCGCAATGCGGTGCTAGAAGAGCTAGAGCTATAAAGAGAAAAACAGCGTGAGAAGAGCGGGAGAGCGTTGGAAGATCGGAAACGATCGATGTGGACCGTAAAGAGGACCACAAAGGAAAAGACCGCGCAACGACGGTTGCTGCTGCTGCTGCTGCTGCTGTTGCTTTCCCAACAGCGAGAAATGAGGTGGTGGTTCACTTGCACTTTGGGGATTCGTGAGAGCGCCAACAGGCCGCGGAGACAACCCCCATCGCAGTCGCCGGCACCTGTGAAGTACGACAAGTCATTGAAACTGGTTGGAAGAAGACACTCACCGTTCCTCCATGTTTTAGCACTGCTTTGCTTTCAGAGCGGCAGGGCACCGTTGTTTTTGTCTTCTATATGCATTGTTCTGTGTTCAAAGAGATTAGACCTCAACTGGATTAGAAAACACAAGCAAATAAAAAAGGGAGCGCAGCAACAACGTTTCCGGCCACGCACCACACACCTCCGCGTGTTTTGCCATGGCGTCTGTCCGCCTGTTTCGTGTGCTTGTGCAGAGGCAGTCCACGGGGCACCGCTGAATCCTCCACACGGCACCAGTGCGATCATGCAACAAGCGAGAGGAAGACGAGCAACAGCAGTAACAGAAGCGATTTACAGCTCTACACCATCGTAAAGCCCATGCTGCCGTAGGTGATGGCCAGCATCAACTTCTCCTTCAGCACCGCGGCAGACGCGTAGACAGGCAAGTCGATCTTGTTGAAGCAGGTGTGTGCCTGCGGCAGCAGGTCCTCCTTGCTAACTGCCCAGCGACTAATAGTGAAAGGCAGCGACCGCCCGTTGGTGCCCTCGAGGTGACTAAACCCGCCGTGTGGCACCTTCGACGAGCCGGTCGTGAACTGCAGCAGGTTCGCCAAGTCCTCCTTCGTCATGGCGTTGACGGCCTCCCAGAACCAGCGGATCTGCGGGGACGTGCTACTGTAGCCCTCGTACACCGTGTGCGTGCGCAGGTCCTCGACGTCGATGTCGGGCATGCCGCTGATCACCAGCTCCAGCTCATTCTCCGTGAAGCACTGAATCTCACGGCGCGGGATGACGGAGTAGAAGCCCTTCAGGAAACGGAGCAGCTGCTCCTCCGTCCGCCGCGTCATATGGAACTCGCACAGAAGCCGCACGTACTGCTGCTTGTTGGCGTTCGTCACCATCGTGTTTTTGCCGTTCGGCTCCAACTCCTCCTCCTCGACGGAGCCGAAGCGGTTGTAGTTCACCGCGAAGGTCAGTGCCAGGTTCGTGACGTCGTTCTCCATGATCCAGTTTAGGTTCGTGTACAGCTCCTGGTCGAAGCTCTGCAAATCAGCAAAAACAGGGCGGTGGCCGATGATGTGGCGGTAAAAGGCCCGCGTAAAGTGGATGTCGATCGGCACGTTGTGCGTGATCGACAGGGCCACCACGACGCCGGCAAACTGAAAGTACTCGAGGTGGTTCGGATTGACGCTGGAGAAGGGGTTCGGCTGGAAGGAGGCGCTGTCTTGTGAGTGGACAAACAGCGCGTAGCGCTCGTCCACGAGGGCCTCGGAGAGAATCTGCAGCCACTCCCGCGTCAAGCCGCCGGCGTCAGCGCCCTCCTCCCCCTCGAAGTGAACGTGAAGCTGCCCGCCCAACGATCTCTGCTTCTGCAGCTCCTTGAAGCTGTCCAGCAGGCAGCTCTCTCGCTTCACCCGCAGCAGTATGTTCGACCCACGGCGCAGCCCCAGTCGTCGACGGAAGTCGCTCAGCTTGAAGTTGAAGTCGATCAGGTTCGGCTCATACTTGAGAAACGTGAAGTTCTCCTTGAGCAGGTTGCGGTTCCAGTGCAGCAGCATGTTCAGCGTGACGCGGTTTTCTTCGAGCACCATGCGCACCACGTGTGGCAGGCGACGCTGGTGCTCCTCGGCGGTGTTCAGGCCTTCGTCGGAGAGGCGGGTGCCGACGGCGGTCATCGACTGCGCGGCGTCCTCTTGCTCCGACAGCTCCTTCACCGCACGGTCCGACACCGAGGACGGCTTCGTCGACGCCCGCAGGAAGTGCTCCGTCTCGCCGGCCAGGTTGCTGCGGCTGCCCGTCAGCGTCCGTGCGCTTCCGGAGGCGCCGCGTTGGTGCAGATCGCTGAGGTGATAGCGACAGAAGGTCTGCAACACCGACGAGACGCACGAGGGCAGGGGGAGAACCTCCTGCGGCGTCAAGTGCTCCAGCAACGTCGAGACGTCGCGCAGGTAGGTTTGGCTCGCACGCCACAGCATCGTGAAGGCGCGCGGTTCGGCGCAGGAGGCTGATGCGAAGGTTTCGAAGAGGCGCTGAATGGCATCGCCCTCTCTGTCCTTGATGTCCAGCTTCACCACAAGAGCCATGGCGGTGTCGGTGTCGAAGATGTACCCTTCAGGTATGCTCAGCTGATAGCGAATGGCGTGTTGCGCCATCAGTCCTGGACTGCCCGCGCCACCAGCGCCATCGCCGGCAGACGCCTTCGCCGGGTCCGACTTGCTGTGCAGTATCCTGTACACCTCCTGTCGAAACGCGTCTCGCGCCTCCTTCATGGCCCGGACGCGGGCATCGGCCATCTGCACCAGCTCCTGCTCAAGAACACGCAGCGGGTTGGTGGGAGACGTTGAGGCGTGTGCGGTGCTTCGGCTTTGCCACGACGCGTAGGAGAGAGACGGAACCGACGTGACGGTGGTGGTGATCGTCGTCGTCGTCGTCGTCGCGCTTGCATTGGCAGACGAAGAGGCGGAGGCGGCAGCAGCAGCAGCAGCAGCACTCACGCTGCCGCCAAAGTCGCTGCTCGTATGGATCGACAGCGGCGAGCTGTTCTCACGCGCGGCGCACTCTTGCAGTCCGCGAGACATGAGCTGCACCACATTCGCAGCGATATTCGGCATGCACAGTGGGTGCCGCAGGAAGGCGATCATGGAAGTCACCGTCTCTGGCACAGCCATTAGAATCAGTGCCGACGAGCGGCGGATGCGCGTACGCATCTCCTCCAGCGTAATTCGCTCCCGTGAGCAGCTGGGGCACAGGTCGAACTGGCACGAAGTGCAGTGAAAGCAGTAGTCGTAACCAGGGTTGACGCCGCACACGTTGCAAACGTAGCCGCCCTCTTCGTAGCTCGAGAGCCGGCGTATGTTCGTCCAGCGCAGTCGGTGCGGGTGCCGCGGGTGTATGATGAGGGATTCCGTGAGCGGCTCGTCGGCTAGTGGGTCGTCGCTGCTGCCCAGCTCGCGATCTTCCTCTGCGTTGTAGAGCATTTTTTGGCTCCGCACCAGCTGCCGCAGTAGCTGATCCAGCGAGTAGAAAAACCCCTGCACGTGCACGTGCTGTCGACACACCTTCCACAGCCGATCCCACAGCCCGTACTCGGCGCAGCGCCGCTCCGTCGCGTCCATCGGCGCCTCCACCGCCTTCAGCGTTGCGGAGTTCAGCGCGCCGTCGGGCAGGAGGAAGAAGCTCGCCACCATCGCCTGGTTCTGCTTCATGAGAGACACAAGAAACGCCGCGGCACCCTTGACGAACATTTGATTCCCTGCAAGCTCGGAGGCGGTGAGGGGGGAGCGCATGGCCACCGCAGGTGCAGAGGCCGTCTCGGACGCCTCCTCCGTCGCTGTCGGCGTGTTCGCCATGGCATCGAGTATCTGACTGACCAGTCGCGCCGCGGCGGTTGGGTTGCCCATGAGCAGCTGCAGAAGGTGCTGTAGCTGCTGGTCGAGACAGCTGATGCCCGCGGTGGCGTTGTACGGCAACGACAGCGCCGCCGTGGCGCGCAGCCGGAGCAGCTCCAGACACCTCGCGAGAACGTCATCGGGCACTTCTGGTAGGGGGAGGGAGAGGGGGTGATAGGGGGACTCCTGCACCGGCACGCTTGACTCGCTCAAGGCGGCCAGAGCTGTTGGGACGCCGGACGGTATCTTCTCTGATGGCTCCGCTGTTGCTGCCGCTGATGCAGATGCGGCTGCGGCTGGTGGGAAAGGTGGGGATTGGAGCAGTGCATTGGGGGTGCCTTCACCAGCCACGCTAGCAGAAGGTGCCGTATCAAGACCAAGCAGAGACGGCGGCGAAGCCGTCCCTGATGGATCCTGCGACATCAGAGGTGACGATGAGGACGGCGGCGTGCTGCGGCTGTGGTGGGTGTTGTCGCGGTTGCCGGGGAGATAAACTTCAGGAGGCAACGGCACGGAGGTCAGCGCAGGGGGTGAAGTCCGTCGAAGAGCGTTGCCGCCGCGACTTCCACCGTGCCGCAGCAGCCGGCCTTGGTCATACGACGCCTCCTCCGTAAACGGTGACATCACCCACGCCGACATCGGCGCCGTCGCAGCAGCCGCAGCAGCCGCAGCGGCACTGTCCACCCCGCCTGCCCGCATCGTCAGCCCGCTGCCCTGCGCCACCAGAGGCGCGTTGAGACCCTGCAGGAGTCCGTCGCAGCGGTGCAGCCGGCGAGCAATAAAAAGTTCGTGGTTGATGATGGAGTACATGAGACCCGTTCCGCGGTACAGCGCGTTCATTACGCCGTCCACCGTTTCCATCTCCCGCATGCCTGGCACATTCACCCGTGGCAAGTTCGCCGCACCGTCCTCACCGTAGCGCAGGAGTCCATCGCGGTCCGTGACCCACTGACGCGAGTTGCGCTGATTGCGGGTCTGCTGACTCGTCAATTCGCGCTGTCGCTGCCGCCGCTCCTCTTGCGCCCGCTGCGCCGCCTCGGCCTCTGCGCGTTGCTGCTCCACCTCTGCTCGCAGCTCCGCCGCCTCCCGCAGCAGCTCCGGGTACGGCTGCAGCAGTCCCAGATCACACTGCAGGAGCAGGTCACGGCGGGTCTCCGCATCGACCGAGAGGATGGTCTGGTACAGCTCGTTTGCGCTGTCGTCGGCGCGGGTGACGCGCACCCACCGTGCCTCGACCTCCATCGCGTGCCGCTGGGCCGCCGCCGGCATCGCGCGCAGGAAGCCTGGGTAGAGCCGTGTGCGCTGCCCGAGCACCTCGCGCTCTTCGGCGCCGCGCAGCGTCTGCATGCTGTCAAAGAGAATCTCGCTGCGAACATCCTCCGGCATTTCGTTTAAGAACTGCACGTCCAGCACTCCCTCCCACGGCTCCGGCTCCGTCAGCTCCGGCAGCGTCGCGGTCGGCGCAGGCACAACGGCACTCGGAGTCGCCTCGGATGATTCGCCCGTGGCAGCGGTGCTGCCGGATGCGAACAGCGCCAAGATGCGGGCCGTGACATCATCGATGCCGGCATCGTTGCTGTTGTGAGATGCCGTAGCCACCGTAGCGGTGGGTGTCGTACTCGGCTCGTTGACGGCCGCCGCAACAGCTGCCGGGGCCTCCGTCGTGGCCACAGCGCGGTCTGCCGGCTCGCCGCCAATTCCTGCAGGACCCGTCGTGTCGGTTGCCGCTTGCTCTGCCATTGGCGCCCTCATCTCGCTGGGATGCGGATTCTGGAGACCAGGGTAGAAGTGTGAGATCGTGTCCCTGAGCCGTCGCACGAGCGGCTCATCGCGAAAGCCGTCCGCCGTCGCCGCCGCTGCGGTGGCGGTCGTGGTCGTGGCGCTCGGCGTCGTTTCTGCCGCTGCTGCGCCTGGCGGGTGCTGACGCGGCTCCTCTACAGCCTCCTCTTCCTCTGTGGCGTGCAGGACTGGCAGTGCGGGTCGCTCCGTCTCTACCACGTTGCCGTTGTGCAGCTGACGCACCGCGACGAGCATGGCGTGGTAGGCGCAGGCCGCAAAGGTGGGCGCCCGCTCGTCGATCGTCGCGGCACGCACACCGCCGATGCCGCCCGAGCCACCACCGCCGCCACCGCCGCCGCCGCCACCGCGGCCGCCGTGACGCTGTCCAAGCATGGGAGCCCACACCTGCGGCGTCAGATAGCGTTCTTCCAGCGTGCTGTCGCCGAGGAAGGACTCCTCGACCTCACCGTCGGAGCTGCCGAAGCCGCCGTGCTCGGACTCTTCCTCCTCTTCCTCCTCCTCTTCCTCCTCTTCCTCCCCTTCCTCCTCCTCCTCGCCTTCTTCGTCCTCTTCGTCTTCTTCGCCTTCCGGTCCCTCTTGGTCAGTGTTATCGTTGCGGACGCGGCGCACCAGCAGCTGCCACATGGAGGGCTGCCACCCAAAGGAGTTTTCTTCGTTGTCCTCCTCCTGCTCCTCGTATTCCTCCTCCGCGTGGTGGGCCGTCTCCGTGTGCTCCTCTTCGTTGTCGTCCTCATCGTCTTCTGCCGCTTCTCCCTCCTCCTCTTCCTCGTCACCGGCGCTGCTGCTGCTGCCGCGGTGAAGATGCCTGTTGCCCTCGGCTTCCATCGGGGCGCCGTCGCCAGCAGTAGCAGAGGTAGTGAGCCGCACCGCAGCCCCGGCGCCCCGCTGCACAGGCGTTTCCTCGTGTGCGCTGCGATGCCGACGACGCTGCCGGCCTTCGTCCTCGTGCAGTGCGGCCTCCGCGCTCTCGACACGTTCATCCTCTCCCCCCTCCGTTTCTTCCTCCGCCCCCTCGCCTTCGGCCCACCATTCTGTGAATGCCGGATTACGGCGACGGACGTCGTGTGGATGGGGGCGGTGGCGGTGGTTGGCGTAGGACTCCACCGCCCGCATCGGCTCCCACATCTCGCCCTCCTCCGCCGCGGCCGCCTCCATTCCGACACCCTCCTCCGCTGTCGCATCCGCCACCACCGCCGCCCCAGGGAAGTCGGGGTAGCTCTGAAACTGCGCGTAGTCCGGGAAGCTCGCGGCGGAGCTGTGGGAGGCGGTGTCCTCCTCCGCCTCCACCGCGTCGTCTTCCTCCACCGCTACTCGGTCCGTCTCCTCCAGTCGTGCCTCGACTTGGTTGAAGAGGGTCTGCAGCGGACTCAAGGAAGTCACGAAGGAGGGCCGCGTCGGGTCCGGCGTGCCGTTAGGCACCGCGTTCGTTGGCAAGTCGATCTCGTTCGCAATGTAGCGCAGAAAGGAGTTCGCCTCGTGGTCACCCGTCAGTGACGCAGCCGCGAAGCGCGCTCCTCGCGTCGCGAGCAGCGGTGGCCAAAGCGAGGCGCCAGTACTTGTCATACCGGTCTGCCGCCGGCGCTCTTGCGTCTCCTGCTGCTGCTGCGACGCGTACACCTTCTGACCGGGCGACAGCATCGTCGCCATCTTGTAGGCGCCAAAGGTCAGCAGCTGGAGACGCAGCAGCTGCAGCAGTGAGGTGGCGTCGCGGCCGTGCTCGCACGTCTGCAGGCGGCAGACGCGGAAGAGCAACGAGAGAAGTCCGCGGTTGGCGAGGTGCTTGTGGAAGCGCAGGAACGCCTCTTGAACGACGCTGCCGCTGACGGCGTTCTGGACGGCGCGCTGACGGGCCGGCACGGCCGCCGCAGCTGGGCGGGGGCTGCCGCACTCCAGAAAGCAGAGCAGGTCGTGCAGGCAGCGTATGAGGCTGCGCTGACGCGCCATTCGCTTTGCCTGCAGCGCCACCGCACAAGTGCGAGTCGCGGCGTCAGCGACGTGGGCAGCGGTGGATTCCGCCCTTCGCTGCTCTGCCTCCTCATCATTCCCCCCCTCCGCCTCCGCCTCCGCCACCTCCATCACGCCGCGTCTTTTGCCTTTGGCGGTCTCACGAAGAAGCTCGAGGGCGGAGACGAGTTTTTGCAGCGTGCTCAGCACCGCATCGGCCACCAGAACCGGGTCGAAGGCCAACAAGCCGGCGGCAAAGTCGATCCCAGCTGCAAAGTCGAACGGGTTGCTGCGGTCTGCCTCACTGAGCGTCCCACAGAGGTGCAGCACGAAGGCGAGGAAGGGAGGGACTCGGATGAGATCGGATTCACCTTCCTCGCTGCGGTGGTGGCGCTCCGCGTGGGCGGCGCTGGTGCTGCGCGACGCGGCGAGGTTCTGCGGTTGCGTCGTGAGAATACTGGCGTAGATGACGGGCACGGGAATAGGAAGGGACAAGGAGAGCACGGCAGCGCAGACGCCCGGCAGCTGCTCCACAGCCGCGAGTACTTCCACGCCGTGGGATGCCCGGCCAAGTCCGGCATCCACGTTCCGCACAAGGTGCTGCATAAAACAGGAAACGCGATCTACGAACTCGCGCGAGGGCTCTGTGGACAGAGCTGCTACAACAGCCGCCGTCTGTGGACCGGCAGCAGCGGCGGCGGCGGCGGCGCGGGCACGTCGTCCACCCGCGCGCGTGCTGCGGCTCGTGTGCGACTCTGACGCAGCTACGTTCACCCTTTCGGTCATCGACGGCGATGATCGCGGCTGCACCCACACCCCCAGCCACGCCGCCGGGACTTCGCCTTTGCGGGCCTGCACCCAACGCACCTCGCAATACTTTTGCACGGCGTGGCAGAAGGCGGTGGGCTGGCGAATAATGTAGCGCTCCAGGTTCGCCAGGAAGATGCCGACGGGCACCACGTACTGGTGCAGGCTGGGTGTCTCCTCGTCCTCCCCCTCTTCCGCCTTCAAGGTGGCCGGCGTGTTTTTTTCGGGGAGGTCCTCTCGATCTGTAGTGGGCCCATGCGCAGCATCAGCGGGTGCACCGGACATTTTTGCGGGTGATTTAGGTCGCGCCGCAGCTGTGGCGGTTGTCGACGGTGACTGACACGCCCAACGATGCGGTGGGTTGGCGTCGCGGGTGGGCGTCATTTTGTGGGGCTCTGCCGACGCAGCTGATGCTGCGGTGGCGGGCATCGTGGTAGTGGAGGCCGGCTTGGCCTCTGACGCCGCAACGGCGTGCCGTCGCCGCTCATGAAACGCCGCCAGAGCTGCGGCGGACTTGTCCGTCAGCTTCTGCGCCTTGTGCTGCACCCGCACCGCGGAGGCCAACACACGGGTCATGTCTCGCCAGATGTTGTCCTCCACCTGGTCCATGTCGGTCAGCAGCAGCTCGCACAGAACGATGCTCTTCTCGCGGTTGGGCAGGTCGATGGAGGTGATGTACTCACACATCACCGACAGCGCGCTGGGGCGAGACGCATCCGAGTCCAACGCGTCCTGTACTTCAATCACATCTTCTTCCTTGTCAGCTTTGCCTCCCCCAATCGCCGCCGCCGTCCCCACCCGGTCAACGGGATGGTAGGTCTGGACGATGCGCAGGCACTCGCGGTAGTACGTAAAGAAGCAGGGGAGCAAGAAGTGCACCACCACCTCACTCACGCGGCACTCCGCTACCTCGACAGGGGAAAACCGCATCTGCGCCGCGGCCCGCGCTGCTGCAGCAAGCGCTGTCGTGTTGGCGGTCGTGCCGGACGTCGGCGCACCTACACCTACACCACCAACAGCAGCAGCAGCGGCAGCGGCAATGACAATGGCTGACGTCAAGGATGCGGAAGTGGCCGCAAGCGCCGTGGAGGCCGCGGAGAGCGGAGGGAAGGGTGTGACAGGCGAGGCCACCGCGGAGGAGGCGCCGGAGGGCGCCACGCCCCCTTCGCGCATCACCTCCACCATGACGGCGTTGTTCAACGGCGATGACGGGCCTGTGCTCTGCTCCCGTTGCGAACGCTGCTGCTGCTGCTGCTCTTCCTCTTGCGCGCGTGCCGCCGCTGCCTCCGCCTCCTCCTCCACCGCCTCGGTCTTCTCCACTACCCGAGCGCGGAGCTGCGCCGCCATAAAATCCAGGCAAAGCCGCACCATTTCTTCCGCGAGCTGACGGGAGAAGAAGGCGAAGTACGGAATGATAGCGCGACGGAGGGGGTCGACGGCGTGACGCTGCGCATCGAACGGGTTCTTCAGCTGGTGTCGCAACGCGGGCAGCTTCCCTGAACTGGGCACAGCCACCGGCTCTGCAAAAGAATCCTCGCGCGGCAAGCCGCCCCAGTCATTGGCGGACGGCAACTGCTGCTGCTGCTGCTCCGCCGTGGCGCCGTCGCCGGGTGCTTCGCGATAATTACGTTGCAACACCTCGACATGCCGCTGCATGTTGTGGAGATCGCGCTGCAGGTCTTCCAGCTGCCGACGTTGATTGTGGAAGTGCTGGAACAGCTGCCGATTGTCAGGCAGGCCCTGCGCGCTGTCGTCACCCTCTGCTGCTGCGGCCGGCTGTGTTTCCGTGCCACGGTCTCCGGTGCGGCGCCGCGAGCTTGAGCGCCGCCGCCGCCCGCCGGTGCGGCCGTCACGGCTGTTCGTGCGCGGAGACGCGCGTCTGTTTCGCACAGCCGCGCCGGCGAGGTTCGTTGCGCTGTCGGCGGCCTGGCGAGCCGCGCCGACCATCATCGAGACGAAGCCCTGTGGTGTTAGCCGCTCGTGTCGCACCAGCGTCGTTGCGGACGGGCTACTGCTGCCTTCTTCCTCTCCTGCATTCCCTGGAAGGGTGAAGGTAGCGGCGGCGGTTGTGGTGGTGGTCGAGGCGGTGTCCGGCGGTGCCAGTGGGGCGGCTTGTTCAGGGGGGAGATGGAGGTGCGGTGGTGGTCGTCGTGGTCGCGACCCGTCAGACGAGGCCCGCCGACGTGCACCCGTGAGAGCTCGCTCCCGTCCCTGCGTGTGCGTCGCCTCTTCACTCGGCCGCGAGGACGTACGTCGCCGTGTCGTCGCTGCTGTTGCTGACGCCGTCGGCTTCGCCGCTGCACCGCCCTTGCCATCCCCGAGAAGCGGTGCGCTGTGGAAGCCTCGGTTCTCCAGCACCGTGAGCAGCGCATCCACCACCCGCTGCGCCCCGGTGCCGAACTCGTACAGCGGGTACCAGCCATCCTCGTTGTCCCTCCCGCGCAGCCCCGACACCGGCACCACATGGAGCCGATGACACTGATGCCCGTGCCAGCAGAAAGTGCTGCGTGTCGCGTCGAAGTAGCTGCACTGCGTCCCCATTGCCTGGGAGTTGGGCGGGGAAGACGAGCTCCGCTTAAAGCGGTCCCGCACCAGCGGGGCATCGCTGCGGGCGTCCTGGAACAGCGTCAAGAAGCTCACGAGCTGGCCGTGCAGCGCGGCCTGCGCCTCCGCAAAGGCACGGCGACGACGGCGGCGAGATGCACGCAGGACCTGCTGCTGCGCTGCCGTGGTGGCCTGCCGCTTCTCCACTGCAGCCTGTTGCTCCCACTCCGCCTGCTCCGCCGTCACCGTCGCAACCGCCTTCTTCACGACCGAGACCACCACCTGCAGCAGCGGGGTGAGGACGAGGGCCTCCACCACGACCACGCCCCGCAGCTGCGACAGCAGGACGCCCATGTACTCGAGCAGCACCACATTGCGGCGGACATCCGCCAGCACACGGTCGAGCATGTAGGCAAGCACGTACTGCTGCTCTGTGATCTGCGTCGTTGTCCAGAGAGACCAGAACACTTTGCAGGCGCGCCGCCGCAGCAGCCGCTGCCCCGCCTCGCTGAGGGAATTCAAGGGAAAGACGCTGCCCGTCACGATGTCACACAACCACGGCAGCAGCCGCTCCCACAGGTGCGCGCTGGGCGAGGCCGCGTTCGTGAGCTCCGCCCGCTCCGCCCGCTCCGCCCGCGCCGCCGCCGCCGCACGGCGATGGGAGCGGTAGGTGTCGCTGTCCGCGTATGCGTCGTGGTCGTCGTCGTGCAGGTCGCCCCCTCGCCCGCGCTGAAATGCCGCCCCGTACGGCTGACTCAGGTGAAGTAAGCCGCGATGGATCAACCAGCCGCCCTGCGCGGTCTGCTCCGCCATCGGCTCCTCCTCGGAGCCGCTAATCGGGATGTCGCGCACGCGTCCCTCGTCGCCGCCTAAACGGTTCGACATGTGTGGGAAGCGCACGGGCGACCAGGCAGTGTTGGGCCCGGTCGCCGTAGCGGTGTCGTGGCGGTTGCCTCGCACGGCGCGTTCCTCTGCGCCGCTGAGATGGGGGAAGAGGCCTGCGAGGGTCTCGCCGTCCTCGCCGCCGTTTTCGTCCTTCCCTTCGCCGCCTTCCGCCTGCTCATATCCCCCCGCTGCCTCTCCCGCGGCCGTCTCCGCTTTTCTATGGGTTCGTGCGCCCTTGAGCAGCGTGTGCAGTCGCACGTGGCCCAGCGTGTGCGCCGTCAGCTGCGACATGAGATCCACCGCCGCCGTGTACACGTGCGGCAGCATTGGAAAGCCTGGCAGCCGGCGCCACACATCAACCACGCAGTACAGCAGCGACTCCACCACCGTGTGGTGCTGCCCCCGCGCACGGCTGTCGTAGCCTTCGAGAAAGCTCATGAGGAGGACGCCCATGTACACCACGCAGCGGCGCAGCTCGCTCTGTGCGGCTGTGACGGCACGCGACGCCGCAGCAGCAGCCTCGTCCAGCTTTCTATTCTCCGCCTCGCTCAGCATCGCGCTGCGCGGCCGCTCGAACGTCGTGGACGTCCCCGGCGAGAGGAAGAGGCGCGACAGTAGAATGAGAAGCTGCACGGCGTACGTCAGCGTCTTCGCCAGTTCCTCGGACTCGAGGCCGTGCGATCGGTCGTTGCCGTCGGTGCAGACCGCGTCCAGCACGGCGAGCTCCCACAGCACGCGGTGAGCCGCCGTGAAGTTGATATCTTTCATGCAGGCGTCGATGTTGTCACGATAGGCAGCTTCATGAAGG